CAATTCGAATCACATCAAAAGATGCACTAAATCTTGAGTTATCAATATTGGCGCACTGAGGGATATGATGCCATAGATAGTTAACTCAATCACAAGAGTCTCACAAGTTCACACAAGGGTATGAGAGGGAAGGTCCCCAAGGAGTCCCCAACCAAGGAAACCCCATATGCACATCAAATCCCGTCCCACTTTTACCTTTGTCACTTTTGCAACCCATGCCATCCACCTTACCCAACTTGGCCACATTTGCCAACCTGATTTGGCTCCTCCCAACCACTTGGCAGCAACAGTGATATTGACGAATTTCCCAACCCCCAAAAGTCTATACCTCTTATGGAGTCAACCCCACAACTTCCTGTAGTCACCACAACCAGATATTAAAAGCATACGAATTTCTAACGTTCGTAACTGTGGGGAAGGAGGAGAGACCTGGGGGGGGACCAAGGGAGGGGGGGTAGCCTGCGACACACCTGACGGAGCGGGAACCGGGGGGGGTACCGGAAGAGAGGGAGCGGGAGGAGGAGGAGCTGGGGCGAGGAAGAGGGGAGGGGGGGGGAACCGGGAGACCTCGACAGGGGTACCGGACGTAGTAGGGGACGGACTCGTCGAAATTGACGTCACGAGAGTCAAAGAACCGGTGGGAGGGAGGGTGGTAAAAGGTGAAGTCAGAGGAGGCCTCAGGGAAACCAAGGAAGACACAGGGGACGCCACGAGGTGAGAGCTTGTCCGCAGAGGTGTCGCGGACAAGCGCCAAGCAGCCCCAGACACTAAACCTCGACGCAACACCAGGGGACCCTGTCCAAAGACTGGTCGGTGAAGCCCCTGGCCGAGAGACGCGAGGCCAAAGGTTCAGCTAGTGAGCGGCGTACCGAGCCGCGTAGGGCCACAGAAAATGGGGCGCGTGGGCGTGGATCATGGAGGTGCGGGCAATCTCCATGACCAGGCCTAGCCGGCGCTCAGCAACCCCATTCTGCTGTGGAGAGTCTGAAAGAGTCCAGGACTGGGTGATGCCCTGCTCAGCACAGAATCTGGCGAGAATACCGGAGCGAAACTCACCCTCACGGTTGGAGTGGAGACAACTGACACGACAACGACGAGTACTCTCGGTGGCGAGCAGCCACCGGATCAGCGTAGAAGTCACGTCGGACTTCTTCGCCAAAGAAAACAAGGTGGTGTACCGAGAGTAGTCGTCAATGACCACTAGGAAGAAGCTCTCTCGCTCAGGTCCAAGCCGGAGAGTGGGGCCCCAGACGTCTAAGTGGAGTGTCTCAAAGGGCTCGGAGGCTGGACGAAGGGAGGAGGAGTGAGGAGTGGCGCGCAGCCGACCCTGGACACAAGGACCGCACGGAGGAGCGGGGGACGGCGGGAGCGGCAGGAGGTCGCGGGGGAGGCCTAAGACAAGACGCTGACTGGACATAGCGCGGAGACGAGAGAGGGACGGGTGACCAAGGCGGTGGTGCCAGAGGAGGGCAGGGTGGGACAGCGACCGACACGAGCACGACGCAGCCACTAGACCTGGCACAGCTACCTGACTGGACCTGGCTACCTGGTGGGACGGGGGAACCGGACGGGTGTCGGTGTGGAGGGTGTACAGACCAGAGCCCGGCTCCTAACGAAAAGTGGCCAGAGGGGCGTACGTGTCACCGTCCACACAGACTGCAGTGTCACCCGAAGGCTCAAACCAGACCCCGACGTGCTGTCTCGCCAGAGGAGCCACACCAACCAGGTTCCTAGAGAAAGTAGGAACGTGGAGGCCGGTCAGAGAACCAGAAGGGGCAGCTGGGCACGGGAGGGTAGTGGCGTGAGTCGCAATGACCGGTCCCGAAGAGGGATCGGCCAGTGCTACAGAAACCGGCGCCGAGAGTGGAGTAAGAGTCGTGCTGTCGCGGAAGAAGCACTGCGTCGCTCCGGAGTCCAGTGTGAAGGAGAGCGACGCGTCCGCCGAGGGAGCACCTGTACTAGTAGCTAGACAGGATCCTACACCAGCACCTACTCTAGCAACAGGCAAAGATCCTACGCTAGGTACAGGCAAGTAAACAGATCCGACAGCACTATAGTCAACATCAGCATACATGGCATAAGACCTAGCATCATCCATAGACATATCAAACACAGCAACACCACGAGCAAGGAGTGGTCCCCAGCGCGGTGGCGGGGGAGCGGAGGGACCGTGGTGCAGGACGTACAGGTCGTCAAGACGGCTGAAGCAGCGTGCAGCAGAGTGGTCAGGGCGGCCGCAGTACGTGCCCCTGCGCGGACCTGTCAGGATCCAGTACTCACAGGGACCAACGTCGCGGCTGGCCGAGCGGGGTCCCCGACTAGAAGGGGCACCACTGCGCCCAGTGCTCGGGGGGCCCGTAGGTCTCCACTGCTGCGGGGGGGCCCACTGCTGCGAAGGGCCCCACTGCTGCTGAGTGCCCCACTGCTGCAGAGTGCCCCACTGCTGGGGCTGCTGCTGAGGCGGACGCTGCTGTTGGCCCTGGCGCTGCTGCTGCTGTCCCTGCCGCTGCTGCTGTCCAGGCGGTGGCAGCTGCGGAGGAGTCTGCTGCTGCTGCTGCGAAAACCCCTCACCACCGTCTAGAGGAGAGCCGTCAGGTCCCGAGTCACCCCCGCCGCCACCCCCGCCACTAGTACTACCGCCACCGCCGCCACCCGCAACACCCCCAGAACCCCCGCCGCCCTTCCCTCCCTTCTTGCCGGACTTGCCACGTTTCTGTCCGCCAGAGACAGAAACGGCCGCCGTCTCCTCAGAGGCAGAAGACGCGGCAGTGGCAAGCGAGGCAGTGAAGGTGGGAAGCTGTGGTACCGCACACCCCTCAAAGAGACGAGGAGGAGGCGCGGAAGAGGCGGAGGCAACAGCGAGGAGGTTACTCTCGATCTTCGAGAGAGCGGTCTCAAGAAGATCGATAGTAAGCTCAGTGGGGTGCTTCAGGAGAAGCGCGTCGCGGGCTGTGGCTAGACGGTCAGGGAGGCGAGTGACTAACCAGTGAATAGTGAGCCACATGGTGGGGGGTGCAAGGGCAAGCTGTTCCTCAGTGCAAGCGGCCTTGAAGCGAGCTTCAAGGGAGCGCAGGTGGGTAGCGAGGTCAGCGACAGTCTCAAAGGAGGCGAGGTCAGGGTAGATAAAGGGGACGAGGAGGCGGCTGAGGGAGGCAGAGGAGGGAGTGGAATAGCGAGCAACAATAGCAGTATAAAGGTCTGCAGCAGACTCGACCTGAGTGAAGTGGACAGCCTCAGTTGGCGGGAGAAGGTCGGTCAGGGCGAGACAGGCAGCAGCGTCACGAGACTCCCACACGTCACGAGCGAGGAACCGGCGCTGGTACTCAGCCTCCTGCTCGGAAGTAGGCGGTGGGGAAGTGGGCAGCGGTGAAGGCTGCGGCGGGGCGGGCAGAGCACCGGACGCATGCGCAAACAGGTGCACGCCATCCTGGCGCTGGCTCCTAAGGTGGCGTTGGGCCTGCGTCAGCCAGGTACTAAAGTCGATCGCACGCCCCTCAGGGTCGAAACGGAGCACGCGAGACGTCGCCATGAGGGGCGAGGACAAGTGATAGCGGCCGCCAGCCGCGAGAGGAGGAGGAGAGGGAGGTGAGTGCGAGGCGGGTACGCGCAGGCGGGGCGCGCATTGGCTGGGCGCGGGGGGGCGGGGCGCGCGCTGGCGGGGCGCGCTTCGGCGCAGCGCGCTGGCTGGCGTGGCGCGCGGGCGCGGCGCGCTGGCGTGCGCGCTGGCGGGGCCCGCTGGCGTGGCGCGCTGGCGGGCGCGCTAGCGGGCGCGCTGGCGTGCGTGCTGGCGGGCGCGCTGGCGAGCTCGTTGGCGGGCGCGCTGGCAGGCGAGCCGGCGGGCTCGCTGGTGCGCCCGCTGGCGGGCTGGCGTGTAAGCGGGCTGGCGCGCAGGCTGGCTGGCGCGCTGGCTGGCTGGCGCGCTGGCGGGCTGGCGCGCTGGCTGGCTGGCGCGCTGGCTGGCTGGCTGGCGCGCAGGCTGCTGGCGCACTAGCTGGCTGGCTGGCGCGCAGGCTGCTGGCGCGCTGGCTGGCTGGCGCGCTGGCTGGCTGGCGGGCGCGCTGGCTAAGGGCGGGGAGGGGAGGGGCGCGCCGGCTGGGGTGTGGGGTAGGGCGCTGGCGGGCTGGCAGGGCGCAGTGGTAACCCTAGTGGTAGGGAAGGGCGGGCCTAGGACTAGGAGCGCTAACCTACTGCTGATACCATGTCAGAATGAGAACTACAGCAGAATGCGTTGTATTGACAGAATTGGGGTACATAACCTAACCCTAACTAGTTGTACCCCATATAGCCCAACCCACTATAGGCTATAATATTTGACAATACTCTACAACACACTTTCACTACTATGGTAACTTCAGCAGTGTTTATAGCTCGGCAGCAGCAGCACCAGTAGCAGCAGACGCTAAATCGCTGGATCAGCTTAGGTACAAGCTTGTGAGGAAAAAAGGGCCTATGTTATACTAATCCCCAATATCGCCCTTACACATGTAGCACACCATACCTCCGCACCTCCACTATGATTTAAGATATCGTAACACTCCCCACCATCATCTGACAACCAGACCACACTGCAACAGCAGCAGCAACAGCACCATTGACAACAGCAGCAGTGGTAGTGGTGCCAACAAAACCGTGATTCAACTTAGAACAGCGGCAGAGCATCGGAACATTTCTACACTCTGCAGGCAACAGGCCGACAGTCTTAACGTTTCTGTCACCTCCTATCGCAGAGTTTTAAAATATCTCAAGCTCGACCTTTCGAAACGATTTGGATCAATTTAACGATCCGCAGCAGCACCAGCGGCAGCCCCACCAACAGCACCGCCAGGCACCGGAAACACAACCAACAGCACCACCACCAGTGTGGCAAGCAGCACCGATCCACCATGAAGCGGAGGACAAATTGATATCCGCATGCACCCAGAAGAAGCACCGGCCGGCCTTTGAGGCGTCTCAAACGGCAGCAGGAGACGACTTTGAGGCGCCTCAAAAGTTGAGGCGTCTTAAAGGGCAGCAGGAGCACCAGCTGCAGGCACACCGGCAACACCACCAGCAGCACCGCCAGCAGCAGCAGCACCGCCCCATCGTAAAGCAGAGGACAAGGGGAAGTCCACATGCACCCAGAAGAAGCAGCGCCCGGTCTCCCTCGTATACACTACCTCTCCCTTCATACTCTTCAGCATCCTCCTCATAAGGCTCAGCGAGACACCCTCTGCATTACTTCTTAACGCACCGCTCCCCGTGCTCATGCCTCCCACGCTCATCCCCCCGACACTGCCCCCACCATCGCTGCTCGCTCGACCAAAGCTTCTGTCACCGGAAGCAACGGCAGAGGAGGCAGCAGTTGGGGTGGTGGCGGTGGTGGTGGTGGCGGTGGCAGTAGAGGTGATGGCAGCATTGGAGTCAAACATCTGGTTGATTATCTCCTCTGGGAGGCCCCGACCCGTGTGGGAGATTCTGAGAATGGAAGAGAGAGAAAGGGGGGGGGGGGTTGGCAGAGGGAGAGAAGAGGGGGAGAATGAGAATAGGTTGATGAGGGAAAGTTGGAGTTGAGCACGTGGTGGATGACATCTGTTGGTAGACCCCGACTTTTGAGGCGCCTCAAAACCGCGAGACATGAGACGACTTTTGAGGCGCCTCAAAACCGCGAGACATGAGACGACTTTTGAGGCGCGTCAAAACCGCGAGACATGAGACGACTTTTGAGGCGCCTCAAAAATAGGTTGATGAGGGAAAGTTAGAAGTGAGCACGTGGTGGATGATATCTGTTGGTAGACCCCGACCCATGTGGGAGATTCTGGGAATGGAAGAGAGAGAATGAGAGCAGGTTGAAGAGGTGAGTCAAGTGCCTTGCTTACATCAAGTTGTTACTTACCTTACAAAGACCCATCATACTCTAACACACACTTGGTCATTGTGCACCTTACATAGCACCCACCCATCACACACCTTACATCGCGTTCTGTACCTTAGATCAAGTTCTGTACCTCATATCGAGTCCTGTATTTTGTATCGAGTCCTGTACCTTATATCGAGTTCTGCCATGGTTGTGGTCCCTCGGAAGAGTCGCGACCCCTTTTGAGTCACCTCCAGCTTCACCAGCCCCGTGGCCTGCGTGTGGCTCACTGCTGCACACAGCAGCCCGCCCAGAATCTGCGGGAGTTGAAATGAGAGGATGGTAACAGGTTGGCAGAGGGAAGGGAGAGAGGAATAAGAGCAGGCAGCTTCACCAGCCCTGTGACCTGAGTGTGGCTCACCGCCGCACACAGCAGCCCGCCCAGAATCTGAGAGGGAAAGCAACAGGGGGTATGAGGAAGGCAACAGGACCCAAGCGGCAAGGGTGTGAAAGCAGAGAGGGTTGAATCTAGCGCCTGCAGTTGACCACCGGTGTGGGCTGGCTGGTTGGCTGATGACCCCCCCACTGTCAGCTCAGCCCACCCTAGCGTCTGTCCCTTATTCCCTCCCTAAACCTCACCTGCTGCAATCTTGGAGCATCCCCACACAGTGGCAGGGTAGTTTTGAGAATTCTCAAAACTAATCTCAATCTTGGAGCATCCCCACACAGTGGCAGGGTAGTTTTGAGAATTCTCAAAACTAATCTCAATCTTGGAGCATCCCCACACAGTGGCAGGGTCTTCACGTCACTGCCCAGCTCGAGGGTGACCTTGGCGCCCTTGTGCATGGCCAGCAGCGTGGCCAGCAGCGAGGCCAGCAGTGTGGCCAGCAGCAGAATCACCAGCAGCGTGGCCAGCAGCAGAATCACCAGCAGCGTGGCCAGCAGCAGAATCACCAGCAGCGCGGCCAGCAGCAGAATCACCAGCAGCGCGGCCAGCAGCAGAATCACCAGCAGCGTGGCCAGCAGCAGAATCACCAGCAGCGTGGCCAGCAGCAGAATCACCAGCAGCGTGGCCAGCAGCAGAATCACCAGCAGCGCGGCCAGCAGCAGAATCACCAGCAGCGTGGCCAGCAGCAGAATCACCAGCAGCAGAATCACCAGCAGCGCGGCCAGCAGCAGAATCACCAGCAGCGTGACCAGCAGCAGAATCACCAGCAGCGTGGCCAGCAGCAGAATCACCAGCAGCGTGGCCAGCAGCAGAATCACCAGCAGCGAGGCCAGCAGCAGAATCACCAGCAGCGTGGCCAGCAGCAGAATCACCAGCAGCGCGGCCAGCAGCAGAATCACCAGCAGCGTGGCCAGCAGCAGAATCACCAGCAGCGCGGCCAGCAGTTTGCTCAAGCAAAACCATTTTTTTTCCCCACCACCTGCCTCTACTCACATTCCTATTCTCTCACCTGCTGCAATCTCGGAGCATCCCCACACAGCGGCAGCGTCTTGACGTCACTGCTCAGCTCGAGAGTGAGCTTGGCGCCCTTGCGCGTGGCTAGCAGGGTAGCCTGGCTGATGACTGCCCCACACACGGTCTCCATGGTGAACGGCAGCGTAGCAAGCGGTGCTTGGCTGGAGGGGTGGGGGGGAAGGGAGGACAGGGAGCAAAGGGTAAGGGAGGGATGTGAAATGGACTTTCAAGAGCAACTAGCATGGCCTCAGCAAGGCCAGACTGATCCCTTGCCCTCACACACTCCCCCACTCACTCCGCCCCTCGCACTGCCTCACTCCCTCACGCACCTCTGCACACTCACCCCTGTTCGATGGCGAGCATGTCAGTGTCGCTCACAATCTTCCCCAACTGTGTCTCCAACGACTGCTGAGTCGATTCACCTCTTCCCTAGGACCCCCAACCCGGCCATTCACTCCCTCCCTCACTCCCCCACTCACTCCCTCCCCCGCACACTCACCCTTGTTTGATCGCGAGCATGTCAGTGTCGCTGACAATCTTCCGCAGCTGAGTCTCCAGAGCCACGCCCGTGCGCACCCACGGGAGCTGCTTTCCCGAGAACCCCACGCCCATCTGCTTTACCCATCCAATGCTTCCCGCTTCACTCCCCATACTCTTTCACCCACTCACAAACCCACTCCCTCGCTCGCTCCCTAACTCTCTCACTCCCTCCCTCCCTCCCTCCCTCCCTCACTAACTCCCTCAGACTTGCACCCTTGCACAAGACCTTAAAACTCACCCCTGTTCAATGGCGAGCATGTCAGTGTCGCTCACAATCTTCCGCAGCTGCGTCTCCAGAGCCACGCCCGTGCGCACCCACGGCAGCTGCTTTCCCGAGAACCCCACGCCCATTTTCTCCATGCGCGCAAACGAGTACGCCAGCCCATCCAACGGTCCTCGGCTCATCTCCCTCACATAAGCCACCTGCCTAGCCTTGTCTGAGGCGAGCTTTTCCGCAATCTTCTGCTTGTCGACGGCTTGCCGGAGCTCCAGAGAGGCCGTGTGGAGGAAACAGAAGGCGCCCACGACAGAGCTTCCATCTGCTGAATGCCTTGGATGGACAGATAACAGCAGCTCCATCAGAGTTCTCTGCGGTGGAAAGGGGTTGGGAGAACAGAAGCAAGGATTAGTGGGAGTTCCAGAGAGGCCGTGTGGAGGATGCAGAAGGCGCCAACGACTGAGTTGCCGTCTGCTGAGTGCCGCGGGTGCACGGATAGCAGCAGCTCCATCAGGGCTCTCTGGAAGTGGAGAGTGGTGGGAATGGGTTGGGATCATGGAAGCAGGAGTTAGGTTAGGGGTTCCAGAGAGGCCGTGTGGAGGAAGCAGAACGCCCCGACCACTGAGTTGCTGTCTGCTGAGTGCCGCGGATGCACGGATAGCAGCAGCTCCATCAGGGTTCTCTGCGGTGGAAAGAGGTTGGGAGCGTGGAACCAGGGGTCAGGAGTTCCAGAGAGGAGGTGTGAAGGAAGCAGAAGGCCCCGACCACTGAGTTCCCGTCTGCTGAGTGCTTGGGATGCATGGATAGCAGCAGCTCTCAACCCCTCTGAACCCCTAACAACCCTCACCTGGCGGTTGAGGAAGTAGGGGACCTTGACTGCCTCATGCCCAGCCATGGCCTTGCCTGATAACGTCATGAGCTTCGTCATGGTATCACCACACTCCATACTCCCACCACCTCCCCTTGACTCTCAATCTCGAGTCACGACAAACCTCTCAATCCCTGTAAACCCCTCACCTGGCGGTTGAGGAAGGAGAAGGGAACCTTCACAGCCTCGTGCCCGGCCATGGCCTTGTTGATCACAATCAAGAGCTTTGTCATGGCATCGCCACTCTCCGTACCATCTACACCACCGTGGCCCCACTAGAGCCCTCCTCCCTCACCCTGCTGAACTTCTCAATCCCTGTAAACCCCTCACCTGGCGGTTGAGGAAGGAGAAAGGAACCTTCACAGCCTCGTGCCCGGCCATGGCCTTGCTGATGATGATCATGAGCTTCGTCATGGCGTCGCCGCTCTCCATGCGGCAGAGGGAGCCAAAGACGTCCCCGATGAGCATGCGCTCCCACACCTCAAAGCGCGTGAACCCTGTTACCCTCTCCATCGCCGCGTTCCACTCCGTGCACAGCCCAAACTCTGAGCACCCAAGAGGGGAATCGGGGCAAGGGGGCAGGAGGGGGGGGGAGAAGAAGGGAAGGGGAAAAGGGGGAAAAAGGAGGGGAGGTAGAACCTGGTCGCTCCCTCCATCGCCGTATTCCACTCCATGCAAAGTTCAAAATCTGCACACTCCCCGCCAACCCCACACTCCCCATCCCAACCATCACAACAACCACCACAACCCCAGAGCGTTCAATCAGCTCACCGTCACAGCCGAAGATGGGGGGGATGAGGGAGCTGTGCGCGTGCACAATGGCTTCATAGCCGCCCTTCACCTTCCTGAACCGGTCCTTCACCACCCTCTCCACCGTCACATCCTGTCCCACGAAGCACACCCCCTGCACCTCCTGCTGCTGCTGCTACTGCTGCTACTCACAGCCACACCCACACACATCCACTCCCCATTCCAACCAACCCAGCCTCAGGGTGTGCCACTCACCATCGCAGCCTCAGGGTGTGCCACTCACCATCGCAGCCGAAGATGGGGGGGATGAGCGAGCTGTGCGCGTGCACAATCGCTTCATAATCCCCCTTGACCTTCCTGAATTTGTCATTCACCACCCTCTCCACCGTCACATCCTGCCCCACGAAGCACACCCCCTGCACCTCCTGCTGCGCGTCGCGGCTCACAAACGTATTGGCCAATAGGATCACAGACGACCCCACGTCAATCCCAAGGGCCTCGGCACCGGCTGTAGCGCCGCCGGCGGTGCTGCCAGCTGCTGCTGTGGCGGAAGCAGCTGCAGCGGCTGCAGCGCTGCCTGTGCTGGCGGTGCGTGCTGAGGGCCCGGAGAGGCTGCGCTCTGTTCCCCACGAGTGCAGGCGCAGCTGAATGTTGTGTGCCTCGCGCCCTGCCAGAGTGGGGGGGATGGGCGGAGTTGGGGAAAGGGAGAGAGGGAAGAGGGCTGGTTGGTTCTGTCAATACCCCTGCTGCACTGAGAGGCTGCGCTCCATTCCCCACGAGTGCAGGCGCAGCTGGATGTTGTGCCTCGCGACCTGTGTGGGAGAGATTTGGGGAAGGGGAAAAGGGAAAGGGCTGGTCCTGTCAATACCCCTGCTCTTGAGGAAGGGGAAAGGGGAAAGGGGAAAGGGGAAAGGGGAAAGGGGAAAGGGGAAAGGGGAAAGGGGAAAGGGGAAAGGGGAAAGGGGGAAGGGGAAAGGGGAAAGGGCAGCCCTGTGAGCGTCGTCGCCACCTTGTTGTTCCACCCTTCCACCCTCCCCCCCACCCCACCCACCGTGTGACATTAGAGGGCACACCCACCTTGAAAGGCAAGGTCTAGCGCAGCATGAAGGTGCGTCTTGGATGGCAGCCCTGTGAGCGTCGTCACCTTGTTGTTCCACCCTCCTACCCACCCCACCCACCCCACCCACCGTGTGACATTAGAGTGCACAGCACAGCCACCTTGAAAGGCAAGGTTGAGAGCAGCATGAAGGTGCGTCTTGGATGGCTGCCCTGTGAGCGTCTTCGCCACCTTGTTTACACGAAACCCACCAACCGTGTAACACTAGAGCGCACCTTGGAAGGCGAGGTCGAGAGCGGCATGCAGCTGCGTCTTGGACTGCACATCTGCTAGGTCATCCACGAGGGATTTCCCGATGGCGGCAGAGAAGGGCAGCCCTGCGAGCGTCGCGAGCTCCAATTGGCTCGAGGCACTACCTTACCAGAGCTTGCCATGGGGCAAACCTACCTTGGAAGGCGAGGTCGAGAGCAGCATGAAGCTGCGTCTTGGACTGCACGTCTGCTAGATCGTCGACCAGAGATTTCCCGATGGCGGCAGAGAAGGGCAGCCCTGTGAGCGTCGCCACCTTGTTGTTCCACCCCGTGATGCACCCCTCACGATCTACAGCCAGGATCGGCGCAGACGCCGTCTCGATGAAGTGCACGAGCTGATCAAAGGTTGCCGCGTACAGCTTGTCCAGCTCCTGCGGGTTTTGTATTAGAAGGGAGAAGGTGGGGTGCGGTGGAGAGGGGTGGGGATGGGTTGATGGAGGGGGGGGGAGAAGGTGCAGAAGCCGTCTCGATGAAGTGCACGACCTGATCGAAGGTTGCCGCGTACAGCTTGTCCAGCTCCTGGTGTTGAGGGAGAGAAGGTTGAAAGCAGTGGGGAGGGGTGGGAAGGTTGGTTGGAGGAGGGAGAGTGGCTGGAACGAAGGATTGAACCCGAGCTGATTGAACCTGGCCGCGTATAGCTTGTCGAGCTCCTGGTATAGTGGAAACAGGGAGGAGGTGGGGCGGGGCAGTGAGGGGTGGGAGGGGGTGATGGAAGGGGAGAAGACGCAGAGGCCGTCTCGGTGAAGTGAACGAGGTGATCGAGCGTGGCTGCTTACGGCTTGTCCGGTTCCTGGTGTTGAGCAAAGGGCGGAGGGGAGTGGTAAGGGAAAACGGGGTTGGAAGGGGAGGAATTGGGTCGAAGGAGGTGCAAGAGCTGATTGATACGAGATGAAACGCACGAGCTGATCGAAGGTTGCTGCGTACAGCTTGCCAAGACACATCAAGGCGCATGCAGAGCACAGCATCGCGAAGAATGATCTGCACCGAGTTGATCGCATCCACCTCCAGGTCCTGCCACAGAGCCAACCAATGCCTCACTACTACCTCCCGGTGGGCTTGGGAGCTTCACCTCCTCCAGCTTCCAGGTGGGGTTGGGCGCTTGAATTTTTCTAGAAAAACCCAAGAGAGGGGAAGAGGAAAGAGAGGAGAAGAAGAAGGGCAGGGCAAAGACTTACCTCTGGAGAGAGTGCCATTTCAGCAGCACCACCCCCTCCTCCCCCGACAGGCACACCAAGGCGCATCCTGTGAACGGCATCTCTGATAATGATCTGCACCGAGTGGATCGCGTCCACCTCTAGGTCCTGCCACGGCGCCGACCGGTGCCTCACCACCTCCCGGTGGGTTGGGTGCTCGTAATACCGGGGACAAGAGGGAGAAGGAGGGCGGGAGGGCGGGACAAAGGCTCACCTCTGGAGAGAGCGCCATTTCAGCAGCAGCGCCTCCGCCTCCCCCGACGGGAACACCAAGGCGCATCCTGTGAACAGCATCTCTGAGAATGATCTGCACCGAGTGGATCGCGTCCACCTCCAGGTCCTGCCACGGCGCCGACCGGTGCCTCACCACCTCCAGAAACGCCTCAAACGACTGCCGCGGGTTCATCTTCTTTATATCGTCCTTCGGGGCCTTCCCGGGCTTCTGCTTCGCGCCGCTCCAGTGGATCTGCTTCTGCACGTGCGATCTCAGCCACAGGATGAAGTCAGACTCGCCGATCTGAGCCATTGCTACCCCGCACACGGAGTCCCCGAGGGAGGTTGCGTGGGGGTAGCCGGCCGCGAGGAGGCTGTCGATGGTGAGGCCCGTGGTGTTGGGGTGGGCTGTTTGGATCCACTCGATAATGGAGAGCACCTGGGCGGAGTACGGTGAAGAGGGGCAGAGAGAGTTGGGTGGGGAGTGGTGGGGTGGGGTACAAAGAGAGGTGGAGAAGAGTGAGTCAGGGTAGAGGCTGAGTGGGGTTAGCCGGCCGCCAGGAGGCTGTCGATGGTGAGCCCGGTGGTGTTGGGGTGGGCCGTTTGGATCCACTCAATGATCGACAGCACCTGAGTGGAGTGCGGTGAAGAGGAGAGAAGGGGAATGACAAGGGGTGGGGTGCAGTGGAGAGGGGTGACGGGGAGTGAGGCAGTGTAGAGCCTGCGTGGGGGTAGCCGGCCGCAAGGAGGCTGTCGATGGTGAGCCCGGCGATGCTACCTTTGCTTGTCCCTCTCCCTCACCTGTTCCTTGGTGGGTGCAGTCCCACAGGAGTAGAACTCCCCATCCACCAGCAGCGCAGCGGCCTCGCACTCCACCAGGTCGCGCATGGAGGGGCGCGCGTCAGGGGCCATGAGGGCGTGGAAGGGCGCGGTAGGAGGTACATGATGGAAAGTGGTGGAAACAGAGGGAAATACACCTTGTTCCTGTCTCATTCTCCCATCAACTCACCTGTTCCTTGGTGGGTGCAGTCCCACAGGAGTAGAACTCCCCATCCACCAGCAGGGCAGCACCGTCGCACTCCACTAGATCGCGCACGGAGGGGCGCGCGTCGGGGGCCATGAGGGCGTGGAAGGGCGCATTGGCGAGCATCATGTGGCACAGCTGCGTCTGCAGCTGCAGGATCTGCTGCTCCCTCTGCTGCGCCTGCAGCTGCAGCTCCTTGGCCAGTTGTAGCGTGAACACCTGGCAGGGTGGACGGGAGAGGGGAGCAGGGGAGGTAGAGAGGTGAGATATTGAGAGGGCGTTAGAATGATGCAGCTGCAACTCCTTGGCCAGTTGAAGCGTGAACACCTGGCGGGGTGGTGAAAAGGGGAGAGGAAGGAGAGAATGGGATGGAAGGTGGGTGGGGGAGGAGGGCAGAGTCCAACATCAGGCGTGGAAGGGTGAGCTAAAGGGCACAGGCACGTGTGTGAACTGCTCTACTGAACGCCGCTGAAATGCAGGTCAGCACAAGCAAATGCAAATTAACAAATCTCTCACTCTACCCACCAGCACCACACACACCCCAATCTCAAATCTCAGCCCACCTGCATGAGAAAGTCGCAGGCAGAGCGCACAGGGAAGGGCACATAGCGTGGATAAGTGTGATGGCTCACAATCATCCCCCACACCCGCCTCCCCTCCACACACAACCCCCCTTCTTGACCCACCAGCATCCCATCCCACCGCTCTCAACCCACCTGCATGAGGAAGTCGCAGGCAGAGCGCACAGGGAAGGGCACATAGCGTGGATAAGTGTGATGGCTCACAATCATCCCCCACACCCGCCTCCCCTCCACACACAACCCCCCTTCTCGACCCACCAGCATCCCATCCCACCGCTCTCAACCCACCTGCATGAGGAAGTCGCAGGCAGAGCGCACAGGGAAGGGCACATAGCGCGGGGACGTATGATGACACACAATCATCCCCCACAGCCGCCTCCCCTTCACCTCATCCAGTGTCGACAACACTCCCCCTCCCCCTCCCCCTCCCCCACCTCCCCCTCGTCCTCCCCCATCCTCCCCCTCCGCCCCGCCCCCGCCCGCTCTCCCGCCAATCGCCGCCGGCAACGCCTCCTGGTCCCTGAGAACAATAGACAGGCAGAGAGACGCGGAGATAGCCATGTTCTGCATGTACTGTGCATGGCACCCATGCACCGCCCGCAGCGTGGACGTCGACAGGCTCACAGGTTGCTTCAGAAACCCCCTCTCCTGCACCACCTTCACCGGCTTCGACTTCGCGTCGCAGATCATGCGGATCCGATTCTTCAAGAATAAAATCCGGGACGCCTTGGGAATATCCGTGGAGGGGTAGTGCAGTCCGAGATAAGACTCTAGGGGGCGTTTCCGGTCCTCTGCTATAACCTCCCCGTGCTCGTCCTCGTGGAATTTATACGCCATGACTCTATCGTACCCTGTGAGCTGCCGAATCTCCTCTACCAGCGCCTGGAAGAGTAAATCGAGGCTGCTTCCAGAGGGGATGGCTTGCAGGCGTGAGACAGCGTGGGTGGCGAGCTTGTGGGAGTGCAGAGCCCCAGCACCGTTCACAGCCGGGTCGGAGGGAAGAATCGGCTCGAGGTCAATTAAAATTGTGCCGCGCTTGACCTTGCTGCTAGTCGTAGGAGCGTTGGATTCCCCATTGCCGTTTGCCACACCAGCAGCGGCGGCAGCGGCGGTGGTGGAGGGGGAGGAGGAGGAGGATTGGCGGTGCAGGATGGCATAGAAAGGGCGGCAGGAGAGGGAGGACTGCACGAGCACCGGGTTCATGAGCGCCATGTCCCGCGCCCCCATCGCCTTCTCCAGTGCTGTCACGCTCTCCGGGGTGAAGAGGATGCGCGCATCTGACCCCAGGCCTGCATGGAGTGGGGGGGTGGGGGGTAGGGGTGCGTGCGGGAGTGGGAATGGGTCAGATTTGACTCGAGAATCACCAACGGCGCCAGCAGTAGCAGCAGCAGCACCACCACCACCACGACCAGCAGCAGCAGCAGCAGCAGCAGAAGGGGCAGCAGGAGAGGGAGGACTGCACAAGCACGGGGTTCATGAGAGACATGTCCCGCGCCCCCATCGCCTTCTCCAGCGCTGTCACGCTCTCAGGGGTGAAGAGGATGCGCGCATCTGACCCCAGGCCTGTGCGGGAAGGGGGCGTGGGGAGGAGGGGGGGGGGGGGGGGGGGGGGGGTGTAGGGGGTGCGGGTGTGGGAGTGGGTCAAATTTGACTTTAGAGTCAGAGGCAACAACAGCAGCAGCAGCAGCGGCGGCGGCGGCGGCGGCAGCAGCAGCAGCAGCAGCAGCAGAAGCAGCAGGAGAGGGAGGACTGCACAAGCACGGGGTTCATGAGAGCCATGTCCCGCGCCCCCATCGCCTTCTCCAGCGCTGTCACGCTCTCAGGGGTGAAGAGGATGCGCGCATCTGACCCCAGGCCTGTGCGGGAAGGGGGCGTGGGGAGGAGGGGGGGGGGGGGGGGGGGGGCGGGGGGGGGTGTAGGGGGTGCGGGTGCAGGAGTGGGTCAAATTTGACTTTAGAGTCAGAGGCAACAACAGCAGCAGCAGCGGCGGCGGCGGCGGCGGCAGCAGCAGCAGCAGCAGCAGAAGCAGCAGGAGAGGGAGGACTGCACAAGCACGGGGTTCATGAGAGCCATGTCCCACGCCCCCATCGCCTTCTCCAGCGCTGTCACGCTCTCAGGGGTGAAGAGGATGTGCGCATCTGACCCCAGGCCTGCATGAGGAAAGGGCATTGGGTACAGAGGCGGGGAGTGGGCACAGTGGGTGTGTAAGGATGGTGGTGTCTGTTGCCCCCATCGCCTTCTCCAGCGCCATCACGCTCTCAGGGGTGAAGAGAATGCGCGCGTCTGGCCCCAGGCCTGTATGGGGGAGAGGGCAGGGTGAGCAGGTGCGGGAGTGGGAGTAGGAGTGGATTCACAGCTGACTTGACAATCACCACCAGCACGAGCACCAGCAGCAGCAGTAGCAGCAGCACTAGCAGCACCACAGTACTGGCTAAAGAAGATCACCCTCCAAGCGCCTACAGAGCACCCAAGGTTCCTCCCACGTTCTTTGCAACTTGCCGAACCCTATTACCCCAGTCCAGCCTGTTTCTGCTACCGCCAATCACAACTATGTAGAGCTCGCAGAGCAAGCGATATCCCTCTCACGCTGTTAGCCAAATGCTATGATGACCCCAGTCAAGTCTGCTTCTGCCATTGCCACACCCACCTCTTTCGCCCACACCCACCTGCTTCTCCCACCCACACCCACCTGTTTCTCCCACACCCACCCACCTGATTCGCCCACACCCACCTGTTTCGCCCACACCCACCTGTTTCGCCCACACCCACCTGTTTCGCCCACACCCACCAAGAGCCTGCAGAGCAGCCAAGTCAGCAGACGTGCGGGGCGATCTGCCCGTGGGATTCCCCTTGATGCTCGCCTTGGGACTGCCGATCCCCGTACCCTCTGCCGGATCCGAAGCTGCCGCCCCCGCGGACGACCGCGACAGCAGCCGTCGGATGGAAAACGATCGTGCGGAGGAGAGGGCAGGAGAGGAGGAGGTGGGGCGCGGGACAGAATTCGAAATGTCGACTTCCCCGGGGAGAGAGGAGCTGGGGGGAGCGTTATGATCATTCCCATGCCCGGAAGCGGAGGAGGGGCGTGAGGAGGGAGAGCAAGGCTCGTCCAGAGACATGCACCCTACCCCCACCCCCACCCCTCCCCCTCCTCCGCCGCCACCGCTTCCCCCGCTCCCCCCTCCCGCTCCCCCGTTAGCCGCGCTGCTGTCGCTGGCCCCCCCTGGCAGAGGGGCGGCGGGGGTTCTGGCGGAGCGGGAGGTGGAGCGGAGGAGCGCGCGGTTGGAGCGGTTGATGGCGCGCATTACCCGGTCCATCACGAACCCGAGGGGTCCTGGGAGGGGGGGGGGAGCGGGGGAAGGGGGCGGGGGGGAGGAAGGAGGGGGCGGAGTGGAGAAGGATATGTGGGGAAAAATGGATAAACGGTTGGAGTGGTTGATGGCGCGCATTACCCGGTCCATCACGAGCCCGAGGAGCCCTGGGGGGGAGGAGGAGGGGAAGAAGGAGGGGGGATGGTGGGGGACGGGGTGTTGGGTGGGGGGAAGGAAGAAGGAGGGGGAGGAGGCGAGGAGGATATGTGAGGGGAGTTGGATTAGCGGTTGGAGCGGCTGATGGCGCGCGTTACCCGGTCCATGCCAATCTGGAAAAAAAGCGCGCATTGAGGGGAACAGCACGCATTGGCCGGTTCATGCCAATCTGGAAAAAAAAGCACTCATGTGAGCGATTTTTTTTTTTTTTTGTCGGGAAGGACTCTCAGGGATGGCACAGGTGAAAGTGGCCCGGGAGCAGGGGGAGCGAAAAGACGAGGCGGAACCTTTTTTTTTAAGGAATACTGGGAATTGGCTATTTCTAACAACCGGCTGATAAGAACTGGCTGTTTTTGGAAACTGAGCAAATCGTCGAGGGACGGGTTTGCGGGAGTTTCGAGAAAATGTAGAAGGGTGAGATACGGATACAAGCAGGTTGAAATTGAATTGGGGGAAATAGGATGTAAGTAGGGCGAAGAAGGGCGGGCTGATATAGGATCAACTGGTACGGGAAATAGGATGGTGGGAGCTTTGGAAAACGCTAACTTGACCGGCGAAGAGTTCGTTCACACGTTACCAGCGCTCTAACCGAGAACGGTACGATTCCATCTCCTACACTATCGAGCGTACGTATTTATGTAGTACGTACCGGCGGAGGACTTTTGCGGAAGGCACAGCACTTCGGGTACATTGTCACTGTACGCCAAGAGGCGAAACGTCCCTTCTTCAACCAATAGGACGCAGCCGAACGACTGTATCATCCCGCCGCGTTCCATCTTTACCAAGAAGTTGCTCACGTCCTTGTCTACCTCCTCCATTGCTGCTCCTGCGCCTGAACCTCCTGATTTGGACTTTCCGCTCTTGCTCTTCTCCTTGCCAGAGCCTGACCGTTCCTGTGTCTCCATTTAAGAACTAGCGGCTTGACGAAGTAAGTGCTAAAAAGCGACAGGGATTAAAGGGTTCATTTGGTCGGTGGCCTGTGATTGCACGGAGAAAGTTCCGGTCTAAGGCTTATGCTGGAGCACCCATGATGACCTGTTTGCAGCTATTATAGGAGACGACGACACCAGGACGTCAGAATGTGAGACTCCCTAGCTTTACTATTACCAACTGGCATGATCTACTATCCGTGAGTGAAGCTTCACTCTAACAACGATCAATCCGTCGTTCATTCGTCCCGAGAGGTCGAAGTCAGTCAACCTGTGACGAGCAGAAATGCCTTGGGAATGTCAAACGCCTGTCTCTACTATATTAAAGAACTGACTGACTTCCGACGCATAACTTATGACGCTCTTCGTTGGGTCTATTCCGCCATGGAACACCATGTCACAACGAAAATGTACTGGGGTTACTGGCTCTACCATCAGAAACACACACGTACTGACGCACGGCCGTGCCTAGTTCAATGCCTTCAGATGCCTTATCAAAAGCAAGAACGAACCGCGTTCCACGGTGTAGAGACCTTGCGAAATGGCCTCCTTTCCTTCTACTTGGTCCTAGGACAAGATCAAGGCGAGCCTAGGTGGCTTTTTGCAACCCAGAGCAACACAACACACTCGACTTGGGATGTGTTGGGTCACTTGCATTCCGTTGCAATGCAACTCGACTCGACTTCAGGTCGATAAGGAAAATCGGATCTCCTTTGGATAAAATGCTGTCGCTCGTACGTACACCTGATGCTCATTTGAGTCTCCTTTAATCAGGCTGTGCTTTGGGCTTATAAACGTTTTAGACATTTCTCCAAGTTCGTTCCGTTTCGCCAGGGTGTTGAGGTGCTTCTAAAAAACACAGGCTGTAACTCGTTTGTTTTTCGAAAACAAAACTGGTGGGCCTGTGTTGTTGTTAGCTCAGGGTTTCGGGTTTCTGCTTGTTTCTGGCCAAGAAACAAGAACAAACTGGGTCAGCATGGTTTGTTTTGCGCCTAATATTCATACTTCGGCGTTTTCTCGCCCAAATGCAAGTTGATCCGCGTGCCTATACCGTGGGTGCAAATGACTAGAAAAAAACACGGGTGCAGAGTTTCTAAAATGGGAAGGACAAATTCGCGCGCAGTGGCTGGGCACCATGTGTACGAGGAAATCGAGATGGCTGCCTCTTCCCCCAGACCAAGCTCTTTTGCAAGGCTGCCTTTCTTGGTAAGTCTACCCAGTTGACTTCCTCGAATACGGGTGTTGCTCTTACATCCCGGGTTAATCCGGATCCTGTCTGGTTACGCACAGCCTTTGTTGTCAATGTTTAAGCGACTGATTGCAGGTTTGGCGGTTTACACCTGGAAAGGTCACCTGGATATGTGATTACTAAATAGTGTGGGAATGAATGAGAGTAGTCCATTGAAAATTACGACGTTGATTGCTACATTTAGGTGCCCACCCACCATAATCAGGTGTATAGGCGATTACCTCCCTCTAACCGGGATTCCCAAGCCGCCATCCGGGTCCTTTGTCCGTGGTGCTGCCGAGCTGACAGTGTTACACTAACGGTTTGTGCTGCCCGCGATGGCGAAACTCCACTGCGACGTCAATAAGAAGGTTCCAAAGAGGCAGAAGCACTTTTGTGCTCCGCTTGCTGTCGTCATCAGCCTCGATAACTGTGAGTGCACAACGAATACGATTTGAACACGGCATGGTTTGCCGGGAGATGTGCCGTCAAACATACGAGGGTGCACGTAGCTCCAAATCAAGTCGCCTCTTTCCGTGACGCGCCGCGTAGCTCTCACCCACAAGCGTAATCAAAACCACACCACGAAAACTCCTTGGGGCCAAACCGGAGAGAATCCATACCGAACCTCAGACGAATTAGGCAGCCACTAGTCAGTTTGCGAGGATTTCCTTGTCTCGGGAGGACCAGTAAGCTGCAAGCACATCGATAACGGGAACCAAACAGTGACGTGGCTAAAATAGCCATCCCACTACGACGGCTAGAAAGTCCACTGTTTACTTACACATAATCCAATGGTACACACAATTCTTATCACATGTCTTACCTGCATTCTTATGCTATACTTCGTAACTTCCCAGCAACCTTATAAATTAATATGTCTTGGTTAGGCCTATTGCCTGCTTCACGATAGTAATCAGCACCAACCCCTGCATACGTGCATTTCAACAAATACCACTAGTTATGCTTTTGAACAAACACAGCATGCATTGTGTACAGTTAGTATGGGTACACTTGTACTTGTACGCATGCACCTGTACAAATGATTCGCGAAGAACTAGCAACCAAGTAAAGTGGCAATAAAAGGAAGCTACACAAAATAGCCCACAGTTGAAGATAGGTCGTTGATGACCTGCACACGGAAAGAAAGCACAGGTACCGTAAGCGCAAAAAAGGTGGAAAACTCAAAATGCAAGTTCACTCACCCATGTTAAAACTCTAGCTGCTACGCAACCAAAGGCCTCATAATATCTGCATGATGTACAATATTACAATAGCTAACACCTCTCATATTCAACCCCTCTACTCACCTCCAGCTGCTCCGCACTGAACGCCTCCTTGTGGATGTGCCAGCTGCAGGCGTGCGTGCGCAGCACTTACCCCGACTTTTCGAAGGTTCTCAATATAGTCACCCCCACTACTCACCTCTAGCTGCTAGGTTCTCAATATACTCACCCCCACTACTCTACCTCTAGCTGCTAGGTTCTCAATATAGTCACCCCCAATCCTCACCTCTAGCTGCTAGGTTCTCAATATAGTCACCCCCAATCCTCACCTCTAGCTGCTCCGCACTGAACGCCTCCTTGTGGATGCGCCAGCGGTCCGAGTGTGTGCGCAGCACTTTATCCCCCCCAACAGTCAGCCCCCCCTCCCTACGCGCCCCCACCACTCACCTCTAGCTGCTCCGCACTGAACGCCTCCTTGTGGATGTGCCAGCTGTCGGCGTGTGTGCGCTTGAAGTCCCCCAGAGCCTTCCCCACCGCAGGCCCAACTGGAGCAGGCTCTCCTGCCAGGCTGGCAAGCGACAGCAGCACGTCTGGTAACCAGCTGGGGAGAAGCAAATGTTGCAGAAACGGAGAGAATAATGGGGTGTGAGTGAGCCCTCTCAGTTGCACGCCCAACTGGGGCAGGCTTTCCTGCCAGGCTGGCAAGCGACAGCAGCACATCTGGTAACCACCTGCACATCAACAAATATTCGGAAACCCGAGAAAAATGAAGGAGAATGAACCCTCTCAGTTACACGCCCAACTGGAGCAGGCTCTCCTGCCAGGCTGGCAAGTGAGAGCAGCAAGACTGGTGACCACCCGCATGGATCCGCATGGTTGGAGAAACAGAACCGGGGAGTGGGCTCTGTTAGTCACATACTATCAAGCTCACAGGCTTTCCTGCCAGGCTGGCAAGTTTCAGCAGCATTTCTGGTAACCACCGGAACACCGAAGCATGCCGATTTCAACGCTCGAGTTCCTATGTGATTTTTCAGGCATGACAATCGTCTCACTTTTGTATGCTAACTGTGCACTGAATACTGCATGCTTCTGCTATTGGAGCAGATCTTACAGGGGAACATCGTATGGTGCTGATCGCACGGCAGCTGCAAGCCCAAGCGCCGATCCATGCATCTTGACCGTCCGTGCTGCCGCCTTGGCTGCCGAGTCAGCATCCAACGGTTTTCCCCCACTGGCCCGTCTGCGGGAGGTTCTCGAGGCCTTGAGCGTGGCTGCAGCTGATTGGATGAAGCTCTGGCGAATGACAGCAGGCCACGTGTCACCCTGTTGGGCTGCCTTGAAAAGGCCTGCCAGCGTGGTGGATGCCATGTCACGCACCTGTGACAGGTTGAGAAAACAAGGGAATGAACGTATGAGAAGGGGGTGAGGGGAAAAAGGGGAAGGAATGCACTGCCAGAAGCAGAAAGAGACAAAAAACCATGGGGACATAGAAAGAATACGAACGAATAGTGGCAGACAAAGCAGCGGTGGCGACAAGTAGTATAGCATGATAGTGCAAGGAGAGAGAGGTGTGTGCATTGAAGAGCAGAAGCAACTGTGTTGCCAGGCATTATGGCGGGCAGACAAAGCAGCGGTGTCGAGGAGTAGTAGTTTTATAGTATAGCGGCATAGTGCAAGGAAAGAGAGGTGTGTGCATTGGAGAGCAGAAGCAATCCTGATGCCGGGCATTATGGCGGGCAGGCAGTGATGGCTCGTGACAGATTTTTGAGGCGCCTCAGAGCCAATCCTGTTGCTGGGCATTACGGCGGGCAGGCAGTGATGGCTCGTGACAGATTTACCGCAGTTACCACGTGTCAAGGTTCAGGGTTCAGGTGTGTATACCTCTGGCTGTGGGTCTTGCAGGCAGGTAATGACTGCTTCACGGAGCGATGAGAGGTCGGCGGGTGACAGAAGGAAGCCATTGCTGCAAAAGAAAGAGGATGGAGATGGGAGTATGGTGGTTAGTCAAGCGGCACCGCTGCTGCTGCTGCTGGCATGGTGGCTGCTGCTGCTGCTGCTTCTGCAGCCAAAGCAGACACCTTGAAGCACCAACTCACCGAAAGACAAAGGACTGGCAGAGCGAGAGAGCAGCAGCCCTCTCCTTCCAGTTGCCCGACTGTGCTGCTGCCTGCACCGCCGCTGCTGCTGCTGGCACGGCGGTTGCAGGGAGGGGCAGGTACTTGGTGTAGGCGAGACATTGCTTGGCGAGGAGAGAAAGGTCCGTGTTGGGGGTTTCCTGAGAAAAGGGAAGGACAATGAGAGGTGGAATGAGAGGCAGGTTGAGGTGGAAAAGGCACAGAAAGTTGTCGACTCCAGGTATGGTGATTGCAGGGAGGGGCAGATACTAGGTGTAGGCAAGGCATAGCTTGGCGAGCAGTGAGCTCACAGGAGGAACACATTTTTGAGGCGCCTCAGAAATGGACTTGACGACAGACATGAGGAAACTAATTTTGAGGCGCCTCAAAAACAGACTTGACAACAGACATGAGGAATCTATTTTTGAGGCGCCTGAAAAGCAGGTACTTGGCGTAGGCAAGGTAGTGCTTGGCCTTGGCGAGCAGTGGGCTCATGAGAAGCACACATCAACGTGAGGAACACTGCCCAACAAGCGTACCTGGATGGAGAGCAGAGGTGGCAGCAGAGCGACGATCGTTGGGAGGAATGGAGGAGCGTCTCCCGACTTGACAGCAGACATGATGAAGTAGAGAATCTGAGGGGGTGAAAAGGGTTGGGAGGGGTGGGGAGGAGTTGGGAGGTTGTTATAAGAGTGAATAGAGGAAAAACAACGGAGGGGCGTCTCCTGACTTCACAGCGGACATGAGGAAGTAGAGAATCTGCAGGGGCGAAGAGGGGTTAGGAGGGGTTAGGAAGTTACAATTCGAGTAAAGAAACGTGGGCGGGAGGCGGGCGTTGAAGTTTAGCCAGAAGTTATTCGAAACCAAGCACATGCGTTGTGATAGAGGCTTTTGAGTCGACTCAAAAGCACATGCGTTGTGATAGAGGCTTTTGAGTCGACTCAAAAGCACATGCGTTGTGATAGAGGCTTCTGAGTCGACTCAAAAGCACATGCGTTGTGATAGAGGCTTTTGAGTCGACTCAAAAGCACATGCGTTGTGATAGAGGCTTTTGAGTCGACTCAAAAGCACATGCGTTGTGATAGAGGCTTTTGAGTCGACTCAAAAGCACATGCCGTTGTGATAGAGGCTTTTGAGTCGACTCAAAAGCACATGCGTTGTGATAGAGGCTTTTGAGTCGACTCAAAAGCACATGCGTTGTGATAGAGGCTGCCCTCACGAGGCTGCCCTCACAAATGAACATTGATCCATGGAGGCTGCCCTCACAAATGAACATTGATCCATGGAGGCTGCCCTCACAGATGAATTCTATAATGCACCTATACGCAAGCACATGCGTCGCGTTTGCTAAAAATGTAGGTTGATTTTCAGAATTCTGGCAAACAACCCACACTCCTGTCCTCCCCATAAAAAAAGTAGGCCCTCATCCTTTGCATGATATAGAACAATACGGAAATTGCCTAAAACCGATTCTAAAAACATGGGTTTTTTACGGGGAAAGCACTCACCGATTCCATTGTCCACACGCTCTTGTCCTCTTCAGATCCCTCCCTCCCTGCTTCACTGCTCTCCTCATCCCCTCCCTCCTTCCCCTCCACCACCCCTTCCATCTCCCCCTCTTGTTTCTTCGAACCCTCCTTTGTCTCTTTCTGCTGCTCGGTGCTGCTTCCCATGGACTTGATCACTGTAGCAGCTTTGGCAGCTTCTGCCAAGATATGATTCGACAGGCTGGCAGTCGCAGCAGCAGACACGGAAGAGGAGGAAGAGGCCGAACCAGCGAATCTAGTGCTGAGTGCAGCCAGAAGAGCAGATAACACCTCCCCCAGAAGCTGACGAACCTGTCTCGCGCTATGCGTCATCAGCCCCTTAGCTTCATCTGCCAATCTCACAAGGAAATCCAATTCCTCCTCAGCTTCCTTCTGCTGCTCCTTACTTCCAGGCTCAGACCTTCCCTCCCCTTGCCCCATCTCCCCTACCGCCACCACCAGCAGCATCAGACGTTTCGCCTGCTGACCCGATGCTGCATTTCCCGGAAGCTTCTCCAGAAGCTTCTCCCGCACGAGCCGCTGAATCCTGCCCCTCACTCCCCCTCCTCCTCCCCTTCGTCCATCCCCTCCCCCGTCCAATTCCTCTGCCCCAAATTCCTTACCACTCACATCCTGTCTCCTCCTAGTCAAGACATATCTCACACATGTGGCCCAGTCGGTTTGAGATTCCACGGAGCAATGCAGAATGGCTTGGTGGAACAGACGAGCCAACCAACCAGGAGCGGGAGGATTCAGCGACGGTGAGGAAGAGTCAGAACCAAGAGGAGCCTCTGCTTCCGCCCTGGCCCGAACCTGGTTCTCAGCCTCGGCCAGTACCTCTGGCTCAGGCTCGGCACACCAGGCGTGCAGCACACCAGGGTGTGCAGAGGCAAGGAGGCCTGCGGTGATCTCTGCTGCTGCGCTCTGTGCTCCCTTGTCAGTCTCTTTGGATACCAGGTCTTGCAGGCATGGGTGGAGTGCGTGCAGGAAGGCTGTCACTGCTGCTGTGCTGCCAGGTGCGGCGCCAGATGCGTTACTATCAGTAGCAGCGTCTGCAGCTGCAGGGGAATCGGCAGCAGCGCCAGCACCAGCAGCAGCAGCAGTAGCAGCAGCAGCACCAGCAGCAGCACCAGCAGCAGCAGCAGCACCAGCAGCAGCAGCAGCACCAGCAGCAGCACAAGCTTGCACGAGCAGCTCAAAGAGCATCGCATTCGCCACCACAAATGAGGACGACTGCGGACAGGACGGCACCAACCCCCGGGACCTGCTCCTCGGCCAATCTGAGAGCAGCGCTGACGTGGCAGACGCTCCAAGCCCCGCGCTGAACAGTGCGGATACTGTAGCTCCAGGATTGTCGCCCCCGCCCGCCCCATTCCCCCCTCCCCCTCCGCCAAATAGACCCGCTAGCCTTCCCCCGCCGCCCCTGCCCCTCCCCCGCCCGTTTGCCCCTGAAGGGAGATCTCCGGATTGATGGTCGAGTGAGAGATGGGAAGTGAGGGAGGAGAGGAAGGAGGGAGATGTGAGGAGGGAGAGAGGGAGGGGAGGAGGAGTGAGTGAGGAGGAGAGCGCAAGAGATTGGAGGGGAAGAGGAGGAGGAGGAGGAAGTGGGGAGGATGAAGGGAGAGAGGCGAGGAGGGGAGTTTGGAGGGAAGGGGGGAGGAGGAGGAGAAGCGCGGAGGTGGCGAGAGGGCGGAGGAGAGGGAGAGGGCCAGCAAGGAGGCTCAGGTAATGCAGAGGCAGGTATGGGGTCTGCTGTTGTGGAAGAGGAGGAGGAGTAAGTGGAGGAGGTGAGGTGGAGGGGACGGAGGAGGAGAGGAGGGCGAGTAGTGCATTGGCCATGAGAGCGTACCTGGGAGAGAGGGAGGGGGAGAGGAGGGAGACAGGAAGGTTGGCTGGGGAGTTTTGAGGCGCCTCAGGAGAGGAGGGCGAGCAGTGCATTGGCCATGAGAAAGAGAATAGCGTATCTGGAATAGAGGATCGTAAGAATTCTCCTTAGCTGCAGCTCGCCCAGTCTCATGGCTGAGAAAGAGAATAGCGTATCTGGAATAGCGGATCGTAAGAGGAAGAATGCACGGGGAGGGAACGGGCAAGGGGCGAGGGAAAAGGTGGGGGGTGCAGGGGGGTGAGAAAGGTGCTAATGAGCAGCGCATTGGCTATGAGAGAGTATCTGGGAGAGAGAGGAGGGTTCGATGAGTAATGCACCAGGAGGGGACGGGAGCAGGGTGCACCAGGAGGGGACAGGTGAGGGTTGTAGAGGGATGGGAAGTGGTGAGCGAGGTAAAGGGTATAGTAAAGCTCGCTCACCACTTCCCATCAGTGGGAGGCAGCGTAATTGAGATCACATTAAATATTTCAAAAAAGAAAAAGAATGAAAAGAGACGTCTTACAAGTGGAAGAAAAAGGAGGAAAAAGAGGATGACGGGGGGAGGAAGGGGGGGGGGGGGTGCAAGGAAAACGCACCTCCAGTGCGTGGCTGCAGAGGCAATTGCACTACCATCAGCAGCAGTAGCAGTTGCTGCACTCGCACCACCAGTAGCAGCAGCGGCGGGAACATTAGCAGCAGCAGCAGGAGCAGCGATGGTCCAGAGGAGCGCGAGAGCTCCCTGTGCTTGAGAAGCGACGTCACCATTACCACCACTAGACTCCCACCCGCTCTCCCACCCACTCTCCTCCCCCTCAGTCTGCTCCACTTGACCTTGCTCCTCTCCCATAGCAGGCACCCGGCGGGGCCGAACCGGGTTCACTCCAGCGAAGCGAGAGACAAACGCGATGAAGAGCTGATGGAGGGAGGGAGGGGATGCACGGGGGGGGGATTTGACAAAGACGGGTTTTGGGCCGCCTCAAAACATGGCGTCATCAAATGGGAGAGGCACAGGCAGCTCATTGACAAACGACACGATTGGTAGCGTTGATTTCTACAGCTTGCAAATCCGGTGGGCATGCTCCTTCAGAAACAGGACCGTGGGTTTTGCTCCAGCAGTATTCTAGGTAAAAAAAAAAAAAGGTATACACAAAGATGTATATGAATCAGGACAACGTGCCATGGCAAGACACGCCAAAGCTATACTAATGAGGCGCTCAAGCGAAGTGACTGTGAAGATGAAACACTGAGTTCACAATGCGGTTGTGGTCTCTTCTTACCTGGTTGATGGCGTTAAGAGCCTTGAGAGAATCAATGGAGTGCCTGGGGTGGGTGCACAAGGGGAGAATGATTGGTGGTGAAGGGGGGGAGGGAATGCACGAGTGCAAGAGAGAGCAGAAAGAGAGGGTATGTGGAGCTAGAGCCTTCAGAAAGTCGATACAACTGTTAAAAGTAAAGAAGAAGAAAAACAAAACCCAAGCTAAGAGAAAGTTGCAGCAGCTGGAGTCTGGACGTCGGGAGAAGGCACAAGTGGTTGCAAGGAGGGTAGCTCACGAGGCCAGGAGTGCAGAGAGGAAAGGAGCCAAAGCCCGCCAGTCGTAAGCGATCTTGCGCATGATCGGCCGGCTCACGAACACCTGGCAGGCCCCCACTGCTGCCTCCTCCCTGTCCTCCTTCTCCTCCACTTCCTCTCCCTCCTCTGCCGTTTTCATCTCCTCCACCTTCTCTTCCTCACTCTCTTGCTTCTCTCGGTCACCATTGCCATCACCACCGTTGCTGCCAGCACTCTTCCCCATCCTGAGCAGCCTTGCCACTGCGCCTGCCTCCCCAGCCACGCACGGCGCCAGCTGGCGCAATGCCGTGTCGACAGCTGGCGGGAAGCGCTTGAGAAGGAGCTCCAGGCTGGCACGCGCAACACTGGGAGGTGGGGAGAGCGGGAAAGATTGCCATGAGGAAAGAGATGACATTTGGAAAGGGGACGGAGAAGCAGCAATAGCTGGCGGGAAAGGAGCGCTTAAGGGGGAGGTCCAAGCTGGCATGGCCGACGCTGGGAGGTGGTGCTTAGGGTATAGAAATTTTGGTGCAAGGTTGGATGGGGGGAAACAGGGTTGAGGGGATTAGGGGTGATGGTGGAGGGGTGATGGTGGAGGGGTGATGGTGGAGGGGTGATGGTGGAGGGGTGATGGTGGAGGGGTGATGGTGGAGGGGTGAAGACCATCAATGTGATGAGTGATTGATTAGTATAAGAATGAAAGGGTAAAAGGGGTCAAGGTGCTGACTGACGGTGCTGACTGACGGTGCTGACTTCACTGTAGCAGCAATAGATCTCCCCACCCTTCCCAGCTGCACTTGCAGGCCGCAACCCCAAGCCCTCTTTTTGAAGCACCCTCAACTCAACTCACCCCTGCACGGACGCATATCGGTGCACTGACAGCAGCAGCAGATTTCTCAGCAACACCTTCAATCAGCATACTTCTGCTTCTACCTTTTCCTTCCCTCCCATTTCTCCCCTTCCCCCCCAACCAACTCACCCCTGCACGGACGCATATCGGTGCACCGACAGCAGCAGCAGATCTCCCAGCAGCACCTTCACCGCCCTAGGGAGGGGCAGTGGGCGGCGCTGGCCGGCGTAGATTGTCTTGAAGTGCGCCTGAGAGGCCCTCCAGAGGAGATGCTCGTATGCCAGCTCTGCCAGCACCCACGGCGGCCTGAGGGGGGGAGGGAAGGAAAGGGGAAGCGGGAAGAAGAACAGGGGAAAAGGGAGTCAAGGCACTCAGTGCACACTTCCTCCTGATCTCCCCTGCCTGCATCCATGGTAACCCCTTGGGCTCTGACAGCAGCCCCGCTGGCTGCTCCTCTTCCTCACACACCCCAGCTCAACCATCCCACCCTTACACCTGCCCTCACTCACCTCCTCCTGGTCTTCTCTGCCTGCATCCATGGTAACCCCTTGGGCTCTGACAGCAGCTGCTCCGTCTGCTGCTACTCGTTCCCACACTACCCGGTCCATTCCACCCTCCTCCCCACTCCCCCTCCCACTCACCTCCTCCTGGTCTCTCCAGGATTCATCCACGGCGACCCCTTGGGCTCTGATAGCAGCCCCGCCTGCTGCTTCACCACCCTCACACGGACAGTTCTATCCCACCCTCGTCCCCTCAAACCCTGCCCCTACTCACCTTCTCGTCTCCCCAGCCTTCATCCACGGCGACCCCTTGGGCTCTGATAGCAGCCCCGCCTGCTGCTTCACCACCCTCGCACAGACAGTTCTATCCCACCCTCGTCCCCTCAAACCCTGCCCCTACTCACCTTCTCCTCGTCTCCCCAGCCTTCATCCACGGCGACCCCTTGGGCTCTGATAGCAGCCCCGCCTGCTGCTTCACCACCCTCGCACGGACAGTTCTATCCCACCCTCGTCCCCTCTCAAACCCTGCCCTCCCTCACCTCCTCCTCGTCTCTCCAGGTTTCATCCAAGGCGACCCTTTAGGTTCTGATAGCAGCCCTGCTTGCTGCTTCACCACCCTGAGCCCGTGCAGAGAGTCTGAGTACTCAAGTGTGCCTGGGGCGAGGGAAGAGTGGGGTGACAGGAAGTCGATTTTATGGAGACATGGGGTTTACAGATTTTTGAGGAGCTACAGGTGCCCCGCCTACTGCTTTGCTTTGCTCCACCACCCTGAGCCCGTGCAGAGAGTCGGAGTACTCAAGTGTGCCTGGGACAATGCACGAGGGCAGCAAGGGGGATATGACGATATAAACAAAAAGTAAAACCCGACCAGCACATCCCATAGGCTCTGCTACTGTTCTGCTTCTGCAAGCAGCAGCAGCCTTCATAGCAACACTCACATTCCTCACTGTTGTGGAAGCAAGAATGTCCCAGTGGGTACCTTTGGTCTTAGTGGTCGCGGGTTCAACTCTCATCGGCAGCACCTTCTCTTCTCATTATGCCGAACATGACACTCCCACACTCCACCACACTCACCCACAGTGAAGTGTGGTCACAGTTGGCATTGCCATCTGTCCACCCATCCCATACTCACCTTGTTGGCTCCTATGGTGTGCCACATGCTGCCATGTAGGCTGTTGTTCCAGCCTGGCCCACATGTGCAACATGTGGCCTCAATTGCTAGCTTGGCAAGGTTGGCTAGCCCTGCCCTCAGCTTTGAGGTGCTGCAGCTAGCCTCAAGAGTTCAGCCACATAAATGTGGCTTCCCACTTCTCTAGAACTCATCCTTGGAAAGGACATTGCTCTAGCCTTTCAGGCTTGTACCATCTTCCTACTAAGGATATATTGTTCTTCTCTCATTGTGCCTCAAGTTCACCGATCCTCATTTTACATGGTATCAGAGCAAGGCTTCTAGCTTAGTGAACGTTGCACACTTCATGGCTCAAGTTGAAACGCCTCTCGATCGGCACACCCTTCCCATCTTGGAACCAGATGGTTCCAACTTCATTCCATGGAAGAAAAAGATCTGCTACATCTTCAATGTCCTCGGGCTGATCTCCCTCCTTGGAGATCCCAAGGTTGCTTTGCGTCCTTCAATCTCCTCTTCCACAACCAGCGGTGGAGAGACTACCGAAGGCAACAGCGGTGCAGCCCCTAAGACAGCCCATTCGATTGCTTCGCTGCCGGATGAAGAAAAAGAGGAGCATGCATACTATCTTCTCATGTCAGCCGTCCATCCTCAACTATCGCTCACTCTTGCTCAAGCCAACACGACAAAGGATATGTGGGGATGCATCATGGCGCGGTTCGACTGCATGGGCAACCATGCACAAGTGGCTCTCCTCCGGGATCTCATCACTACACGGATGGACCCAACAACAAGTCTTCGCTCCTACTTTGATCGAGTTGGAAACCTTACACACCAACTCAAATCTGCCGGCTTTGAGCTACCATCATGGGTGGTGGTAATCTCCATCATCCTCAACCTTCCGGACTCGTTCAAGACCCTTACTGAAACCATTTGCACCGTGAAAGACATAAAGTCTATGACGGTTGAATACCTACATTCACGCCTACTCGATGCCGATTGGGAGCGGTCACAATCTGGTACAAGCCGTAACATGGAGGGTGCATACAACCTCAATTCCCAGCCCTCCCACCCTCTTCGCTCCGGTTCACGCCAGTCGCCCACCTGCCGTTACTGCAAGAAAACGGGTCACACCATCGATGAATGCTTCAAATTGAAGAAGAAGAAAGAGCTTGAAGAAAGCTCTAAACGGGAGAAATCCGTCTTCCAACCCTCGGTGCATGTCTCCACCAGCTCCTCTGCTGAAGCTACTCCGACCCCCACACCACCTCCTGCCCCATCAACCCCTCAGTCCGTACCTGATTCCCGGTACGTGGACATTGCTGTCAGCACCAGCCACCACCCCATCTTCTCCACATGGACTCCTCTCGTCGCTGCTGTCTTCATTCTCACCATCCTCCTTCTCCTCCTCCTCTTCCCTTATGGGGCTCCCTACGCATCGGCATTCACGGCCTCCTCATTCAATATGGAGCGGACTTCGTCGTGGCTGGTGGACAGCGGCGCATCCTCCCATATCTGCTCGGATCGTTCGCTGTTTTCGTCTCTCAAGAAGCCCAACGAAGAGATCCTTGTTCGTTTTGGTGGAGGAGAGACTTACAAGATCTTGGGAGTCGGCACGGTGGTGGCTACTCTTCGGTCACCAACATCGGAAACCACCATTCAGCTTGACAACGTTCTATTTCTCCCTTCATCAGTTCACAACCTGCTCTCTGTTCGTGCGCTTGGTGCTGCCGGCGTTGCCGTCTCGTTCCCCGCTGCTGGGCGCGTTGTTCTCACATCTGATGACGTTCCTATTGGCGAGGGCTACACCCGCAACAATCTGTTTTATCTTCAACTGCATCATGGGAGCAGTGCTGCTCCTTCTATCAAGCCAACTGCATGTCCAGCCTCCACCACCACCTCCTCGTACCTCTGGCATCGTCGTTTCGGGCATCTCAACATGCAGGCCTTGTCAACACTTCATCGGCAGCAGCTGGTCACCGGTCTTCACCTCTCCTCCACCTCGATTCCCCCCTGCATCTCGTGCTATCGTGGGAAACAAACACGTCAGCCATTTGGCGTGTCCCATTCTCGCACCACAGCCCCACTCCAACTCATTCACTCAGATATTGCTGGACCGCTTTCATATGGAACTACCATTGGCGGCGCTCGCTACCTTCTCACCTTCATCGACGACTACTCCCGCCACATTACAGTGTATCTCCTACGCCACCGGTCGGAGGCACTTTCATGCTTCAAGGCTTACGTCACTCGGGTGCACAACATGCATTCCCCACACACCATCAAAACCTTTCGCTCTGACGGTGCCTTGGAGTTCACTTCCAAAGCCTTCACTTCATTCTTTACAGCTCATGGCATCGCCCGCCACCTCTCCACGCCATACACACCTGAGCAAAATGGAGTAGCTGAGCGGGCCAACCGGACTTTACTTGAGATGGTCCGTTCCATGCTCCATGATGCACACATGGACAAAGGCTGGTGGGGTGAAGCCGCTCTTACTGCTGCCTATCTTCGTAATCATGCCATTAGTCGGGGTGGTTCAACTTCTAAGACTCCCATGGAACTATGGACCGGTGCACGTCCGGATGTATCACACCTCCGCATCTTCGGTTCACCCGTCTCGGTCCTCATTCCTTCCCAACGGCGTTCTAAGCTCGACGACCGAAGCACGGCCGGCATCATGGTTGGATATGGTCATCTCGACGGCACCAAAGCTTACCGCGTCTATATCCCATCTCAGCACCGTGTCATCCTTTCTCGTGATGTCATCTTCATGGAGCCCTCTGCACCGCCTTCCGACGACTCTCGCGACCCTCCATCGTCATCTCCACCCACATCCTCCTCACTACCTCCTCCTACACACCCTTCTTCCTTGGACCCAATCTCCCCTCCCTCTCCTTTCCCCACCATACCTTCCTCCACCAACCCCCACCCACAATCCCCAAACCTGCCCGCACCAGCCACATCTTCTCCTCCTCCATTGTTTTCCAACCTTCCTCTGCCCTCGACGCCGCAAGACTTTCACCTTCCATCCTTCTCTCCTCCCTCTTCGCCTCCCCCTCCCCATTGCACGACTCGCTCCTCCCCGCCATCCCCTTCAGCTCTTCCCGATCCTTCCCTTTTCTCCTTCCTCAAGGTCTTACCATCCCCTTCCGAACCCATTGACTTCACTCTTCCTCCTCTTTCCAACACCTCTGCCAATGCTGCCCTTCACCATCATTACGAACCTCAAACCATTCATGAGGCTCGTACCGGCCCTGATGCTGCCGAATGGATCAAGGCTGCTGATGCGGAACTCGCTGCCCTGCACGCTAATGACACCTACAGCATTGTTCCTCGACCACCCAAGTGCAAGCCGATTCCATGCAAATGGATTTTCAAGGTCAAGGAGAACGCTGATGGTTCTATTGAACGCCGCAAAGCCCGCCTTGTTGTCAAAGGCTTCAAGCAACGTGATGGTGTTGATTTTCATGACACCTTTGCTCCTACCGTCCGCTTCGCCACCCTCCGCTTGTTTCTCACCATAGCTGCCGCTTTCAACCTGGACGTCCATCAGCTGGACATCTCCAACGCCTTCCTCAACGGCACCCTTGATGAGATTCTCTACATGATGCAGCCTCCCGGTTATGACCTTCCGGCGGTCCATGGTGTTGAGCAAGTTTGTCTCTTGCACAAACCGCTGTACGGGTTGAAGCAAGCTCCGCGATGCTGGTACCGCAAGCTTCGTGAGGAGCTTGCTGCCTTTCACCTCTTTGCTGCTCGTGCGGACCCCGGCCTCTTCATTGCTCCTCCTCACTCACCTTATCGGCCTACAGCTGCATCCTTCTTCATGCTTCTCGTCTATGTTGACGACGTCATCATTCTCTCCTCCTCCTCCTCTCTTCTTGCCTCATTCAAGCATGCCCTTTCATCTCGCTTCAAACTTCGTGACCTCGGACCTCTCTCCTACTACCTTGGCTTTCACATCACTCGTGATCGAACTTCCTGCACTCTCCACCTTCATCAATCCAAATTCATCACCTCCATTCTAGACACCTACTCCTTCTCTCCACTGAACCCCGCTGCCACTCCCATGGACACAAAGTTTCAGCCACCCGTGACTTCCTCCCCGCACTCCTCCTCCTTCCCTTACACCTCGTTTGTCGGCTCCATCATGTATGCCATGGTGGGGACCCGTCCCGACCTCGCATATAGCGCTGGAGTTCTTGCTCGTCACCTTCACGATTGGTCTACTCCTCACGTCTCGGCTGCCAAACGCATTGCTCGCTACTTGAAAGGGACTACCTCCCTTGGGCTTCTCCTTGGTGGCATTCCCGACACCCTCGAACTTCATGGCTGGTGTGACGCCTCTTGGGGACCGGAGGGGGAGCTGCGTCGCTCCGTTACGTGCTACTTGTTCTTCCTCGGTCTGTCACTCATCTCTTGGCAGTCCAAACGCCAAGCCGTCGTTGCTACCTCTTCATGTGAAGCTGAATATTACTCTCTGGGCGCCGCGGTGCACGAGGCATTATAGCTTCGTTCGCTCCTTACTGCAGTTGGACTTCCCCCTACCGGCCCCACCCGTATCTCGTGTGACAACAACAGTGCCATCATTCTCGCCAAGGACGATGGCGTCTTTCATCCCAAGGCCAAGCATATCGACATCAAGCACCATTTCATTCGCGATCATGTTGCCGACCACTCCATCACCCTTCACTATGTTCCTACTCAAGACAACCTCGCTGACATTGGGACCAAGCCTTTGCCCCGTGACCCTTTTCTTCGCATCCGTGGTCTTCTCGGTCTCACCCATGTTTCCTCTTGAAGCACCCTACCCCGGGGACATCCTTGAGGGGGGGTGTTGTGGAAGCAAGAATGTCCCAGTGGGTACCTTTGGTCTTAGTGGTCGCGGGTTCAACTCTCATCGGCAGCACCTTCTCTTCTCATTATGCCGAACATGACACTCCCACACTCCACCACACTCACCCACAGTGAAGTGTGGTCACAGTTGGCATTGCCATCTGTCCACCCATCCCATACTCACCTTGTTGGCTCCTATGGTGTGCCACATGCTGCCATGTAGGCTGTTGTTCCAGCCTGGCCCACATGTGCAACATGTGGCCTCAATTGCTAGCTTGGCAAGGTTGGCTAGCCCTGCCCTCAGCTTTGAGGTGCTGCAGCTAGCCTCAAGAGTTCAGCCACATAAATGTGGCTTCCCACTTCTCTAGAACTCATCCTTGGAAAGGACATTGCTCTAGCCTTTCAGGCTTGTACCATCTTCCTACTAAGGATATATTGTTCTTCTCTCATTGTGCCTCAAGTTCACCGATCCTCATTCTACACTCACATAGGCATCTCTGTGTGGGTTTATGTGCCACAGCAACCCCTCCCTCTTATCTGGGTTTAACAACAGCCCTTGCACTTCAGCAAGCAGCGTGAGCGTCTCAGTATCATCCCACTGTCGCCTCACACACGCCTCACAAACAACCTTTTTTAGACGTCTCAAAAAGACAACCATACATGAACCTAGCACATTCCTACTGCTCGATCACCCCCCTCACCTGGGTTCAGCAGCAACCCTTCCACTTCTGCCAGCAGCATGAGCGTCTGAGTGTGATCCCTCTGCCTTACCACCCGCCAACACTCAAGCGCCTCATAGAACATCATTTATAGAGGCAGCTCTCTGTGAGGTGTGCATGTCCCTTCCACCTCTCTGTGAGGTGTGCATGTCCCTTCCACCTCTCTGTGAGGTGTGCATGTCCCTTCCACCTCTCTGTGAGGTGTGCATGTCCCTTCCACCTCTCTGTGAGGTGTGCATGTCCCTTCCACCTCTCTGTGAGGTGTGCATGTCCCTTCCACCTCTCTGTGAGGTGTGCATGTCCCTTCCACCTCTCTGTGAGGTGTGCATGTCCCTTCCACCTCTCTGTGAGGTGTGCATGTCCCTTCCACCTCTCTGTGAGGTGTGCATGTCCCTTCCACCTCTCTGTGAGGTGTGCATGTCCCACAACAATTATCCCCTCACCTGGGTTCAGTTCAGCAGCAACCCTTCCACTTCAGCCAGCAGTGTGAGCGTCTGAGTGTCATCCCTCTGCCTCACAGGCAGTTCCCTGTATGTATGCGTGCCACACCCACTCCCCTCACCTGGGTTCAACAACAGCCCTTCCACTTCTGCCAACAGCGTCAGCGTCTGAGTGTCATCCCTCTGTCGCCATACAGGCAGTTCCCTGTATGTATGGGTTTCACCCCCCCCCCCCCTCACCTGGGTTCAACAACAGCCCTTCCACTTCCGCCAGCAGCGCCAGCGTCTGAGTGTCGTCCCTCTGCCGCCTCACCAGCCACACACACGCCTCATGAAGCTCCCCAGAAGCTTCCTCGCGCATAGTAACATCGCCTATAGTCACTCCCGACCGTCCCACCACTGCTAGAGGGGTGCCTGGTGACATGGCGTCGCTGGGTGCGCCGGAGGCTTGGGTCCCGAACCTGGTGGTCAGGTCCGGGAGGTTGGTTCGGGTGCCGGAGAAAACGGCCCAGAGGCGGCGAAGGGCCACTCGCCAGGCCAGTTTGGCTGGTGGGAGGGAGGAGATGCACGCAAAGAGGGATGGGGGGGACGATTGGGGCGGCGGGGAAAATTGGGGTGGGGGGGTGGAGACATGCATAAGGGAAAAAGGGAGAAAACGGCCCAGAGGCAAGTTCGGCTGGAGGAAGGAGAACCACATGTGGGGGCGGAAAAGAAATGTAAAAGGCAAAAAGGGTTTAGGGAAGAAATATATGAAGGAACGGTGAGGGGGAGTGAGAAGGGGTTGAGGCGAGGGAGGCAGGAGACATACGAAAGGACTGAGGGGGGAGAAAGTAGTGCATGCACTAAATTTGTGCTTTGAATCGACTCAAAACACGACACACGAAAGGACTGAGGGGGGAGAGAGTGGTGCGGTGCATGAACTTGATTTGTGTTTTGAATCGACGACTCAAAACACGATACACAAAAGGACTGAGGGGGGGGAAGTGGTGCATGCACTAGATTTGTGCTTTGGATCGACTCAAAACACGACACACGAAAGGACTGAGGGGGGAGAGAGTGGTGCGGTGCATGCACTTGATTTTGAGTGGCAACGGTTTAAAGACAGAGGTTTAAAATTCCCCTTCGGTACAACCAACACAGCTCACCTCCAACTGCTGCTGAGCTGGCTGATGCTGACGTGGCAGGCCTTGTGCGCAACCACCGGATATCCCTCAACGCGCCGCCCAGGTACTTGTCAATAAGCTGGGTGGCAAGTGTTGTCTCTTCTGTGGATGGCACGTGCCACTGGAGAGCTCCTGCTGCTGCCACTTGTCCTGCTGCTATTGGAGGCGCCGCTGCTGCTGTTGCTGATGCTGCTTGTTTGGAAAACCACCTCTCAACCCCTGGAGCTGAATCTTCCCAGCCCAAGAAACTGTGGAGAGACAGGAGGGAGACAGCATAAGTACGGCCATCCAACCAGCGCGCAGGGACAAGAACAATGTGGGAAAATGTCTTAACCATAAGGTGCTTACAGAACAAGAATCAGCAAGAAGGAATACAGCAGAGTGGAGAGATAGAGAGCGTGCTCTTAAGCTCACGTGAACTTACGTGTATTTATTCAAGGGGTAAGAGAAGACGAGCGCGAACAGGAACTGACTTTTGAGTCGACTCAAAAGTTAAACTTACGTGTATTCATTCAAGGGGTAATAGAAGACGAGCGCGAACAGGAACTGACTTTTGAGTCGACTCAAAAGTTAAACTTGCGTGTATTCATTCAAGGGGTAATAGAAGACGAGCGCGAACAGGAACTGACTTTTGAGTCGACTCAAAAGTTGAACTTACGTGTATTCATTCAAGGGGTAATAGAAGACGAGCGCGAACAGGAACTGACTTTTGAGTCGACTCAAAAGTTAAACTTGCGTGTATTCATTCAAGGGGTAATAGAAGACGAGCGCGAACAGGAACTGACTTTTGAGTCGACTCAAAAGTTGAACTTACGTGTATTCATTCAAGGGGTAATAGAAGACGAGCGCGAACAGGAACTGACTTTTGAGTCGACTCAAAAGTTAAACTTACGTGTATTCATTCAAGGGGTAATAGAAGACGAGCGCGAACAGGAACTTTTGAGTCGACTCAAAAGTCAGCTCGCCGAAAGTTAAACTTACGTGTATTCATTCAAGGGGTAATAGAAGACGAGCACGAACAGGAACTTTTGAGTTGACTCAAAAGTCAGCTCGCTGAAAGTTAAACTTACGTGTATTCATTCAAGGGGTAATAGAAGATGAGCGCGAACAGGAACTTCTGAAGCAGATCCGCTGCTGAGTCAACCACCTGTGAGGGAGGGTAACCAGGGAGAAGGAGGGGGTGATACTGAGTAAGCACAAATTAACGGAATCTTTATTAGCCGCTTTGATGAAACGAAAATGTGGCTGCTGCATGCATTGTGTTTTAGCGATACGATTTTCAGGAATTTACGGAACAATGTTGCAAAACACACCTTCTGGGACGTGGATGAGAAGGCCGCATCGATAAGCGCGATGAGGCGGTTTTTATGTGCTATCAAAGCAGAGCCACTAAAGGGGACAGCGTTGCTGACGAGATGCATGTGGAAGAGAACAGTGGCCTCCTGAGTTGTCGACAGCTGATTGGCTGGCAGCTGCGCGGGCGGGAGCAACAGGGGAAGGGAAGGTCGGCAGACGGCAATAAGGAAAGTGAGATAATGGAGATGGTGGGGAAACTCATGATGTTGCAGGATGTTTTTGAGAATCCTAAAAAAAACCCTGCAACACGATGATGGAGATGGTAGGGAAACGCATGAACTGGTGCTAAAAGTCACAGAGATGTGAAAGGAAATATTACGCAGGCAACCATTACTGCTCTTTTCTTTACTGCTCGTCCTCACCGCTCTTCACCGCTCGACGCCCCACTCTACCACTCACTTTCAGTGCCTCCCCTGCATCCGCAGCAGCAGCAGGAGACTCAGCAAGCACCAGGAATGACGTGGCAAGCAGCGATTGGAGGAGGGACATGGCAGAATCCATGACTCCGGCAAGGATCCGAGTGCAGGTGGCCTCAGGAGCAGCATAGGCCAGAGCTGCCACGAGTGTGCCGATCTCCTCCTCACACCCGCGGACGACAGAGCTGGACACAAAGCGCTCCACCCTTGAGATGACCTGTTGGGTGGTCAGGAAAAGCAGAGGGAGGAGCAAATCCTTAGTAAAAGGCATCAGGAGCAGCATACGCCAACGCTGCCACGAGTGTGCCGATCTCCTCCTCACACCCGCGGACGACAGAGCTGGACACATAGCGCTCCACCCTTGAGATGACCTGTTGGGTGGTCAGGAAAAGCAGAGGGAGGAGCAAATCCTTAGTAAAAGGCATCAGGAGCAGCATACGCCAACGCTGCCACGAGTGTGCCGATCTCCTCCTCACACCCGCGGACGACAGAGCTGGACACATAGCGCTCCACCCTTGAGATGACCTGTTGGGTGGTCAGGAAAAGCAGAGGGAGGAGCAAATCCTTAGTAAAAGGCATCAGGAGCAGCATACGCCAACGCTGCCACGAGTGTGCCGATCTCCTCCTCACACCCGCGGACGACAGACCTGGACACATAGCGCTCCACCCTTGAGATGACCTGTTGGGTGGTCAGGAAAAGCAGAGGGAGGAGCAAATCCTTAGTAAAAGGCATCAGGAGCAGCATACGCCAACGCTGCCACGAGTGTGCCGATCTCCTCCTCACACCCGCGGACGACAGAGCTGGACACATAGCGCTCCACCCTTGAGATGACCTGTTGGGTGGTCAGGAAAAGCAGAGGGAGGAGCAAATCCTTAGTAAAAGGCATCAGGAGCAGCATACGCCAACGCTGCCACGAGTGTGCCGATCTCCTCCTCACACCCGCGGACGACAGAGCTGGACACATAGCGCTCCACCCTTGAGATGACCTGTTGGGTGGTCAGGAAAAGCAGAGGGAGGAGCAAATCCTTAGTAAAAGGCATCAGGAGCAGCATACGCCAACGCTGCCACGAGTGTGCCGATCTCCTCCTCACACCCGCGGACGACAGACCTGGACACATAGCGCTCCACCCTTGAGATGACCTGTTGGGTGGTCAGGAAAAGCAGAGGGAGGAGCAAATCCTTAGTAAAAGGCATCAGGAGCAGCATACGCCAACGCTGCCACGAGTGTGCCGATCTCCTCCTCACACCCGCGGACGACAGAGCTGGACACATAGCACTCCACCCTTGAGATGACCTGTTGGGTGGTCAGGAAAAGCAGAGGGAGGAGCAAATCCTTAGTAAAAGGCATCAGGAGCAGCATACGCCAACGCTGCCACGAGTGTGCCGATCTCCTCCTCACACCCGCGGACGACAGAGCTGGACACATAGCGCTCCACCCTTGAGATGACCTGTTGGGTGGTCAGGAAAAGCAGAGGGAGGAGCAAATCCTTAGTAAAAGGCATCAGGAGCAGCATACGCCAACGCTGCCACGAGTGTGCCGATCTCCTCCTCACACCCGCGGACGACAGACCTGGACACATAGCGCTCCACCCTTGAGAGCACCCGTTTGGCTCGCAGGGCAGAAAAGGGAACGAGCAATCGCAATTTCATACTGTAAGGCATCAGGAGCAGCATAAGCCAGCGCTGCCACCACTGTGCCGATCTCCTCCTCACACCCGCGGACGACAGAGCTGGATACATAGCGCTCCACCCTTGAGATGACCTGTTGGGTGGTCAGGAAAGGAATGGGGGAAAGGTATCCCATACTATAAGGGCTCAGGAGCAGCATAGGCCAGCGCTGCTGCCACTGTTCCAGTCTCCTCCTCGTACCCGCAGATGACAGAACCGGATACGTAGCGCTCCACCCTTGAGAGCACCTGTTTGGCGCACAGGGCAGAATGAGGAAAGAGCAATTTCATGCTATTCGGCCGCAAGAGCAACATTTATGCAGCGCTACCACCACTGTGCCGATCTCCCCCTCACACCCGCGGACCACCGTGCCGGAGACATAGCGCTCCACCCTTGAGAGCACCTGGAGGGAAAAACACACAGAGTGGGGATTGATTGGAGAAGGGACAAGAGAGGAGGAGAGGCTAGAGGAGGAATCGGGCGCAGCATAGGACAGCGCTGCTGCCAGCACTGTGCCGGACGAGTGGGAGGCGAGAAATGTTGATGTTACTTTTGAGAATTCTCAAAAAGAATCGGGCGCAGCATAGGCCAGCGCTGCTGCCAGCACTGTGCCGGACGAGTGGGAGGCGAGAAAGGAAGTGAGTGAGAGGATAGTAAGGAAGCGAATGAAGGAAAAGAATGAGAAACTGGAGAGTTACCTGATTGAGGAGAGGAGGAGAGAGGCGGGCGAAGAGAGTGCTGACGGTGGAGCGGAAGGTTGATCCCTCCGCCTCCTTCATTAGGAAAGACCTGCGCGGGTGAGAGAAGAGGGAACAGAAGGAGAGGGGCAAGGGAAACGCGGGGATGCAAGGAGAAGGCTGTGGGCGCGCGAAGAGAGTGCTGACGGTGGAGCGGAAGGTTGCTCCCTCCGCCTCCTTCATTAGGAAAGACCTGCCGGATAGAGAGTAGAGGAGGGAGGGGAGTGAGCGGGAGAGGAGGGAGGGGAGTGAGCGGGAGAGGGCGAGGGGGGGCATGAGAGAGGGCGAGGGGGGCATGGGAGACGCCATCCCATCATGGTGACCAGGATGATGAGATGATGAGATCATCACAGTCACCATGATGGGATGGCGAGTCTTTTGGCGTGGGATAAGACGGCGACGGTTGAGAGTCATTGCTCGCTCAATCTTTCACGACACGCTACCAATGAATCTCAATCTTTCGCCCTGTCATCTCTTATTTTCGATCAGTGACCCTGGAGTCCACGGTTCCGATGGTTACACACGAGAGGAATGTGGTTACAGCATAACTTCTCACCTCTCAGTGCCTGCTGCAGCGCCCGCCACTGTAGCAGTGGGAGCAACACTCTCCAGGTGAGAGAAGAGGGAGAAGAGGCAGGAGAGGAGGCTGAAAAAGGTAGAAGCCTGATAGCTACACCTATAGAATTGCTCACCTCTCAGTGCCTGCTGCAGCGCTCGCCACAGTAGCAGTGGGAGCAGCACTCTCCAAGTGAGAGAACAGGGAGAAGAGGCGGGAGAGAAAGTCCTCCAGCCACGTGGACCAATCAATGGAGAGCGAGAACGGGCTTTCCTCGTCCCCAATTGGACCAATCTGAGGAGCAGTAGAGCAGAGAAACGCACAGGCAAGATGAAAGAGGAGAGGGAAGCGCGTGGCATGAGGAAGGGGAATATAGTTTCGTTTTTTCAATAGAGCACAACTATCAGTTCATAAGGCAGCATATCAGACACATGCTAAAAAACATCGAAATATATGATACATCCCAAAATATGCACAGCCCAAGATATTTACGAAGGAGAAGACCGAGAGGTAGAGGTGCAGGGTGGAGAGCATTTTGGGCAAGTCATTGGCGTCAATCCCAGGGAGAGTCGCCACAAGCGCTTCAGACGCCACCCCCCTCGCCCGCCCAACACACGTACACACACCCCAGGATACGTACGGAAGAGAAGACAGAGAGGTAGAGGTGCAGAGTGGCGAGCGTCTTGGGAGGGTCGTTGGCATCAATTCCAGGGAGCGTCGCCACCAGCGCTTCAGACACCACCTCCCTCGCCCGCCCAATCATCTCCTGCCACGTGTCCATGCCACCACCCTCCCCAGCCCCCACCGCTCCTGATCCATCCACCTCCATAGAGTCAAGTGTAGAGTCTTGGTCTGTGAGGGTTTGAGCAGCAGCGAGCAGCAAGGGGCGCACGGAGAGCGCGAGGGTCGAGAGGGCGGACTCGAGCTGGTGTGTGGCTGTGACCTGATGGCATATGGGGGAGAGGAGGGGGAGAGGAGAGAGGGAGGTAAGAGGCTGATTCAGGGTCCGATAAAAGACATACTAACAACGAGCAGCAACGGGTGCACGGAGAGGGCTAGGGTCGAGAGGGCAGACTCGAGCTGGTGTGTTGCTGTGACCTGATGGTGGTTTCGGTGAGGGGGAGAAAGGAAGGAGCAGAGAGGGTTTGGGAAAGGGAGAAAAAGGGCAGCTATGACAGGCGAGGGTGGAGAGGGCGGACTCGAGCTGGTGTGTTGCCGTGACCTGATGGTGGTTTCGGTGAGGGGGGGGAAGGAAGGAGCGAAGCGAAGAGGATACGGAGACGGTGTGACAAAGGGAGAGCACGGGCAACGGTGAAAGCAAGAGGGTGAGGGTCGCAAGATCTCCAGAGAGGTACAAAGAGGTACAGAGCGGTACAGAGAGGTACAGAGAGGCATAGGGCGGTACAAAGAGAGAGGTGCAGGGAGGAACTAAGGAGATGCTACTCACAGTGGTCAGCGCACCCTGGAAGCTCTCCAGGACCACTGGCAGAGTGACACGTGGCGCCAGGTAGGACAGGGAGGAAGCCACGCGGGAGGCGACGGCAGAGAGGGTGGGGCTCTTGCTGAAGAGAGCGCGGTTGTGAATGAGACGGGTGAGCAGACGGATGAAGGCAGTGGTCGTAGCAGGGGACAGGGAAGAAGGAGCACCCGAGGGGTACCTGCGAGGGGTAGCAGGTGCGTGGGATGGGACGAGTAGCATGGTAGGACGGGAGGCAAGGGGTGGGGCTCTTGCTGAAGAGAGCTCGGTTGTGGATGAGACGGGTGAGCAGACGGATGAAGGCAGTGGTCGTAGCAGGGGACAGGGAAGAAGGAGCACCCGAGGGGTACCTGCGAGGGGTAGCAGGTGCGTGGGATGGGACGAGTAGCATGGTAGGACGGGAGGCAAGGGTTGGGGCTCTTGCTGAAGAGAGCTCGGTTGTGGATGAGACGGGTGATCAGACGGATGAATGCAATGGTCGTAGCAGGGGACAGGGGACAGAGCTGCAGAGGAACCTGAGGGGTACCTGCCTCGGCAAGGGGTCAGAGGGAGGGAGGGGGGCGACGGCAGAGAGGGTGGGGCTCTTGCTGAAGAGAGCGCGGTTGTGGATGAGCCGGGTGATCAGACGGATAAATGCAGTGATGGTGAGACTCGACTGTCACCATGATTCATAGTGAGCACACAACCTCCCTGCACTCACTTACCCGTCACCATGAGATTTCTCCTCTGCAGCGATTCTCTTCGGGAGACGAAAGAAGATCGCCCTTCGCTCAGGCTTCTCACTCGCCTGTCACTCACTCACCAGAAGAATCTTCTTCTCTGCAGAAATTTTCTTCATCAGGTGGCATGTAGCCGAATGCAGCATCTTTTCCAGCAGCCCAATCCCTCCTCCCCCGCTACCCCTGTGCCCCCCACTCAACAAGTGAAAGGAAGTCGCTTAACTCTCACACTCCCTGCACTGACTCACCTGTCACCGAGAATCTTCTTCTCTGCTGCGATTCTCTTCATGAGGTGGTAAGTAGCAGAGTGAATCATCTTCTCCAGCAGCCCTGTCCATTCTCCACCGTTGGATGGATGAAAGAACTGCTCCAGATCGTTCGATAGCTTATCAAACAGCCGCAGCACCGACGCCGCTCCTCCCTGCATCTCCATGGCTCGGTCCGAGCCCGAAGCAGGAGGTTCGGCATCCAAACCATGGGCGGCAGGTTCGGGGTTTGCCAGCAGCCAGACAACAAGCTTGGCGCCAGCTACAGCCCGAACCACCTGCTGCTGGTGCGGCACTCTGCGCTGCTGCCACCTGTCAAGCAGTGATAGGAAGACACGCGCGCATGCTGGAGAGACGGGGCGCTCAAGTTGCGCTGACGTGGCGGACGGGGATTGGCCGATGGGGAGGGAGAAAGACTCGAGAATCTTCTGGAAAAGGAAAGGAAGGTGAGGAGACCAGAGGGAGAGAGGATGGGAAGCGGGAGAGGAGGGAGAGGAGGAGGGAGGAGGTGGGGAGGAGGAGGTGGCTTGGTGCTGGTGGCGTAGCTGCTGGTGCTTAGCTAAGCGTGCGAGGAGAGAGATCCACTGAGCGTCCCAGAAGGTGCAGTGGGGAATAGAGGACCACAATGAAAGCCACTCCGGCACCCAGACACTGCAGCAGGGATAATCAGTAAAACAAGAAGAGGGAGATAAAAGGAAAAAATTAAGCAACAGAGTAACAAAGCAGTGTGAAAGAAAGAAAGGAAAAAAACAAAAAAACCCAATTCATCTGCCTCACACACTGCACTGCAATGCCACACCCCTAAGCCTCACCTCCATTCAGCAGAGGCATCATCCTCGCCTGGTGCCACGTGGCGGCACATGGTTGGCAGCAGAAGATTTAGCAGAGCCGCCGCCTCCAGAGCATCATTGCTGCTGACGTCAGCGAATTGTGGCCTGAGGGGGGAAGAGAGGAGGGTGGAAGGGGAAGCGGGAAGGTAGGGAACAAAGGGGTTGTGGGGGAGAGAGGAGAGGACGTGGGAAGTGGAAGGGGCGCAGGGGTGGGAGAAGGGGGGCTTTGGTGTACAAGTGGGTGGGAGGGAGGCAGGGAGGAGAGATGTGATAATACAAGGCACAGACATGTAACACATCGCAACAAATTTGCAGATGATGGTATAATGGTGGTGGGTGGGTACCAATAAAACGTAACAGAATAAAAAATTTCCCTAAAGGAGCACCAAACATCATTGACTAGAACCAGCTGAAACGTTCCTGGAAGCACCTGAGAGCAACAGAGGCGCACCTGAGGACAACAGAGGCGCGTCTGGGGGCAACAGAGGCGCACCTGAGGGCAATAGAGGCGCACCTGAGGGCAACGAGGCCCACCTGAGGGCAACAGAGGCCCACCTGAGAGCAAAGAGGCCCACCTGAGGAAGGCCCAGATGTCAGCAGCAGAGTTGGGGGGGAAGAACCTTCTCCCCCGCCTGATGAGCTCTGTGATGGCGTTGATGTGAATCTGCAGCAGCGCCGCTCCCACGTACCCAGGCAGGGGGTTGGACCCTCTGTGGGCAATGGAGGGGTTGGGGTTTAGGGTACAAGCAGGAAGCAGATAAGGGGAAAGACTGCCTGGTTCGCCTGACGAGCTCTGTGATGGCGTTGATTTGAATCTGCAGCAGCGCCGCTCCCACGTACCCAGGCAGGGGGGTGGACCCTCTGATGGCAGCAGAACAGGGTGTCAGGGTTCGAAGTACTGGGTTTAAGGTTCTAGGTTCAGGGTTCGGAATTAGGTTCTGGTGTGCGAAAGACACTCCAGAACGCATCTCTTAGACTGCCCAAATCGCTCAGTTATGCGCTCAGTTATGGTATTCATGTGACTCTGAAGCAGCATGAGCATTATGCATGCAAAATGAGAGGGGGTGACGGGAGGGAGAGTGGTGCAAAGGAGAGGAGTATACCATACGGAGCAGGGGGGTGGGGTGTAACGTACGGAGCAGAGGGGAGGTGTATAGCGAGGATGGAGTAGAGCGGGCGCCAGGGAATGGAGAGGGAGAGCGAGTAGCGGTGCTTGCGCAGGATGCGGGAGAGGCACTGAGACCAACGGATCTGAGCCACAGCGAAAACAAGGGGAGGGGAGAGAGGGAAAATGAAGAAAAGCTAGCTGGAAACGTTACCAGAAAACGAATTCACGTAACCAGAAGAGGAAGAATAAGAGAGACAGACAGTATTAAAAAAAAAAAAAACGAAGGAACTGTAAGGTGAACGAGAGAAGGCCTACCTGAATGAAGAGATCCCTAGGGCCACGGCAGCTTGTGATTATATCGAGGGCAGTCTCTGACACAAGCTCCAGATCAGGGACCTCCAGACGAGACTTGGACGCCACGAAGCTACAACAATCGGGTGGAACAGGATGTGGACCCCAAAAAAGGAGATGAGGTGTACTGTAACTGTTACAGCACTTTTTCAGCACAAACGACTGCTAGTTCCTTCAACACAAATGCCTTCAAACGTAACAAGCGACTGCTAGAAGTGAGTGCAATGTCTCAGAATGCAAAGCTGGCTGTCGGTACTAGTTCCTGACACCTCAAAACGCAACAATGACATAATTACGTCATAATCTCTAGATTCACGGATTGCCAGATTTGATCCTTAACTTAACACTGATTGACCAAAATCAAATCACTCAGTGACGACCAAACGAGATATGCGAAGCTCCCTTGCTGGCACGGTGCGACATGAATCCACCAGAAAAAATCACTTTAAAAGTCTGCGACCCGTGTCTCCGCCATGACCCGGCTCCTTCCCGCTTATCCTGAACTATCTCAGCGTGAAACCGAAACAGTACCTGTTGACGACGGAGACCCATTTCAAAGTCTCTCCGCCATGGCCTTGCTCTTTCCCGCGTTTCCACGCGGCCTGAACCTCCTCGGCAACAGCGTGGAACCTCCCAGGCTCCTCGCTCGCCGCCTGTGCCGCCACGTCAGGCGGCAACCAGCTATTGTTCGGATGGACGTACGAATCCATGACAAAATCCTCTGTTTCTTGTTTTTCTTCTTCTTTTCTGTCCCCCCCAATAAGCTTCTCCAACTGCACGTATCAGATGTCAATTCCGCTAGAGAGTCGAAGGACTTCTCTTGCTTTAAAGATATAAACGAAGACGAGCGGTACCCGACGGAAACGAAAAAATAAGGCCGTGTCAACTCTAGTTCGCAACCTGCAGATCCCCACTATCGGCCGAACATAATCTCCCGGAAAGCTTGCCCGAAGGGGCTAGCGAATCACCTCCTGAGTTTCGCAGCGATGCTAGGCAAAGCAAGCAAATCTGGTGCTAAGACTATTTAGCCCGAGCAATCATGAAAATAAAGCTTCCTGACTCTGAATCAGCAATGTCGACGCGTTTTAGAGCAGCCAGTTGCTCGCCTGAAGAATCTCAAGCAGGCGAAATCTGAATCAGGAATGACTAATTTTCTGTCTGATCAAAGCGGAGATGCCGTGCCAGTGCCACACAGGTTCGAGATTCAGAAGTTGGGGGTGAAATCTGAAGAAAGCGCTGGCGAGGGTATGCGACTTTTGACGAGACGGTAACCTTCTCGCCGACCACTTGGACCCTGGTTGCGTGTTGGCTCTCCCAAGTTTTTTACGGTGACAGCTGACAAGACAAGTACAGTATGCGGATGCAAGTAAGCGAAGTTACAACAGTAACTGCACTTCGTCACACTGACGAAACTTGCGACAGCGGAGCCTCCAGGAAATTACAATAGCCAGAGAAGCTTCTGCCTAACTTCGCCAAGAGTTAGCTTCGTCTGTACAAGCGACGCGGGTTCCGCGGTCGCCGGCGTTACTGTATTTTCGAAATCACACCGCAGTGATTGCATCGTATAGCCCTTCGCGAATTGTTCTACGAAGCTTCTCTTCGTGCCACTACTGCGCATAACGCACGACGGCGCGTCGTCAACAGCACCTCCTTCTTTTCGTATGCGCATTCGAGCTTTAGTTACCTGTAGTAATATCTCCTCTTAGGTCTTGAAGGATGGTACAGGCTCACCCGGTCTCCAAACGCAGCTATCGGTTACCGATGTGCTTGTAACGAATGGCGCAAGCGACGCCTTCCGGAGTATCGACTGAACCAACGCATAATCTTATTCCTTCAGATTCCGCGGCCAGAAGCATCGCAATTGTCACTCGTGGCCAACCGACGGAGGGCCGCGACGCGAGAAACACAGCCTGTACAGCAAACGAGGAAGGCAACAGCGAGTCAGACGCAGCAGAGAAAGCAGTGGAGAAGCCTAGGTTCTCAGATGAACAGTCTAGTTCAATCATAGCATCCCCGAACAAGGCTCGAGACGCTTCAGAAGCCGAGGCGGCTGGCCTCGAGTCGCTGTCTAAGCCTCTGTCAGAGATGATGGCGGCGCTTTCGCTTGTGGTGGAAGGAGAATTGCAGGTGAGGATGACGTGGCAGGTGATGATGACGTGGCAGGTGATGGTGACGTGGCAGGTGATGTTGATGCATTGACACTTGTCATAATGCTGGGTCAAATTTATGCCCAAACTCCTAGAGCTCTTTCTCCCTCTTCAAACTTTTCCCCGCAGGCCCACACCACCCCCTCATAACAGCGTCTCACCCACCTCAACCTAGAAGCATCCACAGATGTCGAGTGACTCGCTGGCCTTTCATGTTCTCATTCTGCTTTCCACATTCTCCCTACTCAATCTCTCCCCCTCCCCTCCCCCTACAGGCCCACACCACCCCTTCATACCAGCGTCTCACCCACCTAAACCTGGAAGCATCAGCAGATGCCGAGCGGCTCGCTGACCTGGCGGTCGGCGTGGGTGTCTTTGTGCGCTGCCAGCTGGCAGCCCGGGCGGCAATGCTTCGGCAGCTAGTGGCGGAGGCGGAGGAGGCGGAGCGGCAGCTTGCTGACCTGGAAGGGGTGGTTGTTGAGCTGGATAGATTCACTGGGAAGCTGGAGAGAGCTGTGGCAAAAGCTATCAGAGAGGGGGTATGATTGTAGCAAAGTGGGTGGATGGTGGCTGGAAGGGGTCGCTGTTGAGCTGGATAGATTCACTGGGAAGCTTGAAAGAGCCGTGGCAAAAGCCCTTAGGGAGGGGGTGTGACTGTAACGAAGTGGGTGGTGGTGGGAGTGGTGATGGGCTGTGATTGTAATAAAACTTCAACTGCTGCTGTAGGGTGGTGGTTGAGCTGGATAGATTCACTGGGAAGCTGGAACGAGCTGTGTAGCCAGCCATTAGGACGAGGTGTGATTGTAACTTAGAGTCGAGTCGACTCAAAACTCGCGGCAGCTTGCTAACCTGGAAGGGGCGCTTTTTGAGCTGGATATACTTACTGGAAAGCTGGAACCACCTTTGGTGAAAGCCATCAGAGAAGGGGGGTGTGATTGTAATGAAGGGGGAGGTGTCAGGGTGCACTTGATTCTGAGATGAGATGTGACTAATCTTGTGAAGGATTACAGGGGGTTGTGATGATGGTGGTGACCCTTCATTTCATGGTTTACAGTGCATCGATTTCTAATAAATATACCCGAGAATCTTTGTGATCTCATTTACACTGTAGGTCTTCACTGTGCTTCCAGTTCCAAACAAGCACCAGCAATTCAACGTTTGTCAAGACGACAGTTGCGAATGATAGTGTATAACTCATCATACGGTATTAGTACCTACCTGCCCACCACCGCTCATTCCGAAGAATGTACCGTTAGTGTGTTCCTGAAAGACTATTGCGCTCCACATTCTGAGCACACCTGAGCTCCACCTCCTGAGCTGGGCTGATGTTCTATCATATAATTTACACACTGAGCTTTGCACACAACACTGAAGCTGTCTCTAAAGAAAAAGTGGTGAGATGGGAAGCAAAACGCTTACCGAACTCCAATCACACCTCGTCCCCATCACATCTGCTGCTGTTCTCTAATCTCTGTAACAAGTCTGCAAATTCTGCATGACCAGCAGCCACCAGGTTCCACTCCGCCCACTCGTCTCAATACGACCGGGGGACGACACCTCCTTTATAGCCTCAGTCAGAAGTCGCCTGCAGTGCGTGGCAACTCCCGTAACAAACCCTCAAACTCCCCATGAGCAGCAGTGACCAGGTCCCACTCCACCCACTTGTCTCGGTACAGCCCCGCGGAAGGCCTCTTTCAGCCGCCTCACTACTTTGTTGCCGCCTTCAGAGCCAACATTGAGCGATGAGGGTGTTTTTGAGAATTCTCAAAAACACCCTGAGAAGCACAAGGCTGACACGAGTCACACATCGCCCCCATCGCCTGTAGTGCTTTCTAACTCCTGTAACAAGCTCGCAAACTCCTCTTGTGCAGCAGCCACCAGGTCCCACTCCACCCACTCATCTCGGTACGACCCTGGGAATGCTTTTTTCAGCCGCCTCACTGCTTCGTACATCTCCCTCCGCCATGCTGGCAGGGGTAAGCCTCCGCAGTCCGTGCTGAGGCTGTCCATGTAGGGGAACTGGTGCGGTGGGGAGTGGTGGGATGGGATGGGGCATGGTGGTGCGCACACGTAAAGAGCCTGGGAATGCTTTCTTCAGCCGCCTCACTGCTTCGTACATCTCCCGCCGCCATGCCGGCAGGGGTAAGCCTCCGCAGTCCGTGCTGAGGCTGTCCATGTAGGGGAACTGGTGCGGTGGGATGCATTGGGGTGTGGTAGGATGTGGTGGGAAATAGCATTGAGTTAGCATGAGCTTCGTACATCTCCCGCCGCCATGCTGGCAGGGGTAAGAGCCTCCGTAGTCCGTGCTGAGGCTGTCCATGTAGGGGAACTGGTGCGGTGGGATGCATTGGGGTGTGGTAGGATGTGGTGGGAAATAGCATTGAGTTAGCATGAGCTTCGTACATCTCCCGCCGCCATGCCGGCAGGGGTAAGAGCCTCCGCAGTCCGTGCTGAGGCTGTCCATGTAGGGGAACTGGTGCAGTGGGGAGTGGTGGGATGGGATGGGGCATGGTGGTGCGCACACGTAAAGAGCCTGGGAATGCTTTCTTCAGCCGCCTCACTGCTTCGTACATCTCCCGCCGCCATGCCGGCAGGGGTAAGCCTCCGCAGTCCGTGCTGAGGCTGTCCATGTAGGGGAACTGGTGCGGTGGGATGCATTGGGGTGTGGTAGGATGTGGTGGGAAATAGCATTGAGTTAGCATGAGCTTCGTACATCTCCCGCCGCCATGCCGGCAGGGGTAAGCCTCCGCAGTCCGTGCTGAGGCTGTCCATGTAGGGGAACTGGTGCGGTGGGATGCATTGGGGTGTGGTAGGATGTGGTGGGAAATAGCATTGAGTTAGCATGAGCTTCGTACATCTCCCGCCGCCATGCTGGCAGGGGTAAGCCTCCGCAGTCCGTGCTGAGGCTGTCCATGTAGGGGAACTGGTGCAGTGGGATGCATTGGGGTGTGGTAGGATTTGGTGGGAAATAGCATTGAGTTAGCATGAGCTTCGTACATCTCCCACCGCCATGCAGGCAGGGGTAAGCCTCCGCAGTCCGTGCTGAGGCTGTCCATGTAGGGGAACTGGTGCAGTGGGTGGGATGCGGCGGATGTGGTGGAGTGTGGTTGGATGTGGTGGGATGCACAAGAAAAGTAGAAGTATGTGGCTCCAGGTCGTAGCTACTCCAGGTGATACCTGCTCCAGGTGATACCTGCTCCAGGCCTTACCTGCTCCATGCCTTACCTGCTCCATGCCTTACCTGCTCCATGCCTTACCTGCTCCAGGTCTTACCTGCTCCAGGTCTTACCTGCTCCAGGCCTTACCTGTGCACCTCCCCCAGGTCGTACCTGCTCCATATCCAGCCAGCCTGTGGGCGTAGCTCTGATGCCTTCCTCCAGAGCCACGAACAGTTCCCCTCACGTTTCTACTCAACACTACCTACCACCCCAGGCTGTACCTGTCCCAGGCCGCACCTGTCCCGGGCCGCACCTGTCCCAAGCCGTACCTGCTCCATATCCAGCCTGTGGGCGTATCTCTCAGGCACACCCTGGCTCCTCCAAAGTCACACACAGTCCTCCCTCACACGATACCTCCACTCATCCTTACCTCCCCAAGTCGCACAACACCCAAGTCTACCTCCCCCAGGTTGCACCTGTTCCATATCCAGCCTGTGGGCGTATCTCTCAGGCACGCCCTGCTCCTCCATGCGTGCATACAGACGACGCACGCCGTCCTCCATATCGGATCTGGGCGGCACGGGCAGCTGGCCGGATAGCAGCTGCGCCACCCACCGCGCCTGCAGCTGACATAGAGGAAAGGGGACGACCTGAGGGGAAGGGACAGAGGGTACAAGGGAAGGGAGGGAGAAGTTGAGACAGGAACGCAGGAAGGAGGAGGTCTGGGTATGAGCAGCTGGGTGGACAGCAGCTGAACCACCCACCGTGACACAGCGGTCTTGTGACATTATTTCTCCATGAGCTGCAAACCGACTGGCAGAGAAATAATGTCAAAAGACCGATTGGCAGGAAGGAGGAGGTCTGGGTATGAACAGTTGGGTGGGCAGCAGCTGAGCCACCCACCGCGACACAGCGGAAAGGGGACGACCTGGGCGGGGGTCTGGGGGGGCAAATGAAGGAGAGAGAGAGGAAGCAAACGCTCGCCATTTCAAAGAATCTTAGCTTGCGTTGCCTAATGATTCAAGAGATATAATCAAGCATGAGACCCTTTGGAAAAACTAATAAGAAAAACCATGCGAGAGATATAGAGGGGGCGGAGGGAGATTTACCTTCCAGGGGAGGCCGATGAAGGACAGCGAGGGGGCCAGTGTGGTAGGGAGGACGCGGCGGAAGAGGAGAGAGGGAGAGGAGGGAGGGGGGGGGCAGCAATGCGAGATATATAAAGGGAGAGGGAGGTACCTTCCAGGGGAGGCCGATGAAGGAGAGCGAGGGAGCGAGTGCAGGAGGCAGGACGTGGCGGAACAAGGGAGTCACACGACCGGTATCGACGGAGAGGAGGGAGGGGGGGAGGGCGAGGAAAGGGAAGGAGAAGCTGTAGCTGCATGGGGGGAAGGGGGGCGCAGGAAGGGGCGAGATGAGGGGACAGAGAAGTTACACGGCAGTTGTTGATGGAGGGGATCTGTGCTAATGAAGAAGGGCAGCAGTAGGCAAGGTCGCCTTTAGCAAAGGGATGGTAGTCAACCAGTGAAAAAAGTAACCCTCAAAAAAATTGATTAAGATCCGAACGTACAACTCAGTTCAAACTCTAGACGAAAGCAAACATGTTTCGGCTTTGCACGGGGATCATACCCGCTAGGCCTTCATCAGTGCAAGAGTTCAAAGTGAAAGAGCGAACAAGCAAGGGGTCTTTAAGATGAAAAAGATGAAGGGGCGCAGGAAGGGGCGAGATGAGGGGACAGAGAAGTTACACGACAGTTGTTGATGGAGGGGAGGGTGGAAGGGGGGGGGGGGGGCGAGGAAGAGGAAGGGTAGTAGTAGTTATGTTGGGGGGGAGAGACGGGGGGGAGAATGGGTGGGGCGGGGTGGGAGGATGAGGGGACAGACGGGGTGAAAGCAACTGCTTATGGGAAAGGGTTGGGAAGAAACTGCTTATGACGTGGTGAAAGAAACTGTTTATTAAAGCACCCTACTGCACATGGAATGGGCAAGAACGAGTCCATGTGATGTCAGCACAGGCAGTAGGGTTTTTTTGAGAATTCTCAAAAAAACCCTACTGCTTATGATGCGCTAAAGCACCCTATTGCACATGGAGTGGGCAAGAACGAGTCCATGTGATGTCAGCACAGGCACAGACACACACCCGGTGCAGTGCATGATGACGTCAGCATGGCATGTGAACCCATCTTCAAACTCCACCGTCCCATCTGCGTTGGCTTGCTTGATCTGCGCTCGCGTGCAGTGGGGCGGAAGGGGCGGCAGGGGGGGAGGGGGGGAAGGGGCAGAAGGGGCGGAAGGGGCGGAAGGGGCGGAAGGGGGGGAAGGGGCGGAAGGGGGGGAAGGGGGGGAAGGGGAGGGGCAGACGGGGCAGAAGGTGCAGAAGTGGCGGAAGGGGCAGAAAAAAGTGGGGGTGGGAGGAATCCTTGAGGCGCCTAAGAAAATCAGGAGAGGAAAAAGAGGCAGCTCCTCCCACCTGCACATTCAAAGAACCTCTGGATAAGTGAACACTGGGTAAAAGAGCAGGTGAAGCAGAGGAGGTCCAGGCAGAGCAGCTAAGGGTGCGTGCGCGCAGGTTTTTGAAACGCCTCATATTTTAGGCGCCCCAAAAATTGAAGCAGAGGAAGTCCAGGGAGAGCAGGCAGCTACGGTTGCGTGCGTAAAGGTTACTGACCATGGGGTGCTGCTGCACTCTGCTCTGCCTTTCAGATCCTCCAAGTGTCCAGCAGCATTACCTCCAGCTAAGGCCGAGAGCAGCTAAGGGGGAGGAGAGCAGCGTGCGAGGTGGGTACTAACCATGGGGTGCTGCTGCAATGTGCCTCTGAGATCCTCGAAATACCCCGTCTCTATTGCTGAAGGGCAGAGAAGGTAAGTAGAGGAGGTAGCTAAGGGGGAGAGAAGTATGTGTGGTGAGGCCACAGCTACTAACCATGGGGTGCTGCTGCACTCTGCCTTTCAGATCCTCGAAATACCCCGTCTCTATTGCCCCGGTGGCTGCACCAGCACCAGCACCAGCAACAGCAGCTGCAGCGGCAGGAGAAGAGCGCCAGCCTCGCGCGCAGATGTGCACCTCTCGTGCCACTGCTGCCACCTCCCTCGCTATGTCCTGCCCACTCGCCTCTGCGCCCACCACCACCACCACCTGCCATGGGGTGGGATGGGGAGAAGAGAAGTTTGAGATGTGCAAGCGCCAGTGTTCCACCAACATCTTCCGGCCCCCACCTTCCCGCGCGCAGATGTGCACCTCTCGTGCCACTGCCGCCACCTCCCTCGCTATGTCCTGCCCACTCGCCTCTGCGCCCACCACCACCACCACCTGCCATGGGGTGGGATGGGGAGAAGAGAAGTTTGAGATGTGCAAGCGCCAGTGTTCCACCAACATCTTCCGGCCCCCACCTTCCCGCGCGCAGATGTGCACCTCTCGTGCCACTGCGGCCAGCTCCCTTGCTATGTCCAGCCCACTCACCTCCGCGCCCACCATCACCACCACCTGGGAAGGCATGGGATGGGGAAACAGGCATGCAAACGAGCAACAGAGACGGCAAGTTCAGGAGACTGTTTTCCTTTGTTAGGGAGACAAAAGAGATGAGAAAGGAGAGAGAAAAGAGAAGAGAAAAGAGAAGAGAAAAGAGAAGAGACTTCTTTGATAGAAGAGACTCTGACGATGCGTCTTGAGACCCCTCTTTCCTCTCCAATGAAAGACAAGAGACTCCTTTTACAACACAGTGCTGAATATGTGTTTTAAGAATGTGCAAACCCCTCTCCTCCCATCTTGCCTGCAAACCCCCCTCGCCTCACCTTGCGTGCAAACCCCTCTGGGTGGCGCCTCACCTTGCCTGCAAACCCCTCTGGGTGGCGCCTCACCTTGCCTGCAAACCCCTCTGGGTGGCGGTAGTTGTGGCTGTGCATCTGAATGCCTGGCCACGTGTCCACACCTGTTTGGTTGGGATACAGAAATCAGGGGAGACAAGCATGGGGGAGTAAAAGAGGAGGGTGAGATCTGCAGCCCACTCTCCTTCATACAGAGGAGTGATTTTCTCCTCTCTTCCTCACACAGGTGACTTTTGAGTCGACTCATAAGTCACCTCGAGGGTGAGATCTGCAGCCCACTCTCCTTCATACAGAGGAGTTGTTTTTTCCACTCTTCCTCACACAGGGAAAATGGCACACTTGGTTCATGCGTCAGCAGCCAACTGACTACCTCAACTACCCACTCTCACACTCACTCACTCACTCACTCAGTCATTCACTCTCTCACTCACTCACCCACCCACTATCACCCACCTGGTAACAAACCTGCCCCCCGTTACAGTCTCACCCGCTATGCTTGCAATCTTGGGCTGTGAATAGTGACCGTTACACACCACCAATACATCAAACTCCCTCTCCTCCTCCCCTTCCTCCGCCCTTACCTCCCTCTCCTCCTTTCTCCCTTCCTCCCTCCCTTCCACCCTCTCCCCATTCCCAATCCCTCCTGCTGCACCTGCCGAACCTCCTAAACTCCCTCTATCCGCACTAATACTCCTATGCAGTCTAGACCGAGCAATCTTAAGACGCCATCTCACAGCAGGAGCTTCAGCCCCTTCCGCGGCCGTCTCTAGAAGATCCCAAGCTTCCTCCTCGACGTACGCATTCCCCGCATTCCCCACGTTCCCCTCTCTCCCCGCTTCCGCTTGGCTGGTTTCCGCTTCCGCTCCATTCCCCGCCTCTGCGCCGCCTCCCCCTTTTCTTCCGCCTTCCCCGCTTTCTTCAACGGCTGCTTGGCGGGAAATCACAGGGACGGCCGAGATTACTCTACTGTGGAGCTCCACGCGATTCGAGATCCCGAATCGATCCGCGTACCTGCAGAGATATCGCAGCACCTCCCTGTGCGACGGAAACCGTCGCAGATCGGCGTCGTCTCGTCGCGAATCCGCGCTGGTTTCACCGTCTGCGTCGGCATCGGGACGATCGCCAGGTAAAGGCGCGGAGAAGGGAAAGTCTAAATAACCCATTAATTCTCGGGGTAAATTCGTCCGTAGCGACGCGTACATGCTGCTATGGACCTGTTGCCGGTTCGGATCCAACCCTAACAAATCTTCCGTTTCTATCCGCTCGTCATAAGCCCACACGCCGCCTATCTCACCCCCCGCTTCAATCACAGTCACGGCGTGCCCCTCTCGCATCAGCTCGCGCGCAGCGGCCAGTCCCGCGGCGCCTGCGCCGATCACGGCAACGTCGAGCTGCTGACGCCGGGACAACGAGTCGGCCGTTGGTCGAGTCGACTCGCGGCTCGACGGTGTGTTCTCCGACAAGACCGCTGAAGCCATTCCGACTAGCCCGCTTTGGTAACGCGAGCTCAGTGACGGGGTAGCCTTATCGGGGAAGGCTGAGACGAGGATAGACGGCGTTCGGAAACGGAGCTCGAACGGCGTTTGAGAGGAGTACGAAAACCGTCTGTCCAGGAAACGATGAGAGTGTAGGTTCTGAGAGGAATGTCGAGGAGGACCATCAAGTGTGGAAATACGCGCGCCGCAACCAGGGAGGATCCTGCTCGTGCGTCTCCGCGCGAGGCTACTAAGGGAGATACTATACGCGGCGGATTGCGCGATGAGCGGTGCGGCAAGCGCGTGAGACGGCATGTGGGCTTTACTTCACCCTACCGCGACGCGTTACGAGTAGAAATGCGAGAAGCGGAGAACCAAGAGGTGCGGTGCGGTGTGACCTTTGAAACAATACAGTTTGAAACGAGGTAACCTCTAGGTGTGCTGAACCTGACACCACGGCTTCGCGCCAAATCTGACAGTCACCCTAGTTGAAAGTTTTGTAGTTCAGCAAGGGATGCGTCAACATCCCTTTGGCTGGCGAAACCAAACTCCCACAAATTCTTCGTGACAGGACGTAACCAGCTTTCGCCTTCAACGGGATTCAAGCCCACCCGAGCTGACTGACTGCGAACGAAAACAGGGGACTGGTAACCACAACTAACGGAATAATGCCACGCGACTGGCTTCAAAGTCCGCCTAGAACCCAGATTTCTCACCGTTTCATTTTCCTGTGCCAATTTCGGGTTTAGGGGGAAAACCCGAAACCCGTTAGATCAGATGTATTACCCGTTTATCATACTGCCGCTAACCCATTTGTTAAGACTTTTGTTGAGAGCAGCTTGTTTATAACCTGCACAAAAGGTACTAGCTCGCACTTCCACGTCAGCAATGGGGTCCTCTCCCCCAGGTTCCGCCGTTACCTCTTCTATAACTTCCGCGGAAACTCCGCCAATTGCGGGGAATACACCCACTGCACCTGGCGCTGACCTAACGGTCCCTGCTCTGTCAGCTGACGTTGCGGCAGCTCCGGCAGCAGCGGCGCCGCCAGCGGAAATTGCAGCAGCTCCCGCGGACGGTGGAAAGCAGGCGGAAACCCCAGTAGCGGCCGTGCCGCCTGCAGAGGTTGTAGCGGCTGTAGCGGCGGAGGTTGCGGCTGTAACGGCGGGGGGTGCGGCTGTAGCAGCGGGGGGTGCGGCATCAGCGGACGGCGGAGAGGGGCCGATGTGGAAGACGACTCTGTGCTCGTTCTTCCGCAAGCACGGGGAGTGCAAGCACGGCGCGCGGTGCAAGTTCGCGCACGGGGAGGCGGAGCTGCGCGCGCGCCCGGACGGGTCGTTTGACCCCACGTCCGCGCGCGGAGGGGCTAAGCGGAGCGAGGCAGGGGAAGGGGATCAGAGCAATAAGGGGAGGAATCGGGGGAGGAAACGCGGAGGGGGAGGGTCTTGGGGAAGAGAGGCAGAAGAAGCGGAGGGTGGCGGGGACGAGGGGAAGGAAGGCGGGGCAGGGGGGGACGGCGAGTGGAGTCGGCTTTGCGTGCAGAACCTACCAAAGTGGTGGAATGTGAAGCACTTTCGCGAAATGCTAAACGAAATGGTGCGAACAGGTTACATGCCACTACGAGCATGGATTTAAGGCAGAGGGAGACGAAAACACTGCACCTTAAAAAAAAAACACCAAGATTGCTGCAGCTCAAATTTCAAAACCCTCCCTCAGCAAGATACAAGATAAGGCAGATTGAGGACGACGTTCCAACCCAAAACCCTTCGCCAAACCCCTGAACCGCTAAACTTTCCCCCGCTAAACTCTAGTTCGCTATACCCCATCCATTGCCGATAGTTTCCACACTCACACTCCACAATCCAGCGCTCCATCCAAAACCTTTCTTGCATAAAACCCTCAGGTTCCCAAACCAAAGGCGTGTTCCTGATCCCTTGACCTGTTATTCTGGGGCTGTTTGGTGGGCGGCAGAGTTTGGACTATTGCGGGTCGAGGAAAAGCCAGGGCGTGGCGTTTGGATTTGTATCGTTTGAGTCAGCTACCGCAGCAGACAAGGCCACTCAGGTGGGCAGGGGAAGCAGGCTAGAGTGGGGGAGCAGGTGAAAAGGGGGATTCATGGGGTGAGGGGAGTAAAGGTGAGGGGGGGAAGGCGGGTGAGGAGGGGACGGCGGGTGAGGAGGGGTAAGCGGGTGAGGAGGGGTAAGCGGGTGAGGAGGGGTAAGCGGGTGAGGAGGGGAAGGCGGGTGAGGAGGGGAAGGCGGGTGAGGAGGGGTAAGCGGGTGAGGAGACTGCAGGCAGCGCAGAGCGGTAGCAGAGGTATCTTCAACAAGGCATATTGATGTTACTTTTGAGAATATCTCAAAAGCAACATCAACAGAGCGGTACCAGAGGTAACTTCATCAACGCACATCACACCCACACGCTTCTCCCCTCCCCCCAACCCACCCCCACCCCAACCCCCCCCATCTCCATCCCCCACCCCCATGCTCACGACTGCTGCATGGTAAGGCAGTGAGGACCCGATTGCTGGACGTGCAAGCAGGGCGGTTTGTAAGGCACATGACAACTACCATACCCATCCACAACCCCACCCCTCATACCCCCACACCCAACCCCACCCCCCCACGCTGGACGTGCAACCAGGGCGGTGTATGGGGCACATTACCTCTTCCATACCCATCAACACCCCCACCCCCACCCCCACCCCACCCCTCCCACCCCGCACGACTGCAGCTGTTGCATGGCTAGCAGGTGAAGAACCAGACGCTGGACGTGCAACCGGCATGGTGTAAGGGGCACATTACAGCTAGATTATCCCACCTCCACACCCAACCTCACACGCTAACACACCCCCACCCCTCCTCCCACACCCCACGAGAGCAGCTGCTGCACGGCAAGCTGGTGAGGAACCAGACGGTGGACGTGCAACTGGCGCGGTATGTAAGGCGTGTTAAACCAAACATACCCACTCCACTCCCACGAAACGCCCTCACACCCAACCCCACTCGTCTCACCTGCAGCTGTTGCGGGGCAAGCAGGTGAAGAACCAGATGCTAGACGTGCAGCCGGCACGGTACCGCACTCAGAAACAGACAGCTTTTGCCGCCCAGGAGGGCGGCGAAGGGCATGAGGACAAGAAGAGAAGAACGGAGGGGGAAGGAATGGGGGACGCAGGGGAGGATGGTGGGAAAGAGGAGGGCGAGAGAGGTGGGGAGGGTGAGGATGAGGAGGAAACGGAAGAGACGGATGGGGAAGGAGAGGATGGGGGAGAGGGAGGCAGAGGAGGAGAGAGGGAAGGGGAGAAAGCAGAGGGGAGGGTGAAGAAGGAGGCATGGGAGGCGGTGACGCCACTGGCGAGGATGGGGTATCAGGAACAGCTGGAGATGAAGGGAGGGAGAGTGGCGAAGGATCTGCAGCGGATTGTGACGAAGATGAGGAAGCTTTACTCGAGAAAGAGCTTTGCTCAGCTGCCTGAATGGATCAAGTCTGCTAAAGCGAGAGGTGAGTGAGAGGGGTGACCGCAAAGGGGCGAGTGAGAGGCGAGAGAATGTAGCAAAGGAGCTGCAGCGGATTGTGACCAAGATGAGGAAGCTTTACTCGAGAAAGAGCTTTGGTCAGCTGCCTGAATGGATCAAGTCTGCAAAAGCGAGAGGTGAGAGTGTGTACAAGGACCTTTTTCCGATTGTGAAGAAAAGAGAAGCCGTATGTAAGGATTGCTCAACGGCCTGAATGGATCAATACTGCCAGAAGTGAGAGGGGAGGTGAGGGAGGGGTGCGAGGAGGTGAGAGAGCGTCAGCGCGTTGCAAAAGAGCTTTACCCAAAAGAGCTTTGCCCAAAAGAGCTTTGCCCAAAAGAGCTTTGCCCAACTGCCTGAGTGGATCAAGAGTGCCAGGGAGAAAGGTGAGGGCGAAAGGTGCCAGGGAGAAAGGTGAGGGCGGGGTATGGGAAAGTGAGACTGGGTGGGAAGGAAATCGGTTTTGAGACGTCTGAAAACCAATCTTAATTCACGAAGGTGAGACTGGGTGGGAAGGAGCTACACCCTGGCCTGGGTGATCACAGATTCGGTTCAGGGTTTTGGGTTTTGGGTTTAGGGTTTCCCCATCCTGAAACACCCAACCAGCCGTTTGCAGCTAATGCAACAAGTGCAAGTTCTCCTTCCTTTCTTCCTCCTTCTCCCTACCCATTAAACCCCTATCCCCACAGCCCACCTCCCCTGCACCTTTGAGAGAATCCATGCCTCACCGGTGGTGGACAGTTATCCACATGATAAAAGTAGAGATTTGAGAAGTCTCAAAAATCCCCACAGCCCACCTCCCCTGCACCTTTGAGGGAATCCATCCATGCCTCACCACCAGTGGTGGACGGTTATCGCAACAAGTGCAAGCGTGGTCAACAGCTGTAGCCTGTACACTCCATCTTCCACTTTATCCCCCCACGCATCCCTACACAGCCCAGCCCACCTCCCCTGTGTGTTTGAGGGAATCTACGCATCACCAGTGGTGGACGGTTATCGCAACAAGTGCATGTCCTCTGTTGTTGTACCCTCATTCTCACACCCCATCCCACCCCCCACCCCACAGCCCACCTCCCATGCGTGTTTGAGGGAATCTACGCCTCACCAGTGGTGGACGGATATCGCAACAAGTGCGAGTTCTCCATTGGACCCTCTGCTGCTGGTCAGCCCACCGTCGGATTCCTTCTCGGAAACTTCCGGTGAGAAGCATACGCTGTTCGGGCAGGCATGTCAGCAATAAGAGAGGCAATGGAAGGGGGTCATAGCGTGTTTTTTGAGAATTCTCAAAAAACACGCTCTGCAATGGAAGGGGGTCATATATCAGACGCGTTTCATCTTGCTGTCTGCCCCCTTGTTACATCTTCTCACATCTTGCCTCATCGCATCTCGTCTTGTCACACCCCATCTCTTTCTTCTCTTGTCCATAGCGATGGGGTGACAGCTGTGGCTGGCTGGCAGCGTCTTTTGAGGCGCCTCAAAAGGGCAGCGCCGTTGGTGGTGTGCTGGAACATTTCCCGACATTGGGGACATGCACTTGTTGCGATAACCGTCGACCACTGGGGACCCTGTGGTCGATTTTCGAGTCGACTCAAAAAGGGACCCTGTGGTCGGGACGTGCACATGTTCCTCGCCAACGCCTTTTCACGGCTGATGCAGAGGGTGTTGTGAGGGTCTCAGGTCACACCTTTCCCAGCTCACCCTGCTCCTTCCTACCTTCCCCCCCAATTCCAGCGACGGAGTGACAGCCGGGGTGTCCAAACATCTCCCCCATCGCCATCGCCTTTGCACGCCTGGTGCACCCCGGGTGGTGTGAGGCTCGAGTCAAACATGCCCCTGCCCACGCTGCTCCCTCCTGCCGTCCCTCTCTCCCCCCCCTCCCCCCAGCGATGGCGTGACAGCAGTGGCAGAGCCGTCAGGCTGTCGAAACATCTCCCCCGTAGCCATCGCCTTTGCACGCCTGGTGCAGGGGGTGGTTCGAGAATCACCCTTGGCTGCGTGGGACAAGGTCAACAACCGGGGCTTCTGGCGGTTGCTCACGGTGGGTGGGGTAGGAGCGAGGGTGGGTGTGTGGTTTGCCGGCGGGTGTGTGGTTTGTCAGTGGGTGTGTGGTTTGTCGGCGGGTGTGTGGTTTGTCGGCGGGTGTGTGGTTTGTCAGTGGGTGTGTGGTTCGTCAGAGGGTGTGTGGTTTGTCAGTGGGTGTGTGGTTTGTCAGTGGGTGTGTGGTTTGTCAGTGGGTGTGTGGTTTGTCAGTGGGTGTGTGGTTTGTCAGTGGGCACATGTGTGACGTGTACATGTGGGTTGCGCTGTGGGTGGTGCAGGGATCACCCCTCGCAGCGTGAGACAAGGTCACAACCAGGGATTCTGGTGATTGCTCACGGTAGGTGGGGGAGTGAAGGGGGGTCGGTGTGGGAGGGGAAGTTGGTAAGGGGATGCTGCATGCATGGCTCTCTTCTGGCTTGATGGGTCAAGGTCAACAACCGGGGCTTACTTTTGAGTCGACTCAAAAGCTGGCTTGATGGGTCAAGGTCAACAACCGGGGCTTACTTTTGAGTCGACTCAAAAGCTGGCTTGATGGGTCAAGGTCAACAACCGGGGCTTACTTTTGAGTCGACTCAAAAGCTGGCTTGATGGGTCAAGGTCAACAACCGGGGCTTACTTTTGAGTCGACTCAAAAGCTGGCTTGATGGGTCAAGGTCAACAACCGGGGCTTACTTTTGAGTCGACTCAAAAGCTGGCTTGATGGGTCAAGGTCAACAACCGGGGCTTACTTTTGAGTCGACTCAAAAGCTGGCTTGATGGGTCAAGGTCAACAACCGGGGCTTACTTTTGAGTCGACTCAAAAGCTGGCTTGATGGGTCAAGGTCAACAACCGGGGCTTACTTTTGAGTCGACTCAAAAGCTGGCTTGATGGGTCAAGGTCAACAACCGGGGCTTACTTTTGAGTCGACTCAAAAGCTGGCTTGATGGGTCAAGGTCAACAACCGGGGCTTACTTTTGAGTCGACTCAAAAGCTGGCTTGATGGGTCAAGGTCAACAACCGGGGCTTACTTTTGAGTCGACTCAAAAGCTGGCTTGATGGGTCAAGGTCAACAACCGGGGCTTACTTTTGAGTCGACTCAAAAGCTGGCTTGATGGGTCAAGGTCAACAACCGGGGCTTACTTTTGAGTCGACTCAAAAGCTGGCTTGATGGGTCAAGGTCAACAACCGGGGCTTACTTTTGAGTCGACTCAAAAGCTGGCTTGATGGGTCAAGGTCAACAACCGGGGCTTACTTTTGAGTCGACTCAAAAGCTGGCTTGATGGGTCAAGGTCAACAACCAGGGCTTTTGGCGATTGCTCACGGTGGGTAGAGGGGTGGTTTGTGTGAGGGGGTTAGGTGAAAGGAGAAAAATGGGGAGGGGAGGGACAGAGGTAATTCGACATGGCGTGAGGATGAGGGTTGGTGGGGGGCAGACGAAACACGAGTCATGAGGCCATCTAAGTTTTGTTGCTTTGTTTTGATATGCTCTCGCTCTCTTTGTCCTCCCTGCATTCACTTCAAGTGCAGGTGATTTTTGAGGCGCCTAAAAAAATGTGTTGCTTGATGTGTTCTCTCACTCTCTCTCTTTGTCCTCCCTGCATTCACTTCAAGTGCAGGTGAGGGAAGGCACGGCCGAACCACCCACCGCCACCTCGCTCCCCGAGCCTGCTGCTGCTGACGTGGCGTCGATGGACGTGGACCAATCCGCAACACCAATCGATGGACAGCCACCCGCAGAAAAGCAAGATGATCATGGCACAAGAGATGAAGATGACACTAGGGATGGCACAAGAGTCGACACAAGGGAAGGGGAAGGGCCAAGGCACAGTGGCAGGGCGGCAGTGAATCAAGTGATGCTGCTGCTGCAGGTGAACCCTGCTGGTGCCGATCGGACGGCCGTGGATGCGGAGCTGAGCAGATTGACGGCTGAGATTGAAAGGCGAGCAGCGGAGCACAGCCTGCCACTGCCTCTTACACTCATCCTCGTTCAGGTGGGACTGCCTCACTCTTACTCAAAGTCAACCTTATACTCTCACTCCTATTCCCCTCTCCCGCTCTTTCTCACCACCTTTCGCATTAGCATTCTGACTGTCATTTGCAGTCTCATTCGCAGTCTCATTCTCACTCTCACTCTCACTCTCACTCTCACTCTCATTCTCGTTCTGAGACATGTTACCCATCTCCGTGCAGGAGCATTCAGGTGTGTCCAATGCAGCTCCTGCGAGCTGCCTCATCCTCGTTTTAAGACGGCTCAATATATCTTCCACTTGTACCTATCTCTTTCCAGGAACACTCGGGTGTGTCCAATGCAGCCCCTGAAAGCTGCCCCATATGATGTTATCGAAGAAATTTCCCGGTAGTGAGAAATTTCCCCTCTGTCTTCACCCCATGCAGGAGCACTCGGGTGTGTCCAATGCAGCCCCTGAGAGCTGCCCCATCCACCTGCTCTGTGCATACCCCACACTGAAAGGAAGGGAAAGAGGATGAGAAGGAAACCCTCCCCACCCCACTCCACCCCACCCCACCCCCCATACTGACTATCTCTTTGCAGGAACACTCGGGTGTGTCCAATGCAGCCCCTGAGAGCTGCCCCATCCGCTTGCTCTACCCTCGCTCTAGTCACATTGAGCCATCGGCAGCAGTGCCAATGGCGGGGAATGGAGCTGCTAGTGGTGCGGAAGAAGAGGCACGTACATCACAGGGAAAAGTGAATAAGTCGGCAGAAGAAGCATTTCAAGGGGAGGCACTTGAGTCAACAGCAGACGGGCCAGAAGCAGTGGGGCAAGCAGGAGGTTCAACGGAAGCGGGGACAGAAGCAGTAGCAGCAGCGGCACCTGCAGCAGGAGAGGCAGCAGAGGCAGGAGGAGCAGAAGCAACATCAGGCGAAGCAGGAGCAGCAGCAGCAGGGGCAAGGGAGGCAGCGTGTGACACACACATATACGACCATCTGTGCGGGCTCAAGTTCCGACTGTCACCCACCTCCTTCTTCCAGGTAACGCACCTCTCCCTTTATCCAGGTAGGAAGGTGTGAAGCAGCAGCAACAGCAGCAGCAGCGGCAGCAGTGGCAGAGCAGGCAGCGTGTGACAGACACATATACGACCATCTGTGTGGCCTCAAGTTCCGATTGTTACAAACCTCCTTCTTCCAGGTGATAAGCCACATGGCACATGCTTCTCTCGAATGGCCGTTCGGTATGCCTTCTCTCTCATTGTAACGCCACGGCCGCTTGTCTGTCTTGTTTGGTATTCCCATCACCACTAATTAGCTGCCTGATTCAACTCTCCCCCACCCTTGTCATCCCCCTCACCTATTTCTCCCTTTCATTCCCGTCAGACCAACTCAGCGGGAGCGCAGCTGCTGTATCAGCTCGCTGCTTCCTGGGTGGGCCTCAGGCCTCCTTATCCCCATTCCCCAGCTCTCTCTCACACACCCCTGCCTTACCCCTCTCTCTACATCACTCCCCTCCCCCGTACAGACCAACTCAGCAGGAGCGCAGCTTCTGTATCAGCTCGCTGCATCCTGGGTCGGCTTGGGTCCTCCGCCTCTCTGCCCCCCTCCCGTGCTCCCTCCTCTCTTGACCAAGAAACAGCAGCAGGGGCAGGAGCAGCAGCAGGGGCAGGAGCAGCAGCAGCAGCAGCAGCAACAGCAGCAGGGGGGGGAGGTGCAGCAAGAGGGGAAAAGCGACGAGAAGGATGGAGTGTTGGTGTTTGATGTGTGCTGTGGCACGGGCACCATTGGCCTGTGTGTTGCCAAGCATGCCAAGAAGGTAAACGCTGAGGGGTTGTGACGTCAAATGAATGTGTGAATAGAGCTCAGTGCTGGCTTGTTTGCTGTAAGCCGTGTGCACCATCAGCTGGGGGAGGCAATTGGTGGTATGTTGGTGCTTGATGTGTGCTGTGGCACGGGCACCATCTGTCTGTGCGTTGCCAAGCACGGCAAGAAGGTAACCGCAGAGATAGTCAGTCAAGTCCGAGCAGAAGCACAGAGAGAAGTTGAGACAAATGTGGAGGTAATGTTGGATATCTTGCTTTGTAGGAATTGCAGACCATGCTCGGAAGGTCATTGAGTAGGTTCTTTCTTTGAACTAGTGGCTCGAATGGTCAGCAAGGGTGCAAACCGCGAGCATCTGGTTTCTGAGTAGACCAAGGTTTAAGCATGATACTTGGTGAAGTGAGAAAGCCTGGTTCTTGTCAATATCTGGCGGTGATTGGAACCACGTGAAGCGAGGTTGTTTTTGAGACGCCTCAGAAATACTTGGGGAAGTGAGAAAGCCTGGTTCTTGTCAATATCTGAAAATGATTGGAACTGAGATGAATGAGTTGGCAGAGGGGGATGCAAAGAAATTTCTTTTGCTAGGTTTTGAGGCGAAGGTGATTGGGATGGGATTGAGATTGACCTAAACCTTCTTCCGCTCCCTTGCTCTGCAGGTGATTGGGATTGAGATGAACGAGTCGGCAGTGGAGGATGCGAGGAGGAATGCAGCCATCAACGGCATTCAGCATGCTGAGTTCATCGCCTCCCGGGTGAGCCTGTGCGGTGGGTTGAGCAGTGTTTGCTTGGAAGGTAAGTGCTTGTGGAGGGTTGTGGAGGGTTGTGAAGGGTTGTGGAGGGTTGTGAAGGGTTGTGCTTGCTTGCTTGCTTAGGGCATGCTTGCTTAGAGGACTAGGAATTTTATTGCAGCCTTCGACGGCATTCAGCATGCTGCGTTCATTGCCTCCCGGGTGAGCCTGTGCGGTCGGTCAGCCTGTGCTTGCTTGACCTGGGGGAGGCCATCAGCCTTGCTTGTAAGGTTTGCCTGCTTGTTTAGAGGACAAGGAATGTGGTCATCAACAGCATCGAGCATGCTGCGTTCATCACCTCCCGGGTGAGCCTGTGCGGTCGGTCAGCCTGTGCTTGCTTGACCTGGGGGAGGCCATCAGCCTTGCTTGTAAGGTTTGCCTGCTTGTTTAGAGGACAAGGAATGTGGTCATCAACAGCATCGAGCATGCTGCGTTCATCACCTCCCGGGTGAGCCTGTGCGGTCGGTCAGCCTGTGCTTGCTTGACCTGGGGGAGGCCATCAGCCTTGCTTGTAAGGTTGTGCCTGCTTGTTTAGAGGACAAGGAATGTGGTCATCAACAGCATCGAGCATGCTGCGTTCATCGCCTCCCGGGTGAGCCTGTGTTGGAGCGCAGGGCTGGATGAGGGGGTTCATTCATGCAGGGGGTTCATTCATGCAGGGGGTGCTAAGGTGCTTAGAGCATGATTGCTTAGAGGAGGAACGCGCCCATCAGCGGCATCCAGCATGCCAGATTTTTTGCATCCCGGATAAGTTTTGAAACGTGTCAAACTTCATTCAAAGTTCATTCAAAGTCCATACGAAGCTCATTGTCTCCCTCTCGGGTGATCCGGTCAATGCAGGGTGTCCCTCTCATGCCGTCGTGTCCCTCTCATGCTGACGTGTCCCTCTCATGCTGACGTGTCCCTCTCATGCTGACGTGTCCCTCTCAGCTGACGTGTCCCTCTCATGCTGACGTGTCCCTCTCATGCTGACGTGTCTCTCTCATGCCGTCGTGTCCCTCTCATGCCGTCGTGTCCCTCTCATGCTGACGTGTCCCTCTCATGCTGACGTGTCCCTTCCATGTCTCCACCAATGCAGGCTGAGCTGGTGCTGCCAAAGCTCCTCCATAAATACCTCCCCCAGGTGAAGCCTGCCCCTGACAGCCTCCCCCAGGTGGAGGGGAAAGAGGGGCAGCAGCAGGAGGAAGGAAAGGAGGAAGGGAAGGAGGGGGTGAAGGAGGAAGGGAAGGAGGAAGGGAAAAAGGAGTTTGAGTTTTCTCGAGTCGTGACAATCGTAGACCCTCCAAGAGCTGGTCTGCATCCAACGGTAATGAGTTGATGGCTGGGTGCATCCAACGGTAATGAGTTGATGGCCGTACACGCGCGCGCGCGCACACACACACGCACACACACACACGCACATGTGCACATACACACACACACGCACACACGTGCACATACACACACACACGCACACACATGCACATACACACACACATGCACACACGTGCACACACACACACGCACACACACACACACACGTGCACACACACACACACACACGTGCTCACACAAACACGTGCACGCACATATGCACACACAGGCATTCAAGCCACTGTTTTTTTCTTCTTCTCTCACTTTCCCACTCTTCTTCCTCTCTTGCACACCCACAACAGGTGCTCAGAGCCCTTCGGGAGAATCCCAAGATCGAGCAGCTGCTGTAAGCCCTCTTCTCCCATTCTTGAACTGCGACGATGATTTTTACGCCTTGAAAAGTACCTCACTAAGCACAAACAGCTTCCATGTGCCCTCATCTCTTCCTCTCCCTTCCGTGTAAAATATGAGGCTATTTTTTAGGGGCCTAAAATTGCCCCATTAAGCTCAAACAGCTTTCATTTGCCCTCTTCTCTCACTCCTCTCTGCGCGATCCGGTCGCTGAAAAAGATTCCATTAATTTCATTCTTGAATCGTCTCAATCATTGGCAACACCCTTCCGTTGTTGGCACAAAAGGGCTTTGCATAGCTCCTTCCCCATCCCCTTTTGTGCTCCCTCTTCCCACTTCCCTCGCCTCCCATCAACCTTCTTCCACTTCCGCTTCTTCCCCTCTCTCGTTCTTCCCCTCTCTCGTTCTTCCCCTCTCTCGTTCTTCCCCTCTCTCGTTCTTCCCCTCTCTCGTTCTTCCCCTCTCTCGTTCTTCCCCTCTCTCGTTCTTCCCCTCTCTCGTTCTTCCCCTCTCTCATTCTTCCCCTCTCTCGTTCTTCCCCTCTCTCGTTCTTCCCCTCTCTCGTTCTTCCCCTCTCTCGTTCTTCCCCTCTCTCGTTCTTCCCCTCTCTCGTTCTTCCCCTCTCGTTCTTCCCCTCTCTCGTTCCTCCCCTCTCTCGTTCTTCCCCTCTCTCGTTCTTCCCCTCTCTGTTCTTCCCCTCTCTCGTTCTTCCCCTCTCTCGTTCTTCCCTCTCTCGTTCTTCCCCTCTCTCGTTCTTCCCCTCTCTCGTTCTTCCCCTCTCTCGTTCTTCCCCTCTCTCGTTCTTCCCCACCGCTTCCCACAGCTACATCTCATGCAACCCCTCATCTCTCTCTCATTGCCAACGTTCTTAACCTCTGCTCACCTCCCTGCACTGCCTTCACCTTGCCAGCCCTTACCAGCATTTCCTTCTCTCCCCAATCCCTTCCCCCAGCTACGTCTCCTGCAACCCCTCGTCTCTCGTGGCAAACGTCCTAGACCTCTGCTCGCCGCCTCCCGAGCTAAAAAAGCCGCAAGCAGGGGGCGGCGGGTGGAGCAAGTGGGGCCCTGCAGCGGGGCAGAGGGCCATGGCTGGGGAGCCGTTCCGACCTGTGAGAGCCGTGGCTGTTGACCTGTTTCCCCACACGGAGCACTGTGAGGTGGTGATGCTGCTGGAGAGGTAGCGATGGGAGGAGGGGGAAGGGGAGGGAGCAAGCAGAAGGGGGGGAGTGGAGCAAGCGGGAGGGGGGGGTGGGGTGGAGCAAGTGGGGCCCTGCTGCGGGGCAGAGGGCCATGGCTGGGGAGCCGTTCCGACCAGTCAGAGCCGTGGCTGTTGACCTGTTTCCCCACACGAAGCACTGTGAGGTGGTGATGCTGCTGGAGAGGTAGTGCTAATAGGGTGTGGTGGGGAAGAGCAAGCAGCAGCAGGAGGGGGGTGGAGCAAGTGGGGGCCTAGCGGCAGGGCAGAGGGCTATGGCTGGGGAGCCGTTCCGACCTGTGAGAGCCGTGGCTGTTGACCTGTTTCCCCACACGGAGCACTGTGAGGTGGTGATGCTGCTGGAGAGGTAGCGATGGGAGGAGGGGGAAGGGGAGGGAGCAAGCAGAAGGGGAGGAGTGGAGCAAGCGGGAGGGGGGGGTGGGGTGGAGCAAGTGGGGCCCTGCTGCGGGGCAGAGGGCCATGGCTGGGGAGCCGTTCCGACCTGTGAGAGCCGTGGCTGTGAAATTGTTTCCCCACATGGAGCACTGTGAGGTGGTGATGCTGCTGGAGAGGTAGTGCTAATAGGGTGGGGTGGGGAAGAGCAAGCAGCAGCAGGAGGGGGGTGGAGCAAGTGGGGGCCTAGCGGCAGGGCAGAGGGCTACGGCTGGGGAGCCATTCCGACCTGTGAGAGCCGTGGCTGTTGACCTGTTTCCCCACACGGAGCACTGTGAGGTGGTGATGCTGCTGGAGAGGTAGAGGGGGGAAGGATGTGGGGCAGGGGGTGATGTGATGAGATGAGCGGGAGGGGTAAGAAGTTTGACCTGTCAAAACAGTGGCCATGGAGTTGTTTCCCCACACAGAGCACTGCGAAGTGGTGATGCTGCTGGAGAGGTGGAGGGAAGAGAAGCAAATATTTGCTCACATTACTCTTCTTGCACTTCAATGTAACCTTATGATGCACTAACCTCAAGAGTACTCCATTGCATTTTTTTACATGCAAGAATGATGAGAGAGGGTTCACGTTTGACAACCATAACTTTCATGCACTCTTTCAAACATCCAAATTCAGGCCACGAGGGTACGGTCGGTGCTTGCTTACACACACCCTTCAATCTCTGACTTCCTGTTACAACACAAACCAAGCCCTGTAGATCTTCCAATATTTTACATACCATATGCAAACACACAAGATTTAATAAAGGCCTTATTTTTGCACTAAATGGCTACTGCTGTCATGTAGCATTATCTTTTCATTGACTTGGCTATTCTCTGCAGATGGAAGTTAATCGTGTTTCTGGTCTTGCCTTTGGACCTCTGCATACGCACAGATGCAGCAACACAAGAAAGGCAAGAGAGGGGATGACATGAGAGTGAACAGGGGGATATTAGGACTGCGTAATGATTTATTGTGTTCCTAATCTTGCCTTTGGACATCTACACCCACGCAGATGCACACAGATTGCAGCAGCACATGAGAGGCAAGAGAGGGGATGGTACGAGAGGGAAGAGGTAGGGAAGACAGGGACGGAAAGAGGGGATGTTAAAAAGGTGAGGAAGGAGGGCCAGCAACATACGAGAGAGCGTATGAGGAACTGTTAAGACGAGGAGGGGAGAGAGGCGATGCTATAAGGGTAAGGAAGAGGAGAGAGGGGAGGGAAGGGGGGTTGCTAAAAGTGGGGATGCAAAGGGAAGACTGGGAAGGTATATAGAGGTAAGATAAGAGTGGGGATGTAATGAAAGACTGCGCAGTTGCTTTGAATTTTGAGGCGCCTAAAAAATCGCCTAAAAAATGTATTTTGAGGCGCTTCAAATACGTTATGAAAGGATATGGCGGAGGACCACTGCGCAGTTGCTTTGCTCGCTGGTGGAAAACCGTGCCAGATGACTTCTGAGAATTATTTGAAGTGGCTAATGGCTAGATACGGTGCAGACTAGTCAACTCAATAGATTTGTCTGCATGCACCCATCCAATGCAGCAGAAGGAGCGGAGAGACAGGAGGGAAGAGAGGAGGGATGAGAGGAGGGAAGAGAGAGGGGATGAGACGAGGGATGAGAGGAGGGATGAGAGAGGGGAAGAGAGGAGGGATGAGAGGAGAGATGAGAGGAGCGATGAGAGAAGGAAAGATAGGAGGGAGAGGAGGGATAAGAGGAGGGATGAGAGGAGCGAAGAGAGGAGGGAGAGGAGGGATGAGAGGAGGGATGAGAGGACGGATGGATGAGCGGAGGGAAGAGAGGAGGGATGAGAGGAGGGAAGAGAGAGGGGATGAGAGGAGGGATGAGAGGAGGGATGAGAGAGGGGAAGAGAGGCGGGATGAGAGGAGTGATGAGAGAGGGGAAGAGAGGAGGGAAGTCACCCATAAGCGTTCATGGGTGATCATGGCCAATCAGAAACGACCATGGCGCTCAAGGCCGATCATCGTCGTTCATGGGCGAGCACAGGCGATCATGGGCGACCACGGGCAATCGGGCGATCACGGGCGATCATGGACGATCATGGCGAACTAACCAGGGTGTCCACGTCGAGCGCGGAGAGGGGCTTCTGGCACGGGCGAGCACAGGAGATCACGACATGGGCGTTCCTGGCCGACCATGGGCGATCGCAAGCGATTAAAGGCGAACTGACCTGCGTGTCCATGCACGCGTCGAGCGCGGTGAGGTGCTTCTGGCACGGCGTCGTGTCGAACGCATTCTCCTTGATGCAGCTCATAAACGCCATCATCTCCGTGAAACACGGCAGCGTCTTCCTCCCACCCATGTCCTTAGGGTTGACCTTAATCACCTCTGAGACCTTCTTTCTCGCCATCGCTCAGGCCTCGTTACCTAGCAATCTAGTTACTGTGTAGCCTGATTACCCTGTATCCTGGTTACCCTGGATCCAACAAAGGTTTCTAGCTGAAGTCGCTACGGAGACTGAGCTGGTGCAAGGATCGAGCGCCGCTGACTAGGCTACTAATGGCCAGAGGTGCAAATCGGAGTGCTGATGTGACTTTGCGGCTGCTGCTAGCACGTTAGCGGTTACCGAGGCGGTAATCTGCGGACCTGATCACGTAGTCACAACCTCAGGTCCCTCACGACCTGAGACCACCTGATCCAACGTCGGGAAGGTGCAAGTAAGGATTTAGTGCCGTCACGCGCAAACAACTCGACGGGTGAGTGTAGGAGCTAGGAACCAAGAGGTCTAGGCGTGAACGTCCCATACCCGTTATCATCATATGCCAGACTATTCATTTTTGGATGGAAAGTGTGGTAAGTGTAATGAAAGGAACAATTCACCTAATATATCAAAAATGTTCTCCTAGTATGTAAGAATTTTCACAGAAATCAACTTGGTGGTCGGTCGTCATCCCTTTCCTTCCACCACTTGGTGGTCAGTCGTCAACCCGTGGTGGATGGATGGAAGGAAGCCGTCCAGTAAACAGAGACCACTGTGGCCACCGTTTCCCGTCCAATCATGGAATGCTGACAGTAGTTGCGACTCGACAGGCTGGTCCGGGGTCTTCCAGGCCTTCAATTTCGAACGAAGCGACAGCTGAGCGAGTCGTACGCTTTTCGCGGGCGAGGTTTGGATAACTTGTAAAAGTCATGGGTGATTACCCTCACGCTAGAGAAGTTTCAAGACTGTAAATTCACCACAGAGAAAGAGTATTCTTGTGCCATATTGAATAGGCGCATTCGTCGTTTGTAACTAATGCAGTGTATATATATGGATCTCTTGAATGTTTGATGCCTTGTTTAGAAAAGCTTGAAAAGTTTCAATCAAGCAGCTGAGAGTACAGTACAGCGTTCAGCACCATCCCCTCCCACGACCGCGTTGTTGCCCCCAGACCAAAGAAAGCGAAGAGGTTTGGTTCAACGGTTCCCGCGCCGTCGTTCGAGACCGCTCCCGTGGCGCCTTGTATGGCGCGTTGCATGCTGGCGCCTTTCCACCGACATTTCGACTTTCAACATTCACTAGTGTCGGCTTAACCTCAGGAGAGCTAGGACGCGGCACCTGTTTTCATTTTGCAAGGATCGTGGCCTCACATCGATCCTGGCATATCGATCGGCACACCGATGTGCCTACACTGCAAATTTGCAGTGGGGTAGACACATCGAGCTATAGGTGCCAGGGTCGAAATTGCAGGCTCGGGCAGGTTGGAGCTGCCATTACACTTAAACGCGCAGCCAATCAGGGCAGAGCGTGGATGGTCGTCCAGCAATTCCATTCGCAGCGACCCAAGAATTTTTGGCCTGCGACCGTGGGCGACGCCGATCGATCGAGGCTGTCACCTGTGGCGCGATATGCTCTCCCGCCAACTCTAACACATGCACCACGACACATCGATCGTGCGAGCTGCAGGTGCCACCAATTTGGGTACCCGTTTACTGTACATTCTCGACGTTCAGCGAAAAACGGATACCAGGCATTGGCGATGTCGTCAATACACTGTACAAGCGGCACATCGATCCCCTCCCACGATCGATCCTGGCAAAATGAAAACAGGTGCCGCGTCCTTAGCGTGTGTTTCACAGCGCAATGTAAGCATTCCTTGATGGGAGGCCCAGTTTGCCCCTCAAAAGCTTTTCAGCTGCTTATCAGACCAGCACCTCTTGCATCTTATGCGCACATTATTATTGCACAACAATGGCACCGAACATCTGTCGCGTAGAGCCTGCGCCCATTGCGTTTGGGACAATCCCGCAAGTCAAAATACCTGCTGCAAGCGCCAACGATGGCTTTCCTAGACCTGAAATAGAAGAGCGCAGCAGCTTAGCAGCAACAGCAGCAGCTCCCGACCTGCTCCATGAATCCAAGCCCCAAACTTCAACGAAGGCAGCTTCAGAACCGTCAACTGACACCCAGTCGACAGTCAATGGAGGAAGTGCACCAATCAGTGAGGAGAGCTCTGCTGCGAAGCCGCCGCCGCAGAAGGTGGCCCAGCAGTACCTCAAATCCCGGTTCCTCGGCTTAACTGCAGACCAGATAAAGACTCTGTTCCACCTCTCTGTGAACAGCAGCCTGCGCATGCTCCTGCCTCTCGTTGCGGCGTTAGCCGTGCAGCTGACTCGGCACCTGAAGCAGGAAGACTTCTTGAGCCTCTGGCAGCAGGTGCTTCAACTGGACCTGTCATATGCGATTGCAGCCTTTTCCGCTGTCATCTTCGCTGTTACAGTCTTCGTGCTCACCCGTCCCCGGCGTATCTTCCTCGTTGATTTCGCCTGCTATCGCCCGCCGGAGCACCTTGTCATCACAAAGGACGTAGCGCTGGATCGGGTAACGCGACTGGGCTACTTCGACGAGAAAAGCAGAGAGTTTCAGACGAAGGTGTTTGAGCGATCGGGCCTCGGCAACCGAACGTACTTACCGCCTTCCATGCACACCTGGCCCCCTTCTCCCTCAATCTCCAACGCTCGAGTCGAAGCCGAGATGGTGATTTTCGGAGCGATGGACGAGCTGTTTGCCAAGACAGGAATCGACCCTAAGGACGTCTCTATTCTCATAGTCAACTGCACCATCTTCTGCCCGACACCGTCCCTGTCTGCCCTGGTGGTTAACCACTACAAGATGCGTGAGGACATTCAGTCGTACAACCTAGGCGGCATGGGATGCAGCGCGAGCGTCTCTGCTGTGAAGCTGGCCGGTGACCTTCTTCAGTCGCAGCCGAACAAGTACGCGGTTATCGTTTCCACGGAGAACATCACGCAAAACGCGTATCTCGGTAACCGTCGCTCCATGCAGGTTACCAACGTTTTGTTTCGCATGGGTGGAGCCACTGCGCTGATCTCCAACAAGCCGCGTGATGCCTGGAGGGCCAAGTACGAGCTGGGTCACGTTGTTCGTACGCACTTGGGCGCAGACGACAAGAGCTACAAGTGCATTTACCAGGAGCAGGATGAGAACAAAATCTCCGGCGTCATGCTCTCTCGCGAGCTCATGGCCACTGCTGCTCAAGCCCTCAAGGCCAACATCACAACCCTGGGACCCCTGGTGCTGCCGGTTTCGGAGAAGCTGATCTACGCTGCAGCTTACATCGCCAGGCGCGTCTTCAGAACGAACATTAAGGAGTACGTGCCGGATTTCAGGCTCGCGTTCGAGCATTTCTGCATCCACCCTGGTGGCCGCGCTCTTCTAGACGAGGTCCAGAAGGCGCTCAACCTCTCGCCGCACGACATGGAGCCCAACAGAATGACTCTGTACCGATGGGGCAATCTCTCATCCGCCTCCATCTGGTACGAGCTGTCATTCCTCGAGGCTCGGGACCGCGTTCGGCGTGGAGACCGCGTATGGCAGCTCGCGTTTGGGAGCGGATTCAAGTGCCAGAGTGCCACATGGAGAGCTCTTCGCAGCATTCCTGGTGAGAAGAACGGAGGCCCCTGGGCTGAGAATGGTGACGCGTCTTCACCACCCCCAGGTGAGGCCATCTAGGGTCTTCCAGATTAGGTTCCTGTGCTATGCTATCTATTATTTTTTTGGAATATTGAATAAATGCATCTTGTACTTGCATACAACAGCACAACACAGCATACGTAGAACTATGAATGTACAGGCGGATCCCTCCTACAAAGATCATAGATTACTTGCTCTGGCAAAGCATGCCAATTCATCTGCATCCATTCTAGCAGTTCAGCAGGGTTCACCAAAGCTGTGTTTGTGTTGCATTACAGCAGCTGAATGGCTTTTCACAATCTCCGCTGCTGACTGACCTGGGCGAATGGTGTACCCAAACTCTCCATCTGCATCAAGGGAACACAAGAAGCTTAGGATATTGAAGCAATGCCGTGCAGCCGATTCTTTCGTGAATGCATACTGTACATACCTGGGCTCTTGAAGACCCAGACATTGTCCCCTTGCACGGTTCCATCCTCAGCCATGGACGTGTAGAGAGCATCATATATGGCTGTCAGAAACCTGTCAATAAACGAACAGTGCATCGTTAACCATCAATAACATGTTTTGCAGGCTTCCCTGAATCCAAGCTCGGCAGCATACACGTTTCTTGAGGTGAATGTCCCATTGACGGTAACATCCTGCATTCCAAACTCCTCCCATACTAGGGGCTTATTTAAAACATCCTGCATGTGCAAGAATGATCAGCAGATATGTTGCGAAAGAAACTGCCACGCGGGGGAAAGAAAAAAAAACAAAAGCATGTAACTCGTACACGAGCGTCTTGATTATGTGCCGTAATCCAGGTCTGTATGAATGACAGCTTCGCTGATGTATTCTGCTGGTTTCCAATCCAGTTCTCCGACCTGGATTTTGCACCACATGAGATTTGCAGGCACATACAGTAAGGAAATTTCAAGCTGTCTCACTTACCAAATGTGTGCAACTGCAAAGTCAATTGCCCAAAACCTGTTGTTACGTATGAATTCCTGCCCCGTCTGTGTCGCCCAATGGCCCCAAGGCTCTGAATGCCAGCAAAACATGTTAGGCTAAGCCACAAGGGAACAGCGACAAGCAAGCACCTCACCTCCTGGATTGATAGACGTGTGGTTCTGATTTGCTCCATAGAATCCCTCGTACCCAGTTGCAACCAAATGATTGGGATCGATTTTCTGAAAACAGACAGACAAGATTAGCCACGGGAGGCTAAGCAGCCGGCCGTGAACTTGCTTGTCAAAAGTACCTTAAGGTATGTTGACATCTCTTCGGTCCAACTTTGGACAGAATCTTGACAGCCATCAGTAAAACACCTGCAATTCAGAAATTAGACACAACAAAAGAACGAAGCACACATAATGCTGTGGTTTACTTGCCATACCTTGGCTCGTTTAGCAGGTTCCAGCCCAGGATGGTCGTATCATTCAAATAACTGACGCCATTGTAGGTGTTCACCCTTGAAACTAGCATCTGTTGAAAGACAAGCTCTCAGTGATAGTGTTTGCGCAACCTAATCGGCGCTAAGAACGACAGATGCATCTGCTCACGTACCTTCATATAGCTTTGGTAATAGTTTTGGCAAACAGTGCTGTTAAAGAACAAGTCCGTGTGATTCAGCCCAGCCCACTTGACGTACTGCATCCAAACAGGAAGGAGTGTGAGACTCTAGCAGTTAGGTAAGAACATTCAAACGTCTGGGCGCGTACCTTATTCACTCCATCTCCCATACCCCAAAAGTTGGAAAAGGCCATCATCACTCTGATGCCACGAAGTCTAGCTTGAGCGAGGACGAAATCCAGCCCTGTTTGCAACGAGGCAAGGGTAACGCATCAGCAGTGGTACTTATAAAGGCCGACGTTTTGGCTGTGATGTTTCTGGCGTACCTCTTAATAAGGTTTGATTGTATACCCCGGGGCTTAGCTGCACAGGTGAACTTGCTCTGTGATGACACTTGTTCAGATTAGTCAAACGCAACAATAGTACCGCAACATCCAAAATCGATTGCACGCACTGTGTTGAGAAGCCCCAGGTCCGGACAACTGAGAGATTCATGGATACCATGTCATCCAGCGTCGCGTTCACCTACACATAGGCAACATGAGTATGAGCGAGGGCATGAAAACAATAGCAAAATGGTACGACTTACTGTCCCCATGGTGCTTGGATTACTCGCATTCTGAAAAAGGAGGAAAAGCTATGTTAGTAAAATTGAACGAAACACATCGCCTGGAAGACATGCTGCTTGAAACAACCAACCTGCATGAGGTCCCACGAGTTGCATCCGGAAAACACGAACTTCCGGCAATTGAGGTAGAATGATCCGTTTTCAACTATCACATAACCTGCACTAAAATTGTTAGTGGGAATTCATGAACACCTTCGGACTCCAATTGCCCTAATAATACCTTTCGTTGGTACCAATTGGCTCTGCAAACCATCAAACGTCGCGTCAGTGTACTGAGGATCAACAACGACATTGCTAAAACCACAGGCATACCATTGCTGGTAAAGCTAGTAGGCTTAGACCGGCAAGCACAAACACTGGAAACATGAGCCCACCCATGCTTCTAGGTGGTGAACCAGAACTGCCGTGAGAAGAAGCTTGAATGACAGCTGGAATGGTGCGGCATTTTTGCGTGAGGGGTCTTATGCAGCTGTGATTTCTTGCAACGTACTCGATAAGTGCAGAAACCAAGTGTTTTTGGGAACAGCTCCGTATTCAGATTGCGTTCGTAAAAAACTATTCTTTCACCCATCAGTACACTTCTTAAGCATACCTATTTACTTCTTCGTACAGAACTTCCTTTTATCCAGAAACAACAGCTTTTTTAGCCAAGCAGGAACATTTAGCAAGAATCGACTGATCAGCAGTTCCTGCTGTACAAAATCTCCATGGCGTTGACTAGCTGCTGATCCCGTGATACATCAAGGCCACCTGCGGACCCTACTTTTGATGTGTATTTGACAATGTGTCGGCCATTTACGACCTTCCACCATAGCCTCCAACAGGGCCACCACCACCAGTTTGCTGGAAAAAAAAAGTGAGCCAGATGCAGTGCAAGTCGAATGGTCAGCCCAGTGAACAAACGAAATTACAGACGGCAGCAACAGTCTAGATACAGCAGTAGGAATGCGAGGAATTTAGATTGATAGATGCTTACAATGGGCGTTCTTAAGCAAGATTGCAGAGGAGAGATTACAGTATGAGGCTTTGTGACACTCACAGGCTGAACCAAAGTGACACCAGGAAGGGTAGCCATGTTGATGGCCTTGAGCATGTCCAGGGTAACAGGGTCAACCTGAGAGCATCATGATGGGGAATGCATGTACAAGAAATCTCAGCTAGCTTCCTTGCATTGATTGGAAAAGAAGTACAACTCCCTTTTCACGACCCGAGAACTGCAGTGACATTAAACAGAGGATTTTGGAAATCGAGTTGCATATAGGCCCTCGAATTCAATAAGCTAATCGATCTGAACTATCCATACTGCAACCGCCTGGCTACAATACTCCGTAGTCCAGAACTGCATATGGAAACCACTGATCGCTCCTGAGTCACGTTCTGACAACGGAAACCCGTACTCATTCACGAATAAATCAGCTGCTAAAAAAAACACTTAATGGAGCTGCATTGACCCGCCACTCCACTCATTCCCAAAGCTGCCGAAATAATCGAACAGAGCGTCAACACCCGCCGAAGTCAGCATCCGAAGTCAGCATCTGCGGCAACTCCACTGATCTAAGCCATTTGCATCCCCTTCGACAATCTATGACCAAAAAGGAAGAGCGCTCGTGTCTGACAACGTCGCGGCTGAACTATCGTGAAACGATCTGACAAAAAGGCATCAACACCGCGTGACTTGACACGAAGACGGAATTTACTCTAATGGACTCAACGAAGACGGCGTATCATCGAACTCAGCTGCTACTCAAAATCCTGCCTAAGCCTTCTGCGCCAGCTCCCACAGCGAGAGGGCATAATTCTTAGGGCTCTACAAAACCTGCGTTGGGTTGATCGGCTAGGAGACGGATAGCGTCGCCAAAACGCGCTAACCTGACATGTCCACCCAAAAAAATCTCCAGAATGGCTCTCTATGCCCTGAGGATGAACGCCGAACCCCGTTAAACCGAGTCCGAGACACCTAACCCTGCTCAGTACACCTTATCGTCGACCAGTCGATCTGCTTCAACTAACCGTCGGCATCTACGAACCGACGGCCCAGTCTGCTTTCCAACACGCTCATTAGCTGCTGCCATAGATTTCGCCCGGCTGCTGGCGATCGTTGCTGTCCCCCTCCTGACATATACATAAGTCGCATGCCTGTCTGCTTATTGGCCTGCCTGTCTGCCTGGGTGCATGCCCAGCTGATTGCTTGCATGCCAGCCAGCGCGCCTGCCGGACCGCCTGGCTGTCCAGCTGCTTGGGTGCGCTGTCCAGCTGCTTCGGTGCCTGGGTGCCATTTTTGCGTTTTCGAGGCCTCAAGCTGGTGCTTGCCTGTCTGAGTGGCCACTCACCTCAATGACGTCCGTCTTGATGGCAGACTCGTCAGGGACGAAGTCCATGCGCCGCTCCCTCTCCTCCTCCTGCAGCTTCAGCGAAATGCCGCGCACGGGGCCCTTCTGAATGCGCTTCATCAGGTGAGTCGCGAAGCCGGCGATCTTGTTGCGGAGGCGCTTCGTAGGGATGACTGCCACCTCATCACAGATCTTCTTGTTCGTCTGGAAGTCGAGCGTCATGCGCGAATAGTACTTCTCGATGATCAGTCGCGCCGAGCGCTTCACCGTCTTTGTGCGGACGCGACCCTGGTGGGTGTGGAAGGAAGGGACGACAACAAAGGGACAGACGAGGAAAGGGACGGAGAAAGAGGAACGAAAAAAAAAAGGAGAATAGAAAAACACAGAAGAAACGAGAAGGAAAACGGGGACTATGAGATGGGCGCTACGGAGCAGAAGGAAGGCATACAGCCACGTGAGGGGGTTCTAGGTAAGGCTGAGGAAAAGGGACGGAACCCTAAATTGAGCTGGCTTGCGCCTAAACCGGAAACAACTAAAACCCCATGGTTATGATGAGCGCAGAAGTCCCGAATACTTCTGAAATACTAAATACTGTGCGATTCTTACCATCTTGACACGCTACGAAGTAACGGCTGAGAGAGGGGAGGACCTCCACTAATGGAGAAATTAGGGAAGAGAAAGGAAGAGACTGAGAGGGAGGGGGCTCTTCAGCTGCAGGGAGGTGAATCAAGGGGACAGAGCAGGAAGAGGGGAGCAGGGCGAGGCGTGGAGCATGAGGGAGACGAGGGAGGGGAGCTACAGGAGGTATGAGAGGGACAGAAGGCACGGCACTGCAGGCTCGGAAGGCCCAGCAAGCACAGCAGGTATGGGATTAGGTTAGGAAGGGACGCGAGGTGGTGAGTATGCTTTGGTGGCTGACCATCGACAAATTGGGCGTCGCAAAATTACTACCAACCAGCTCGGTCTGTCACAATATGGAAGAATGTGCCACAAAGGTGTATGGCTCTGAACGATGTTTTTTGGGAGAAGTTTGTTACCGAGGAAGACCATAGAAGATAATTGACTTGTCAGCCAGGTTTGGCCGAAACGCTTTCTTATTAGCCGCACCGCCCACCACCACATTAAATTTGACTTTCCCGCCGAAAGTGTTCCCCCCATGCCGACCAACCTAGCAACGAAATTGTCGCCTAGAAAGTTGGGGATTCTGGCAGGGGAAATCTGGGTGTTCAGGTGCAAGAGAGGACTGATAAAATTAGTAATTCTGCCTCAGGTGCTTCAATGAAGCCCGTTTTGACGCTCGTGACTCGGAAATAGTGCTTGTCGGTGCACCCGTCGTCTCTGAACTGATGAGGACGACTGGACCTTTGTAGTCCATTTAGCAGAACTAGTATCCACTAATATCCATCTTGCAAAACTATTACCCAACGCTAAATATATGTAGGAACTTCACATTTACAGAAGGGCTCGTGCGTGATTTATCCGGTTTGATTCAGGAGAGTCGTTTGGTAAATCACATGTCGACATGATAGTAATTCTGGTATGCAAGTGCCGAGCTTTCAGACCTCTCAGAAGTTGATTCATGGGTACAAATGCCAAGCGCCAGATTAACTTCCTCCTCGCGCTCTTTCCCACTCTCCTTCACCATCCTTCTTCTGCTGATAGTTCCGCTTTGCTTCCAATGCGTATCTTGGTGTTCGGCGGCGATCTGGCCCTCAGATTTATCAGTTGTACCGCAAAAACATGATGTTACGATAAACTTACGGCGACTGGTTTCAAACAAATCCCTTGACTGCTCAGGGACATTGCTTAGGTCTGATTCGTCAGGAACACGAGAAACTCCCTTGTGTAGACTTTCTCATAGGCACGGTAGACGTTATTCTCGTGACACGGAGCAGAATAGAGCAGCGAAACCGTCAAAAACCGCCAATGGAACGGGAAATGATGCTGAGGGAGCAGGTGCAAGGTCAAGGCTACGAAAGCCACCAGCACCACGAGGACGCCGAGCAAGGGCTCTAGCGGAAAAGCGTTATAGCGGGTATACGACGGTTAGCGAAGTCACAATTCCGATCAAGAAGCCGAAGATTGTAGCACCATGTCGGCTCATTCTCCTGCGAGACGCCGCGTTCGCGAACACCTCCAACCAGCCCACCATCCAAGTCGCCTACACACCGCCTGCTGGGTGCGGCTTGGTACGTGTTTTGGGTCACGCATGGCATTGTTTGGCAAGGTACTACTGACTGGTACGTGTTTGGTACGTGTTTTAAGTTCTGCTGGTGCTGTTTGGGGCATAAAGGTTGCCGCCGTGCTGTTGCGAACGTGCTTCATTTCTGAAGCCCCACACGCACCTGACGTCACCCATTGAGACGACTTTCAGTTCGTCAGAAAGCTTCCCTGTCCATGTTTCCTTCTTCATATCTCCTACTCCATAGGCCCTTCTTCATGTTCCTTCTTTCAACCGTATCCATGATCCCTTCCTATGAGCACTTGATGTTCCCTTCACGTTCCCTACATCATGGTTCCTTCTTCATGTTCCTGTCTTGATTGCTAGTCCAGGCCTGGAAGCAGGTGGTTCTCAGCGTTGGCGTGCGAGTGAAGGGGATACAACAAGGAAGAGTTCTGTCGATCTTCTTCAATGGATTCGAGCTCTCTAGATCTCTGTACGCCCTCTTTCTCCGGCATCCACGCATTGAAATCATTGTTGATAAGACACCGATTAGGAAACGGCATGGGTTTCTTCCCAACGCCTCCCTTCCTCGCTCCTGTTTTCCTCATTCATCGGTGTGCATTGCTGCGTCTCACCAACGTTCTCCCATTTCTCCTCCCCTCGTCCCAACCGCCCTATCATCGCCTCTCAGAACCACGCCTGGTTCGGCCAATGGCGTGCGCTTTGCGCTCGAGAGGGACCTCACCAAGTTTTCTAAAGTCCTACGCAGGGTACGTTACAAATGCACTGTATCTTTTGCTTCTTGCTGAGGATGTCCTTGAAGGATTCTTTGAAGTTCTATCATCTCTCATAAGTCTACAGGATTCCTGCTTGTTTTCCATTACTCCCTGTCCTCTCTGCATCTCCTGCAGAAAGGTCGATTCTACATCACCATGGAAAACGCCTTAGATGAAGTGAACACCGGTATATTTTATGTAGATCTCGAGGTATCCTACTATGGGGGACTGCTCTCCCCACACGTGCCTCACAGCCTGCTCCCTCTCTCCTCCTCCAAGACACGTGGCCGACCCCTTATCCTCTCCGGGAAAGACGCCAAAGGAATCCTGGGGACCAGTCAGCAGTCGCCAGGTGGCGGCTCGTACTTTAGCCTGGCGTCCGCTTCGGTCATGGTGTCGAGTTTCCCCAGGAATTTGGTCCGTGCTGAGCTGGATCTGACGTTGACGGCGCATGGTGATGACAGGGCGTACTTCAGTAACATGCTGGAGAGGTGAGACTGGGGAGATGAGACTGGAGAGAGGTGAGAGACTCTGGAGCGGTGAGAGACTTTGGAGAGGTGAGAATGTGGAGATGTGAGGCTCTGGGGAAGCGTGACTCTGGGGAGGTGAGACTGGCTGGGTGAGACTGGAGGAGCTGTGACTTGAACTGATGGTGCTGTGGGGGAAAATGGCAGGGTGGAGGATTTGTTCGTATAATTGAAAATGCTGAATCAGAGAAACAAACTAGAAAGGAGAACATAACGAAACAAAAAAACAATATGATTTCGCCCTCACACAACACCGCCCCCCACGTCTATTGCTGTCCCTTTGTGTTGTCCCTCTCTTCGCCAAAGCAGTTACCACTCCGCCCTTCCTGACTCTCTCAAGGCGAACTTCATTCCTGGGAGCCCTTACCGCGAGATAGTCATCTACATAGACGGACGATTTGCAGGATCCTTCTTCCCCTTCCCCGTGCTCTCTCCCTCCTCCCTCCGCCGCTCCCTCTGGACCCCCGTGGTGGGAATCGGGTGCTTTGCATTGGAGCCATACTCGTTAGACGTGACCCCGTTTGTGGGATTGCTTGCGGACGGGAAGAAGCATAATGTCACTGTAGCGGTTTCAGGGGTGCTGCCAGGAGGGGTGTGGCTGGCGAGTGGGGTGTTTCGCTTGTGGCTGGATCCAATTCTGCTGAAGACCACAGGGAAAATCAACGTCTTTGATGTGAGTCTATTTGCCGACTCAAAACAAGCACAGGTATTTGTTTCAATCAATCAAAGACAACCAAAATTTTTGCTTGCACATCACTGTCGATGCAGCACCACCTTCTGCCTTCTCTTTTCTTTTCTGTGTACAGCGCCCTCTCCTTTCAGTGTGTGCAATATCCAAAATAAGTTCTATAACCTCTGCAATTTTATCTTGTTTACACGTTCCTCAATCACACATTTTCCTCATTTATTTATCCTACTGGTTGATTAGGTTCCGGCACTACAGTACTACGAGCCGCCGCCCAACATCTACACTGGCATAGATGGAACCCTGGAGGCCACTGCCATGCGGCGTTACACCATTGGTGGGCGAATCCTCACCTCTCGTGGGGTGGTAACCAGCCTGGTGAAAGCCTACCATGTGCTTCAGAGCCGCACAGAGGCGCTCGGGCAGCTGAAATTCCTCAAGACAGAGTACAATGTTGTCGCGAATGTGACAACAAGGAGGGGTAGGCCGAGTGGAATGCTGATTGCAAAGGACACGGTGACGCATCATTTCCCATTGACCATCACCCAAACGGTGTTTTCAGATCAAGGTGAGATGGTGTAAGGTTGAGCAGTCGGGCTAAGTGGAATGCTGATTGCAGATGACACGGTGACGCATCATTCCCATTCAACCTCACCCAGACAGCGTTTCCGAATCAAGGTGAGATGGTGAGACTTCGAGTGGTGGTTTTCTGAGGTGTATCAAGGTGCACGGTAGACTGGTGGCACAAGGTTGACGCAGCCTCGGCTGTGCCAAGGGTATATTTAGACTGTGCTCTGCCTCGTCCTAGGTCCGAATCCTTGAAAGTGCAAGGTAGATTGGCATAGGGCAGCTTCCTCGACTCCCAATCTTTCCTCCATTCAGATATAGTAGAGGTACCACTACCTTCAATCTGCCTCCCTCCTGCGTCTAATTCCCCAGCCCCCCACTTTCCTCCTCTGCTCCTCCTTCGCTTTGCATTCTCCGGTGTGTTCTCCCATTCAGATGGAGGCACGTCCTTCAAGCTCTCCCTCTCCCACAGCTTCCAGCAGCAGCACCTTCACAAAGACGGCAACAGCCTCACAAAATCCACCCAAGAATCGCTCTCCAACTCCCAGGCATGCAACCTGCTTGAGTATGGGATCAGCACTGATAGCACCGCTACCGGTACATCCAGCCCGCTAACTAGCAGCGGGCTGAGTGCCACTAACAACACTGGCACTATAGCAAAACCTGCTGCAAACGGTTCAGAAGCTGGTGATAGTGCTGACGCCACTGGTATGGTGGTAGGGCCGTTCTCCACACCTGATTTGGTCGTGGTGGGGGGGTCCCAGACCCTAAGCATTCGAGGTAGCAACAAAAAGGCTTGCTTCTGGCGGAATGTAGAGACAGGGGGGCTGCAAGTGCTCTCGGACGGATCTGAGCACAAGTGCTAGACGCATTCTTGTGCAGTTCACTGTTTCTATCTTATCCTTTAACAAATTATCCACTGTGATGGAACAATTCATGAAGTTGTCCCTGCGGGCGTTCCACACGTTGGGCGCATTTCAGGGTTGTATTCCTGATGCATGGCCATTGGTCCTAGTCCTGGCAGGAGTTGTACTCGTGATGCAGTATGGAGCACAAGTGAAGCTGTCGTGAACATGTCTCACTTGCTCTATGCCCAAAAGCTTTGGAGGGGAGGGGCCTAATGGACAAATCTGGGTCGTATATGACCTAGGGAACAGGAGGGGAAATGGGGGATTTAACCCTGGAAGGCAATGCACGAGGGAGGCAGTGCAAAGAGTTGCACAGGGGGGGCATTGCACAGGGGAGGCAACAGGTAGGCTGGACTAGTTTTACGACCAAAGGCACAAGGGGGAGCAAACACGACTGTCAACGACTGAGAGCACAGGGGAGGTCGAGAGTTGCTCGCGGGGAGCATCGCACAGGTTGAGCATTGCATAGAAGTAGGCTGGACCAGTTATTATACGGTACGACTGAAGGCACAGGAGGGGCATTGGGGCAATGACACGAATTGTACTACAAGTGACGGAACAGGGGCGAGGCTTCGCACAGGTGATTCAAAGAAGGGAGGCAACACACAGGGGAGGCATCGCACAGGGGACGAGGTAGTGCCACATAGAGACATGGGCAGAGCTGACACGTGCTACGGCCAAAGGCACATGACATGGGGGCAGCGAACACGAATTGTTCCACGACAGAAGGCGCGAAAGCGAGGAGGGAAAGGGTGGATAGGGGGGGTTGGGGAGGGAACAGGGGGGGCAGCGAACACGATTTGTTTTGCTACAAGAGGCACAAAAGCGATGAGGGCACGGGTGGATAGGGGGTTTGGGGAGACAATGTCCCACACAACGTGACCCAAGGCACAAAGGGGGACGCTTGCTTCGACTGGGGGGACAATGTCAAGCAAGAGTGACAGGAGCCATGGAGGAGAATGGAGGAGAATGCAGGAAGACCACTGGGAGGTGGTGGTGGTTAGGTGGTGATAGCTAAGTAGCAGCAAGCAGGCAATGTAGTGATGAAATATTCAGGATGTATAAAAAAAATGGACAAATGGTCTAAAATGAGAGCTAGCAGCTAATCTAAAGCGTATCATAGCGTTGAACTAAACAGCAGGAAGGCTAGCAGCTAATCTAAGGAACAGGCATTGGGAATCTCCCCAAGCTCCCTGCTTGTCCGCGATATCAGCTGCTCTGTCATCCGCCCTATTTCCGCAGGGCCTTCAATAGTTAGGTCGCTTGTAGAGTCGCGTGTAGTAGTGTGTGTAGTATGTGTGTGTGTTACTGGTAGATCTCGCCGTTGGACCAGCAGCAGACCAAGTGCGAGGGACCCTGAAATAAAAAGATAGAGGAGAAGGAAGGAACGATAAGGCAAGGTCAGCAACGCACCAAAACAATCACTGAGAAGAAGTTGAACAGAAGTCGCAGCACGGAGTCAACAAGGAGCAGTTTTAGGGGTAATTTACCTTGTGAATGAAACTAGTGGTGGGGCTCGGGATCCATCTCGAGAGCCTCGACGGGGGGAGGGGGAACGTAGCCGTCAGCCTCGGCCCACGGCCCGGGGTTCTTCGCGCCGGGCACGGTGCGCAGCGCCTTCCACACGGCGCTTTGGCACTTGAACCCGCTGCCGAACGCCAGCTGCCACACGCGATCGCCGCGCTTCACGCGATCCTGCGCCTCGACGTACGACAGCTCGTACCAGATCGACGCGGACGAGAGGTTTCCGAAGCGGTACAGAGTCATACGGTTCGGTTCCATGTTGAGCTGCGTGAGGCGGAGACCCTTCTGCACCTCGTCGAGAAGCGCGCGTCCTCCGGGGTGGATGCAGAAGTGCTCGAAGGCGAGCTTGAAGTCGGGAGTGTACTCCTTAATATCCATCTTAAACACGCGCCGCGCGATGTACGCCGCGGCGAAGAGCAGCTTCTCGGAAAGCGGCAGCACGAGCGGGCCGAGCGTCCTCACGTTCGCCTTAAGAGCCTTCGCGGCAGTGCCCATAAGCTCGCGTGAGAGCATCACACCGACAATCTTTTTCTCATCCTCCTGCTGGTGAATGCACTTGTAGCACTTGTCGTCCGCGCCCATGTGGGTTCGCACGACGGTCTTAAGCTCGTACTTGGCCTTCCACGCGTCGATCGGCTTGTTCGACATCAGCGCCGCGGATCCGCCCATGCGAAACAAAACGTTGGTAACCTGCATCGAGCGACGGTTGCCGAGGTACGCGTTCAGGGTGATGTTCTCGGTTGAGACAAGCACCGCGAGCTTGTTCTTGTTCGCCTGGCCCTGCATCAGATCTTGAGCCATTTTGACGGCTATGATGCCCGCGCTGCAACCCATGCCGCCCAGATTGTACGACTGAATGTCCTCGCGCATCTTGTAGTGGTTAACCACCATAGCCGAGAGAGACGGCGTGGGGCAGAAAACCGTGCAGTTGACGATCAGAATGGAGATGTCCTGGGGCTTCACGCCGGTCTTCGCGAAGAGCTCATCCATCGCACCGAAAATCACCATCTCGGCTTCCAATCGCGCGTTCGCGATCGACGGGGAAGGCGGCCATGTGTGCATCGACGGGGGGATGTACGTGCGGTCGCCGAGACCCGACCGGAAGAACACCTTAGTCTGGAAATCGACGGATTTCTCGTCGAAGTATCCGAGCTTCTTCACGCGATCGACGGCGACGTCCTTGGTAATGACGAGGTGGTCGGGGGGGCGGTAGCACGCGAAGTCGACGAGGAACACGCGGCGCGGGCGGGTGAGCACGTACACGGTGACGGCGAAGAGCGCGGCGGAGAATGCGGCGACGAGGTAGGACGTGTCGAGAGTGAGAAGCTGCTCCCAGAGCGCCTGGAAGTCCACGTTGCGCGTGAGCTGGACCGCGACCGCCGCCAGAAGCGGCAGTGCGAGCCGCGTGGACTGAGTCACGGCGTGGTGGTAGATCATCTTAATCTGTTGCAGCGGCATTCCCAAGAAGGTGGGGTCGCTGTTCTCCATGACGGGTCCTTGCGCCATTTCCTCCGCGGATGGGTGCTGCACGGGCTCCGCGGGAGGAGCGGCGGGCTCAGCTGGGGCTGCATCAGCGGGGGTGGAAGCGGCGGGCGCAGGGGCGGGCGGATCGGCGGGAGCAACGGCGGGCTCGGGCACGGTGGGGAGGGTGGTGGCGGGAGCCTGCTTGAGCTCCGCTGGGGAAATTACAGACATGGGACCGAGAGTGGGACTGGCGTTACACGCGTTGGGAGCCATTGCGATCCTGGCGTCCCGAGGAGAATTCAGAATATATCTCAAACACCGATCGCTACACAAGTTGGCTAATGAGAAAGACTGGTGCTAGGTGGAGCAGAATTGCTTGATTGGAAGTGTGAGAATTGAGGGTTATAAAAAGGAAGAGGATTGAGAGAGGAGCATGAGAGGCAACGGCTGAGCGTAGGGGAGCGAACAAGTGTGCTGTGTTGCAGGATAGCGGCTCGGTTCTACGACGCGTCACGACGACCTGGCCTGGTTGTGTGAGGTGGTGAAGAGAAGCACGGATGGATGGTTGGGTGGATGGAGGGCAGGGAGGGAGGGAAATTCGCTGATATGATTGGAGCAGAGTTGCGTAGTGGGTCTCTGACTGATGGCATTTCGAAAACGGGCAGCGCTAGCCGAGAATTCAGGGCTTGGTGCTTCGATTTGTTTCATTTTCACGCGCAACATACTTCTTTGCGCACCGAACCAGTGCGCGACGATGAATGCGGGATAAGGATTGGGCAACGACCCTCTTGCGACGATGGCGATTTCAAAGTTCGTTTGGTTTTGTTTCCGTGGGGCATTGCAGCGCTGCCGTTTCGTTTCCGTTTATGGCGGGACAAATGAGGCGCGGCTCCTCAAGGCGACTGAACATCATCGCATGTGGTCGGGTGTGGTGTTTGTTTTCGCCAGAGCTCAGCACAAGCCCGTAAGTTGTTTGAGAACCGCAGCGCAGCCCACAGAAAAACAGCGCGGGAAACACACCGCGCCTGGCGATATGGATTTTTTTGTGAATCTTTTTGTCCAGGAATGAAGGGCAGGTGAAATGAAGCTGTTGCGATGAATTCGTGAGCAGCACGATCTGGCTTGGTGTCAGAAACGCGAGTTCGCTTATCACGAGACCAGCGATCCGTTTTACAACACCCCTTAGAAGCATTATGAGTGCATAATGTGTTTCTTCGTTTATTCATCATCAAATTGTATCTTTCCACTGCTCATTATGTTTTCACTTGCACATACCACTATCGGTACACCCTGAGGTGTTTTCTGCAGGGGATTACTACACCATGCTGCGCGAAAACATATGCCAAGCCTTACCTAAACTCACTGCACCTATCACCACATACTTCTTAGCCTCCCATGCTATTCCCACTGCTGGTGCCATTACTACAGCATCTGCTGAGCTGATCTTCTGGCATTGCTTGCAGAAACTGATAAAAAACAGGCTTCAACCACATAAAAAATTGGTTGCTGCAACATCCGATGAATAGGCTCAGAGCAGCTAGTGCTGCTGGTAAGGGGCCCCTAAAAGGAGGATGTGAGGGAGAAAGTGTGTGACTTAGTCGTAAGCGGCTAAGGGAGGCACGCTATCATGATTGACAAGATTGGGACGAGGCAATGAAAGAAAGTGCTTTAATCGGATAAAACGAGTGTAGTGAGTGAAAAGGGAATATTGGAAGGCGTGTGTGTGAGTAGGAACGGAGGCTTGTAAGGAGGGAGGCTAGGGTGTGAGGAGGAACTGGAAGGTGCTGTTGTCTCGAATGGCTGGTGGCAGCTGCAGCAACCGCAGGTCAATCTCGTGAGTGCTCTTTGAGATGTCCTCCACAGTGAAGGGGATGCTGGGGTGCGTAGGGAGTTGGAGTGGGGAAAAGGGTCGGAGGAACAAAAAAGACATACGGGAGGAAGGCAGATCAATATCGAGGGTGCTCTTTATATTTATCTTTCACGGAGAAACGGATGCTGGGGTGATTTGGGAGAAAGGGGGGGGGGGGGGGGGGGAGGAAAGAGGAGAGGGTTACAAGGGAGACGTGCGAGAGAGAAGGAAGGCTAATCTCGTGGATGCTCTCCGACATGTCCTTCACAGAGAATGGGATGCTGGAGAGGGCCGGGAGGGGTGCAATTTGAGGTGCCTCAAAATGCACCTCTTTACTCGTGGGTGCTCTTTGACATGTCCTTCACAGAGAATGGGATGCTTGAGAGGGCCAGGAAGGGGGGAGAAGGGAGAGGGGAGAAGGAGAAGGGTGTAAGTTGGCATGGGAAAAGGGAGGTCAATCTAGTTCTGATATGTCCTTGACAAGAAATGGGATGCTGGAGAGGCAAAGTGAAACGGAGTGGGATGGGGGAGAAAGGGGGGAAAGGAGAGGAGACGTCAGTGTCGTGGAAACTCTTTTGAATATGCGGTTCATAGCCAGTGGGGGAGATGGGTAATGGGAGGAGCATGAGGGTTGAGAGATTGGAAGGGAAAGAAGCGGAGATTCAGAAGCAGAATCTTGCTGACTTTAGAGTCGACCCAACAGTCACCTTAGAAGAAGCAGAAACTCCACAACTAAATCCAGCCTCCCTGCAAAATCCCGCTCAAAGCAGGAATCAGCACCCTGGAAGAAGCAACACCAGAAATCCCATGTGCCCGTGTACAATCAAGGATAATCATGCCGGATTGTGTTGTCGTTACACATACAACCGGCTGGAGATAGCCATTGCTTGTGGAACATTGCCTATTGAATAATTGAACATTGCGTATGAATTGTCGTCCAGCAAGAACGAGTTGGTGGCATGAGTTTGCTTTGAGACGTCCCAAAACATTCCCCTTCGCCTCAGCCCTCGAAGCGCGCACGCACTTTGAATCATTCCCACCGCTTTGCACCCACAAGGAATCATCCCCACCTCTTCGCACCCACCTGGAGTCATCGTCCAGCAGGAACGAGTTGCTGACAGACGAGCTGTTCTCGTCGCTCATACACCGCTGCATCTCCGAAATGACTGCAAAGGAGACAGTGTGAGTGCCGTGTTTGCCGTCCCAGTACATGGTGCTGATGCGGTGGAGCTGTTTTATGCTCAGCGCCGGGCAGAGGTCCGATGTGAGCTCCTGCATGCTCTTATTGGGCTTCTCGTGAGTGACCTGGTATGAGGGCAAGGGGAAGGGGAAGAGGGGGATAGGGGAGGGGAGGAGGAGAGGGGGTGAGGAAGAGGGTGAGACGGTGTGAGTGCCATACTTGTCATCCCAGTACATGGTGCTGATGTGGTACAGCTGCTGTATGCTCAGCGCCGGGCAGAGGTCCGATGTGATTTCCTGCATGCGCATCTTGGGCTTCTGGTGTATCACCAGCCGTTCCACACATGGGGGGACGAGAAAGTTCCATCCATATGGATAAGTAACGCACTTATCCTTAGTAGCAACCATACGGGTAAGTAACGTTGTGGTGGTGAAGGATTGGTGGAGCGACGGGTGGTGAGATGACAACAAGATGCGGGAAATGGTAGACATAGTGTGTAGAGACGAGTGCGGGGACAGATGGGGTGGTGGCGATGGTCAAGGAGACCCACCCAATCTTGATTGTACGCCCCCAAACCCAACTTGAACGCAATAGACGGTAGGGAGCTAATAATTGGTCTCCAACAATTGTTGGTTACCACAACAATTATTGTGCGACCCAATCTGATTGTTCCGCCATCAATGCTAAGGGTACGCCACCTAGTTGCCCGGACCTGCCTTCACGCTCGCTAGGTCCACTGGCTCGGGTCGTGCACTGGCTGCCGCGAGCCACTGCCACCTGCTCGCCTTGGCTCGGCTCGGCTCGTGCACTGGCTGCCGTGCCGCGACAAGTCTTGAGCCAACTTGCGACAAGCCTTGGGGTGACCCAAAGATCAACCACACACAGGTGCAATGCACCTCGACCAATTAAATAGGAACCTACTAGGAAGCCAACAGCCTGGCGGATGTACTTGAGCTCCTCCCACGCATTTCCGGTGTACTCATGAGTTGCCTCGTGCAACCAGTGGTCCAACTCGCCTAGGCCTGCCTTCACGTACTCGCCGTTGCTGAAGGAGCAGCAATCCCGACGCAGCATCAGGCTGGTGGGAGTGTGATGTGAGAGAGAGGAGGGGGAGAGAAGAGCTGAACGTTGATAAAGGCGAAGATTCGAGTAACCAACTTCCGTCCGAGAAAGGAGGGCACGTGGGAGGCTGTGCTGAATTCATTGAGAATTCTAAAAATGACTCCAGCCAACAGACCTGTCAAATAGTTGCACGTTGATGAAGGAGAAGATCTGAGTGACCATCGCGTGCACGAGGAAGGACGGCTGAGCTGCCTACTAGTCCCTCTGGAAGCCTCTCAACCTGTCTCAACCGCACCACAATCTCTCACCCGTTGAAGAGCTGCACGTTGATGAAGGAGAAGATCAGAATGACCATCGCACGCACGAGGAGGGACGGCACATGGGAGGCTTTAAGTGTTGTCAGCAGATTGGTGAGCGTGGCAATGATGCTGCCCCAGTGCGAGCTCAGTGCGTGCGTTGCTGTGGCAACCGGAGCCCCCCGATGCGACGAGTGCCGCCCGTACGCCGCCCGGGAGATGCGCGGCGCCTGGTGGAGGATGGGGTGTGGGGGGTTGGAGGGTGTGGCTGGGTGTGGTGTGGTTAGGTACGTCCCAGAAATGGATGGAGACATTGGGAGAAGAGCAGCTGTAGAAATGGGCCCCCGCTCAAAACGTCAGAGACTATGGCCTCCCCCAGAAATGGACATAGCCTGATGGCGGATGGGGTGTGGGATGGAGGATGGGATGGGGGGTGGGGCGTGCAGGGGTGTTGGAACGTTTGAGACAGGGAGATGGTACACGCACAGATGGGGTGGTAGCGTGGTGAGTGGGGAGACGACGATGCTGCTCCGATGCGTTTTTTGAGGCGCCTCAAAAGTCGGTAGCGTGGTGAGTGTGGAGACGACGATGCTGGTCTGATGCAAGCTCAACGCGTGGCACATTGTGCACCACACAGACACGCCCAACAGACAAAACTCACACATGCCCCACACACAGTCCCCCACTCTTGAACCTGAATGCACTGCACAAGGGTGGGTGAGATCTCCTTCTTGAGATCATCTCGAATCATCCCGTAAATCTTCTCCACATAAGCTGTCAGCTGCTGCTTGAACGGCAGCATAGCCACACATACACACTCATGTACCCCTCCCTTCCGCGCGCGCGCACACACACATACACACACACACACCCCCGCGCACGCGCGCACGCATGCACGCATGCACGCACACACACACACCACCCCCAACCTCACCTGAAGGCACTGCGCAAGAAGGGGCGAGAGCTCTTTCTTGACAATGTTTCGAATCATCTTTTAGGTCTTCTCAACATACGCCGTCAACTGCTGCTTGAACAGCAGCGCAGAGCGTTTAGCCTCCACCTGAGGGATGTGCTCCAGGCCCCCGCTCGCCCCCACCACTCCTGTAGGCGTCGTAGTGCAACCTCAAAAGCTCTGTTAGGGGGGTGGGAATGAAACAGGGATTAGGGAGGCTCAGAAGCGGAAAGGCAGGCTGTGAGAATCCTGTTCGGCCTGAGAAGCTGCTCCTATTCTCTGTCCGCCCCAACGAGAATCATGCGACCGAAAAGAGCAGTCTGTTCTTGATCTTGAGGCGCCTCAGAAACTGTACTCTTGAGGTGCTTCTATCCTCTTCTCGCCAGAATATTTATTGAAGTTATTAAATGTCGATTATAATCATCATTACAATGTTGCTGTGCCTTTAGTTGGATTTCATGACAAAATACTAGCATGAGTTTGGCTTAGGAGCCATAGTTTAGGAGCCTTGGTAGTTGAGTTCGAGTTTAGGAAAAGTATCGAGAGGTTTTGGAAGGAGAGGAATGAGGTTTCACTAGCAAGAGTTGGGATACAAGTACAACACCCTAAATTGGGTTGTACTCATTACAGAGTACCCCACTGCAGGCTAGACAGCAAATACATTCTGACACACCCCCATAGCCAAAGTGGGGTGTAATCAGCACAATGAGCAAGCATAGAGCAAGAGTTCACAATAGGTAAGTAAGGCTAGAGCTAATCACAGAGGGCAAGTGAGGAGGAGGAGAGACTGTGGGGGAGAGAAGATGGGAGGCGACTGCTGACGCTGCAGACACACAGACGAGCTGCTGGCTCAGTGGCTACCGGAACAGCGCTCCGGACTACTGGAGTAACTGGCCCCGCGGCTAAAAGTAGCGGCAGACTGGCGACTGGCGACTACCGTAGATTGTAGCCTCCGGACTGCTGCTGCTGCTAACGACAAGACTGCTGCCTCCACTCAACCTCCCCCAGCTGCCTAACGCCCCTCTTAGACACCCCCTGCTCAAACCCTAGCCCTACACCCATAGCACCCCCTTAAACCCTAAACCCCAGACTCCCACACATCCACCCCCCTCAGGGAGAGCTGCAGCAGTGGGAGACGAAGGAGGAGGAGGAGGAGGGAGCGGCACGCACAACCGACACCCCCACAACCATCACCCCCACCCCACCCCCCCACGGCTGCACCGGGTCCAGGAGCGGCTGTTGTAGGGGCCAGGGGCGGCTGCTGCTGGGGCGGCTGCTCCAGGGGCTGCTGCTGCTGGGGCGGCTGCTCCAGAGGCTGCTGCTGCTGGGGCTGATGCTGCTTGGGCGGCTGCTCCCGGTGCTGCTGCTGCTGGGGCGGCTGCTCCAGGGGCTGCTGCTGCTGGGGCTGCTGTTGCTGGGGCGGCTGCTCCAGGGGCTGCTGCTACTGGGGCGGCTGCTTCAGGGGCTGCTGTTGCTGGGGCGGCTGCTCCAGAGGCTGCTGCTGCTGGGGCGGCTGCTCCATGGGCTGTTGCTGCTGGGGCGGCTGCTGCAGTAGCGGCGGCTCCAGGGGCTGCTGCTGCTGGGGCGGCTGCTCCAGGGGCTGCTGCTGCTGGGGCGGCTGCTCCAGGGGCTGCTGCTGCTGGGGCGACTGCTTCAGGGGCTGCTGCTGCTGGGGTGGTTGCTCCAGGGGCTGCTGCTGCTGGGGCGGCTGCTCCAGGGGCTGCTGCTGCTGGGGCGGCTGCTCCAGGGGCTGCTGTTGCTGGGGCGGCTGCTCCAGGTGCTGCTGCTGCTGGGGCGGCTGCTCTAAGGGCTGCTGCTGCTGGGGCTGATGCTGCTCGGGCGGCTGCTCCAGGTGCTGCTGCTGGTGGGGCGGCTGCTCCAGGGGCTGCTGCTGCTGGGGCGGCTGCTCCTGGGGCTGCTGCTGCTGGGGCGGCTGCTCCAGGGGCTGCTGCTGCTGGGGCGGCTGCTCCAGGGGCTACTGCTGCTGGGGCGCCTGCTTCAGGGGTTCCTGCTGTTGGGGCGGCCGCTACAGTGGCGGCGGCTCCAGGGGTTGCTGCTGCTGGGGCGGCTGCTCCAGGGGCTGCTGCTGCTGGGGCGGCTGCTCCAGGGGCGGCTGCTGTTGCAAGGCAGGCCGCTCCAGGGGCGGCTGCCTCAGGGGCGGCAGCTCCAGGGGCGGCTGCTGCAGCAGAAATTAGGAGGGAGGGGAGGGGAAGGGCGCGGCCCCCATTGTGCCCTGACGGGCGATGTGCTAGGGAGCCGCGCAGGTCCCCAAAAGTGCCTCGACTGGCAACGAGAGGGGACCGCGCGCAGGCCCCTAAGGTGCCGCGACGAGGCAACGGGAGGGGCCGGCTCGCGGGCCCCGAAAGTGCCGCGACGAGGCGACGGGAGGGACCTGCGTGCGGGCCCCCAAAACTCCTCGATGAGGCGACGGTCGGGGCCAGTGCGCAGGCCCCTAAGACGCCGCGACGAGGTAGGAACCCGCCGCGCGCCTCGGGGCGCACGGCGGGCAGAAAACCGCCACGCGCTACGAGCGCGTGGCGGGAAGAAAAATGGAATGTCGCACGCCACGGGGCGCGCGACACACAGTAGGGCAGCGGAATCGAGTGGGCCCACAAGCCAGGAACGTTAAGCTCTGATAACATGACAAAATACTAGTGTGAGTTTGGCTTAGGAGCCATAGTTTAGGAGCCTTGGTAGTTGAGTTCGAGTTTAGGAAAAGTATCGAGAGGTTTTGGAAGGAGAGGAATGAGGTTTCACTAGCAAGAGTTGGGATACAAGTACAACACCCTAAATTGGGTTGTACTCATTACAGAGTACCCCACTGCAGGCTATACAGCAAATACATTCTGACATTTCACGCTCCAGCAGGCCAGCGTCAAGCGCCAAAATGGAGCGTTTTTTACGCTTGACGCTTGACGGTGCCCTAGTTTGTTTTTCTGGCAGACCGAAATCGATTTTTTATTTTTATTTTTATTTTTATTTTCCGGAAAAAAAGAGTTACTTTCGGGAGTTTGCGACAACATCGCGACTCCAAATTTCACTCCATAAAGCACAAAAAAGAAAGCACTTCTCAACAAAATTCAACCCCCCCACCCACCCCTTCCATCGCAGTTAATCTACAATGTCGAACCGAAACAGACACATTTCCCTCTCCCCCCAACTAACGCGAGGGGGTTTTAGGGTTGGGGAGAGGGGATGGTAGGAGGAAGGTGGGTGGGGGAGAGGATAGAGGGGCAGAAACGACAAGGGAGGAGGCGCGGAGGGACCAGGCACAACAGCAGCCAGTACTGCAGCAAAGGTAGGCTGGACGCACAGGCCGCATAGGGACACCAGCCCGCATTCCAAACCAAACTTGCCGCGATATTGAAAAAACTTTGATGGTGTTGGTAGACGTCTCCATTGCAGATCCACAGCAACAGAGGAATACCGGGCTTAGATGAGTGGCTCCAGTGCAGATGGGTGTTGCAGTAGCTAGACGAGTACATGACAAGTTGCGGGATTGGGCACCGCATCTAGAGGGATTACAACCACCGCCACATTTTTATGCATGTGTAGTGGAGACGTTCGGGTTGCTCAGCGAGCCAATGAGGCAGTTTCTAAGGCTTTGTGCGCGGCGGATTGCACAGCGGCGCAAAGACTTGGTGGGGGGGGATGACGGGTCAACACGGATTTTCGAGACCGGACTCACTACACGACTGTCAGTGGCATTGCAGCGAGCGCAGGCTCAGAGTATTATACAGCACGCGGTGCGGCAGTTGGGAGGGTCAGACGATAGGTGGATGCCCGCACCAGTCCCTTTTGGGTGCAGGGCAGGGCAGTTGGTATTACTTTACTTCCTGCTTTGAGAGCGTTGCAGACATGCAATATATGTACGATGCATATGTGTAGGCGTTTAGCGATTGTGCTTGAAAGGCTGTGTCCCGCGCTGTGGTGCGGGTTGCTATGGTGTTTTGGTCCTTAGGTGCTTCCTTCTTTTAGTTTCTTCCTCTCTTCTTTTCCACCTTTCCTTTGGCCCTTCTCTTCTTGTCCAGCTCTTCTCTCCTTATCACCCTTTCTCTGTTCCACCATTTCTACCTTCCTCTTATACCCCTTGTCTTAATTACCACTAATTTGTATCAAACTTAATCCATAATATGTAACTAACGCGACTTACATTTAGGGTTTCGACAGTTACTATTCGACCTTGTTAGCTTAGATCGCGACCATAGCCTTAGCGTTTTCAAGGAATCCTAGGTTGAGCCATGGCTTCATCCACCTCTTCAACCGCTAATGAGGACGCCACATCTAGTTTTGGAGTAACGTACAAAGAGTTTTTTTGGCTGCCCGAAGGTTTTTTTTCCTGCCCGCCAGAGAGTCAATAAC